CGAGATCCTGGAGCGTTCACCAACGGGTTTCGTGGAGTTGCGCAGGTCTTCGTGTTTGCATCAACCTTCTACGTTGGAGTGGAAGCTGTTGCAGTTGCGGCCACAGAGACAAAGAACCCAAGTGTCGCAGTCCCCTTGGCTATCAGGCAGGTCATTTGGCGCATCCTGTTCGTCTACATGGGTGTTGCATTCTTCTTCGGCCTCACCTGCCCTGCGAACGCCGATGGTCTGATCAATGGAGAGAGCCGCGCACTGAAGAGTCCAATGACAATTGCGATCCAAAACGCTGGTTGGGAAGGTGGGGTGCATCTTATCAATGCTTTCATCTTCATTACTGTCGTGTCGGCGGCCAACAGCTCAATCTACATTGGTTCTCGCACTATCCTGTTCATGGCAAAAGAGGGCGGCGCACCAAGATTCTTAGGCTGGACCAACAGCCGCGGAGTTCCCGTGTATGCCATCATCCTTACCAATTTGTTCGGCGTTCTGTCGATGATGAATGTGTCAACTGGTGGCGGCAAAGCGTACTCGTACATTATCAACCTGAGCGGCGTCTCGACTTTCTTGGTCTGGGCAGGTATCTCGCTTACACATATTCGATTTCGGCAAGCATGGAAGGCTCAAGGTCGTTCACCGAACGAGCTTCCTTTCAGGTCCGCCCTGCATCCATGGAATGCCTACTTCGGTCTGTTCGCCAACGTTTTCCTTGCGTTTGTACAAGGCTGGGCTACGCTATCACCCTTCGATGCTGGCATGTTTGTGGATGCATACATTCTACTCCCGTTGTTTGCCGTCATCTTCTTCGTTTACAAGTTCTGGAAGAAGACAAGGTGGTGGAGGAGTCACGAAGTTGACCTCAATTCCGGAATGAGGAAGGACTTGGACGCGAAGGATGAGACCATCGAACCTGTTGGACAGAAGAGTTTCTTGGAGCGTATTTGGACTAGCTTCTAGGTTTAATATCATCATTACCAAGCTATCAATAATGTAACCGATCTGTGTTTGCAGCTCGCTCGTCAATTTCTGCACCTGTGATGCATGAAGTTCACAGCGTGTAATCACAAAGAAAGGCACAAAAAGCGGACCATATCGCGCGCTCTGAATTTCAAGTAGCACATCAGCAGCATAATATTCAACAATATACGATGTGGAGTCTAGAGAACCACCGCCGTGAACGAGGTCGATCGTTCGAGAACAAGCCCTCTGTCCTGCGCGAATATTCAAGCAGTCCACCGCGAACTCCTAAAGCACCGCTGCACACACCCGATGGATTCATTGTGCATGGCACGCCTGGTGCTCATGACCGAAACAGTTACTTCTCTCTGCCTATGACCTCGCCATTGGCTGAAAACAACACCATGACAGATACCGCAGAGAGTGCGAACACAAGCTCGTCAATCGAACTGCATTCGGCTTTGCCCAAGGAACGAAATAATACTGAGATTGCACCCGATACTCACGCTGTCGATTCTGACGTGTTGGAGCTTTGGACAGCCTTGGATAGTACCGTTCAGAGCGATAGTGACAGCACCAGCTCGAATGTGGCGGAGCCTGCCTCACCATCAGAAGACACAGTGATGACTGATGCTCAGGTATCTCCAGGATTCACCATTACGCAGACCGTCCCGGAGGTATCGTATCACACTTTCGACGAGCCCTTCATATTCGACACGGTAACGTCAGAGCTTACTTGTGGCAAACGAGCATCATCTTTTAGGTCAAACTCCGCTTCAAAACGTGCCAAAATACTGATCAGTTTAGACCCGGACAAAACGATGTTCCACAACGCAAGGAGCACTAGTGTACAGTTCCTTCAAAGTCTTCTGGACAGTCCAAAGCTGGACATCGTCAATGAGATCACTGGAGAGGTATACGTGAAGAGCGCCTCCCTACACATGCTCGAGTATTTCTGCGGCGGACAGGCTATCAACTCTCTTGTGCAGAGAAATTGCCTTCTTGTACCTCCAACACACGTTTCAAGAGACGGCATCATCCGCGTGATCCGCTACATGCGCCGCTGGTGTCAGGACCCAAGTGTCCGTCCCACTGGCGAGCTGCGGACGCCGCCTAGCATCAAAGAAGGGATTGCTACTTCTTTGGCATGTCGCTTTCTCCACCTTGACGCAAACGCTCAGCACATGGAGGATCTCGTGGTACAGGACTTCATGGGCAGTCCGCGGTTCTTCATTACCGACGAGGATGTGGAGCTCATCTGGTGTGGCTACGAAGAGACGCTGAGGGATACATCGTTCGGTGATGCTGTGGTTTGGTTTGTACTCGAGCATATCATGGGAGGTACGCATGCACTTGCTGACGAGGTGAGGTGGATGTTGGAGCAGGAAGAGTATGAAGACCTCAAGGCAAGGATCAGGTATGAGTTGAAGGAGGCGGAGTGGAGGGGCATCGGAAGGAAGGCATTTTTGGAACGGTGTTTGAAGGATAGGGAAGAGATGGCGGCCTATGGGGAGGGCGGGGATAGTCACTTTTCGCAAGATGGCAGTGTATCTAGGGCTGGAGGTTCTAACAAGGATAAGCCTTTGCCTCGCCTACCAGCGAGTTCGTAGGGATAGGACCTTGGCCGCATTCAGGGCTGTTCAGGAGATACCACTGATGTGTGTGTTGGATTTGAAGGTGATGGCTCTGCCACAAAATCTGAGCTCCAAAGTTTTGTTTCTTGTAAGACATACGTGGAGGTTGCGTTGTGGTCGTTTGTCGCCAACACGGCCGATCTGCGTCGTAAGTGCAAACCATGGGTGTTGAATAAAACGACAACGCCCTACAGCGCAGCAATGAAATGAAGACAGTACATTCACGATACCGTGATTGCAGCATCGCACACCTTGGGAAAAAAACATAGAGGAGCCGCCAGCGACGGTTCACCGACTGTATAAACAGCTCGTGAAAATGTTAGATTTGCCTGTTCGTACTATACCTGCGGTCGACTCTGGTGAGCATGCTGACAAAATGTTCGAAGGCTCTGACGATCGTCCCTGTGGGAAGCAATATCAAGTACTGCATAGAGCCTTCCGAGGCCCCTGGTTTGCGCCTGAGATCCGCTTGTGGATATTTCGAAACGGTATTCCACCGCTGGAGATTTGCTCGATGATACAAGACCGAGGCATAACCGTGGAGGATGACAGGAATTAATCCAGTCTTATCGATTTCGACCATTGGATGGATGCCAACGAAACCCTCCGGAATCAAGGTTCGATGATCCCCTCCTAATAACGTGAGACTTTCATGACCAAACAAGTGCAATGCTTCCCTACGACTTCGTCTTCGGGGACCATCGGCCAGCATTCAGGGCCAATTCGTTGAAGGATAGACATTTCAATCTTGGAGAGGCTACCGAAAACCACGTAACCCCTCCCGACGGCAGTCGACAGGATATTGAAGGCTCGAGCGGCCAAACAGGAGACTTCCACGTGACGTGCGCGGAGTTATTCAGAGTTGGCCGGGCAATCTCAAGGGGTTGTTTCTTTGCTGAGCTGCCGGAGCGTCTGTGATGGTAGTCGGCAAAGACACTGATTCTAGGTCTATTCTGATCCCTTCAGACTACCGTAAGCGAAAGCGGCCCTTTCCGCGCCAGGCACGTCCTAGCTCAAGGAACATGACGTACTAGTCTTAAACCTCTCTGAATCAATACGCTGCAAATGTGCCACTGATTATTCATACAAGATAAATGCCGAATCAACGCTCCTAGCAATGCTGGACGCCACAGAGATGAGGTTCCGAGGACAAACAAGGACCCACCTCTGCCTGCATAAGCGAATCAGTCGTGGAGGGTACGCGCTCATGGCGAATGATACCGAGACCCCACGTTCCCCCGCCTGCAAGCCTTACGCGCGCAGCAAACATGCGCCCCTCACGAAGGAGGTGGCCTCTGTGTCTCATCCATAGCTAACGTTGGTTATAACCGTTACTCTTATCGGTCCTTCACCCTAAAGAAGTGTCAATACCATGGCTTCGGAGCGCCCCAGCGCTGCGGGCGAAGGTACACATGGCAAAAGGCCCCATGTTGAATCCTTTCTAACCACTCATAGTACCTTCAGCGACTCCTGACACGACTAGTCAAGCAAGCGCGAAACTAAAGCGACGAAGAGTGAAGCGTGAGGGGCCACCACAGCTTCAATTCCTCATTGCAACCGATCCTTCGCAGTTTAGAGATGAAGATGCGAAGAGAAGCGTACGGTCCCAGGCGATGATACACTGGAGACATGAGGAGGACAAGAAGAAAAGAAAAGGCAGTCAGAAGGATGACTCGACTCCAACCTCATCTGGAAAGGGTACCGTCCGTGATACATCCGCCAGGTCTGAATGTACCTCGTCTATTCCCACGCGTACACGCCAAACGCAATCCGTACAGTCTTGGTCAGAACCGGCAGAACTACAACATGAACAGCTGCAACACGCATCCTCTCGCAAGGGATCAAACTTGTTGGGGATGAGTTCAGACTCAAGTCCCTTCGTTGATACTGGTAGCTCGCGTTGGCAGCTCACTGCAACCGAAACTGCAAGTTACTTCCCACAGTATCAAAACAAGACAAGAGCTATCACAGAAAAAGCTGTCATTGATTACGAAGAGAGTGAGAGACATGAGGAGCGCCAGCTTCGGACGATGATTGTTGGCTTAGCAACTTTCTACAATATTGGCGGATCCCATGATCCATTCGATGTGTTACCACAATTTCGGAACCCATATCTAGATGCACTGTACTTATCGCGTAACTGTAAGTCTGGACCTACAAGCTTAAGATCAGCTCCTGACGCGTCTACCTAGGCATGCGTGCGTTTGCCTCTGACTCGACTATGAAGAAATGGTTACCATTGATGCTGTCGCACCCACATATCATCCTGAGTTCCACCGTCTTGGCATCAACATGGCTTGATATGCACAACAAATGCTCTGGTGATAGCACAACGACTGTAATGGTCAAAGCTGAGACCATAAGCATGATCAATGAGCGCTTGGCCAATCCTACCTTGCAGCTGGATGATGCTACACTAATAGTCATTTTGCATTTGTTTGCAGGCGAAATGTGGGTGTGCAATGAGAAGGCGTTGCGAATCCATGAGAATGGTGTTGCAACGTTCGTCTCTCGACATGGAGGCTTGTCCTCTTTCATCTACAACAGAGCTTTGGCTGAAGTGGCTATCGCGTATGTACCCTGAGCTGTTTTCTTCAAGACGTGAAGTAGCTAATTGAGACCAGGTGTTGCTACCACTGTGATATCTTCTGCGAAGCCGAGATGTTGGCGCCGTTCCGAGAGGGTTTACCCGCGAACTCTGACTTAATCGACAGCGAGACAGCATTGCCAGAATCGCCACTGTACTGCCCGAGAGACGCCTTCCTGACGATTTCTGACGACGCACAATGCTCGCAGTCTACCTTGGAGCTCTTGTGCGACATGAAAGAACTCACCAACATCTTTGTGGCGCACAACATAGCCCTGAATACAATACACAATACCGATGCAGCAGACATCACACGCCTGGGTCTTCCGAACGACGCTTACGAGGCCACGATCCAGAATATTCGAACACGGGTGACTCTATTACCTTCAGCCCACACACCTGATGTGCCAGTTTCAGGAGACTGGGTATACGAAGCATGTCGCATAGCAGCTCTGATCTACACAACCGCGATTGCGATGGGCATACCCTTCTCTGTAGCTGCAGACCCAAACTACGTCAACTTCTTCGAAACACCAATGTCTTTCGCCATTTGGGACAGCGACGAACAACTTCCCAAACCTCACCTCACCGAAGCTCTCTACGAAACACTCCAGCGAGCCAACACCAGCAACGTGTGGAAGAACATGTCTGGCGTGCTTTACTGGGTGGGCGCCGTAGGTGCTGCTGCAGCTCGCATACCAAGCACCATGAACATGGCGCAACAAGATAGGCCTGGACCTGAGGCCTACTCTGTGTGGGTTCGACGTTGTCTGATCATGACCGCAACTCGCACAATGATCGTCTTGGTCTTCGAGCACCCCACAGCTATCATCACAGCACAGAAAACATTGCTGAAAGTGCAGGAGCTGATTGGGTCTCATGCATCCAGGCGTCTTGAAACTTGAGCAGGACCATGTGTTCCATGTGCGAGACGTGGATTTGTTCGGCTTGCGGAAGTCCGCGGATCCCGACCACCGTATTCTGAACGATAGCCCAGCAGCACATGTCGTCCCGAGAAGACAGTGTGATGTCAACACTGACTGAACTGGCATGGACTTGTTTTGTGGTCCTCGTCTTCCGAGTACCCGCAACCCGTTGTTCTGGGTCGTGGTCGCTTACTGGGACCCTGTAGGACGCTTGAGTCGATGCTCATCACTGGACACTTTGAGAGTTTTTGTCAGACCACACGGAATGTTCTCATGCAGCCTATGGCCTTTATCGTTCAGACCGAAGGCTACTGAGTCTAAAAGTTTCGCGCATTTGGTTCGTCCGGAAGAGCCGAGCTTGTTCGTGACAAGCTGTCTCACGGCGTCCGCTTATGTCCGTCAGCCTTTGTCACAGTTGCTCACTGTTCGAGAAGCAAGACAAAATTTTGGACGTCGTGTAGCAAATCTGGGAATGAGGAGTGGGAACTGCGGGAAGATCTTGATAAGCGGCACATCAAAACATCACGCCGCTGACCAAGGTTTTGTATCATTTTCTCGTGCAGTTCATCAATGTGACATTGCAACAATGTCATTGACATGTGCAAGGATCAATTGAAGCGATGGCATTGAGGTTGGCAAGTTGTATTTTTGGGCCATCTGACCTTGGCTGCCTGATTTGCACTTTCTCGTGTTTCAGAGCACAGAAGTTCTACTGACAAATGTCGGCCACATTCGAGAGAACATGATTCGCGGCGCCGATTGATGACTCTGCCTGCCGCCAGCGGATCTGTGAGATTTCCGTCAGAAGCGGTAACCCAGCTTGTCCGAAGGCGCAAGTGCAGGTGACAGGCAGGGACGACGCTGCTTTCCGATTGGCTCGTGCTGACCATTTTTTGTTCAGGACCCACCCAAACAATGACAGCTCCCATATAAGGTATACGACCCACGTTCAGCAAGATGCATACAAGAACGATTATCGCACTGAGCCTTGGATTTTCCATCCCATTCCTTATCGTCATGGCTCTCGTTTCTCGACTGTTTCTGCACCGGCACTCCAAGAACAGCAGCAAGCAGGACATCTATACCGTCGATGGTGACAATGGAGAACCATATCAGCTACCTCGCAGATCCAGCTCGTGGAAACAACTTTTTACACCAAAACAGAGGGATGGGAATTCGAGGTGGGCACCAACGTTGTCAGGAATCGTCAAAGCCGGGGATGAGGGCTTGTGGTCCTCCGCACTGTTCACCAACCCGCATGGTCATCCTGGGGAAGTTTCATTCGAAGCAATCTGCGAAATGTTCGCCAACGAGCTTCGATCACGCTCGATGACGGAACGATCTGCATACTCCGGGGAGATTGGTAAGTTCCTCAACTCGGCGAAGCGGGGTGCGACCGGGCCTAGGAGGGTGCAGTCGATGTCATACAAGAAGACCAATAGTGGGCGAAAAGAAGTAGCGCCGCCAACACGGAAGAGCTTGGACATGTCTACAGTTGAGAGAGGCCTTGGAAGGAGTTTGTCCATCAAAAGGCCGGCGCCAGTTCTGGTTCCCATGGGCAACGGACTGGTCGAGCAAGATAGCACAAGCGCTGCCCAACGTGCATGGATGAAGAAAGGTCGACCAGCAGAGTACTACGACGGCCGAATGAGCGTAAGACTCACGTCTGCAGAGTTTGCAGCCCTGTCTGTGATACTAGGCAGCTCGATCACGAGCACATCAAGCAACACTGAAGCCAACGCTGTGTTCGTCGACAGAGGCGCCTTTGGTATTTCGATTTGGTCCACCTTCACCGATGATGGCAGACCAAAAATCTCACTCAAGCAACACAAGCGCAACATCTCGCAGCTGCCCTCTAGTGGGTCTGGCCACTCTTCACTCTTTGCAAAGCACCTCGCCTGCGGCTCTCTACCTTTCTCGCAGGATGCGAAATCGATCAGTAGCATCCTCGTCACAGACGAGACTTTCGATGCAGTGCAATTAGGCGCGCCACTCACAATGCGCAAGCGATCACAGCAGACACCACAAGCGAAGTTTCTCGCCACGCTACCAAGCTCCCGCGACCTGATCTTCTACGCCATCGAAGCATCTACGAAATCAAGCCCCTCGACTCCGCTCATCGACGCCATCGCACTGCTTCCGTTTTCCGGTGGTCTCACACCCCTCGCTTCTGCACCGCTCATTGAGACGATCCAATTCGTCGCCTCAGGCGGCCTGCACCCTGGACGTCTTCTCCAACGCGTAGAGGGCCTTATCGACAAAGTACAAAGACACTCGCCAAATCTCAACATCTTTGGTCCACTCCACGAACCTCAGAACGCAGGGCTACTCTTCCGCGAGCGGGAACGTCTTGGGAAGGTAGCAACCGGCGCCGTCACCGAAGAACTGGCAGATAAAGTGGCTCGTGTGCAGCGCTATGTTGCGCTTCTCGAGCGTCTTATGGTTCTTGTGCCGGACATGAAACCACAAGAAGTCCTCGCCGCAGTCCAGGAAGCTACAAAGAAAGAACTACAGCGCTCATACATAGATGCCGTTGCAGCTCACGCCAGTACCCCTGGCTCGGCATCACCATCATCTCTACCAACCATCGTCGACACACACTGTCCTAAATCCGACGCGCGCAGCAACCGCCGACACGCATCCAACTCTTCACGTCCATCTGCGCGCCGCTCTCCACGATCAAGCCTTGATTCTGCCTCCAATGGCACGATCACTTCGAACCCCGGTCGCCGGTCCATGACCTTCCCTGAACACAATCTTGGGAAGCAGGTCGAGACGCTCTTGAAGTCGGACCTGTCATTTAGTGTCGATACTATCGCCGCTGTTGCAAGGCTGGTGATTGTGGCGTGGACGCTGAGTGTTGAGACGGTTGCTTGGGAGGAGGGGGAGGAGGGGTTTAGGGTCCCGCGTTTGGAGGAGGTGCCGGGGGAGATGATCCTCGTCTGAGTCAAATGTGGATTGAGCATGGGCAGGAGCGCAGCTTCTCATGGCCACAGATTGCCACAGAGGCACGTTTGGCAGTTGTGCATTGATTTTTGGCGTTTTCGGTTGGTTGAAGATGAGATACCATTTCTAATGTTCGCAATGACGTATATGAATAGATGTATATTCTACTATATGGAATGTTGTCTTTCCACCGCTCACGTTTCAACTCGCTCACAACCAGGACCCGCTTAGCGCGTACACACGCTTGTGGAAGGCATGCGAGGTGCCGCCACTTCCGTGTCGATCTGTGCTTAAGCCGGCTGAGGGCCCGTATCTGGCCATGCACCCCTGATCAGAAACGCCGTTGACAACGCAGGGCTGTGGGTGAGGCTGGCAGATACGGGAGTACGGTGGATCCGGTAGGGCTGCGCGGCTTCGGTGTTCCGCAGTCCGAGGAGCACAACGTCCCATGAACCCTGGAAATTTGTCGCGTTCAGTCGCCATTATATGCAGTGGCCATTGCTCGTGATGATTTTAAAGGCTTCTTTCATGTAGCTCTATGTGTGCTGTCCCTCTATGATGCCTCGTGTATCGGATTCATGCCATCATAAACTCATAAAAGTCCAAAAACTCGTTACGCCCAACGTAGTCTGGTTTCACCAAACCGGGAGCATCCATCGTTGATTAACAGCAGTCGAACGGAGATTTAGGGCGCTCAGTCACTGCCCATGACCTCCAGTCCTCTGCATACGCCGACCCAGCCGTCGCGCATCGCTTCCCACACTGTCATCATCTTGTCTTCTTCCATGCCGTCTCTCTTCCGCTCTTTGCGGTCTTGTGCATCGCCCAGCCCGTTCGCAATGCTGACTCCATTGCTTGTCTTCCCGCCCTTCGAGCTCTGCAGCGCACTCGATGTCTTCAAACCTTTGCCATCCAACTCGCCCTTGACTTCCCACCCGCGCCGTACGGGCCCGGAGACGGTGGCGGGCGATATCAGAGTGCTGTCGAGCAGGGCGTTCCAGCGCGAAAGGTACATCCCTGGTCCGTGGGTTGAGCCTTTTGTTTCGCCGTTCTTCATTATACTCTCCAACCTACTCTGGCTTGTGGCTTTCAGCTCGGAGAGATGTGAAGCGTGCTCGTCTAACAGCTTCTTGAGCTCGTCTTGCTTATCCTTCGGCAGTGTCTCGAATAACGAGTGCAGCGGCGCTGTCATATTTCCTGCACTGCCTTCCCGGCTCTGCTCGTCCGCTTTGAATTCTCCAAAGATTTGCTTCGCGTATACGAGGTAGTCGTGTGCGAGCTCTGGTGCGTTTTTCGTGACTTGGTGCAGGAACTTGTGCATGCTCGGGGCGTGTTTGCGCAACAAGACCACGAAGTCTTCGACGGTCGGTGCGTCGCCGTTGTCTGTATCTGTTACGCTGGCGGGTGCGGTGTCCACATTGCTGGCGTTGGCTTCGCGCTCTTTGGAGGTCTCGCGGCTCTTGCGGCCGGATTTCTTTTTTGGTTTTGATGCTTTGATCAGGTCGGTTATGAAGTTCTCGGCGTCGGTGACGGTGCTGGAGAGGTCGACTGCGTTGTGGATGGCGCGGATTACCGGGTCCATTGCGCTGACGCAGTCGCGGACTGCGGAGGTGAGGACGTCGGGGTTGGATTTGCAGAATACTTTGGTGATTTCTTCGCGGTCGCGGATGGAGAGGTATGTGCTGTAGTATTCCATGGCGATGTCGTGTTGCTGGTCTTTGAGGGAGTCGGGCTTGATGGGCGTGTCGGCGGTCTCGAGGATGACGGCGATGATGGACTTCTTCTCCTGGATGGACATGTTGCGCGCAGCTTCATGCCTGTCTCTCGATGCGTAGACGTGTGCTTTGATTGCCTTTATGACCTTCTTATCTGGTGCATCTCGCGAGGACTCGAGCTTCGATGCCCTCTTCTGGAACTCAGCCGTGTCCCAAGCCAAGATTGTGCTGATGATCTGCTGCATCAGGTTCATGCCGTCGTTCGAGTTGTTCGTGAGCCCTATCCAGTTGGTCATGGCAGTGACGGAGAGCTTGGCTAGGATCAGTCTGACCATTCCGTTGACCATGGACGCTGCGTTGCCGATGCGGAGCGTCTGCTTGATCATGTAGTATGGGATGAGCCGGTGGATGTTCTCGAGGAGACGGACGAGGTACTGGCCGTCTGGCGACATGACGAAGACATGGTGGAGGAAGGAGGCGACGTTCAGCAGGATAAACTCGTGTCCAGCCTGCACTAGACTGGAGTGGTCCTCGAGCTTGTCTGTTGCTGTGACCTTCACCAGCAGCTGGTCGAGCAGATCGCCGTATATGAAGCTACGCGTACACTCGTCCCACGCTTCTAGCACGTCTTCAGGCTTGCTGGTGTCGTACTGCTTCTTGCCGTCGTCCTTCCTCTGCGCTACAGGGTATCCGCCCAGCATGCCCCTCCCGATGTACTCTGCGAGACTACTCGCAGCTGTGGCCAGCGCTTTTCTTGATCCAATCGCGCCCTTGTCGTAGCTCTCACTCAGCTCGGCCTCTGCCATCTTTGCGACTAGAGTCTGAATCTTGTCCTGCCAGAAATTGTTCCCCAGGTTCTTGAGCGCGGGGTTAGTCAGCGCAAACTTGTTGAGCATGTTCTGCAGCAGCGGACTCGTCGTCTGCACGCCATCTGCCTTGCGGAAGGGGTGTCCATAGTGGTCGATAGTGGAGGGGTGCTTGAACGCCTCGATTTCGGCGTAGATCTGGTGGTGGATCAGGATATCGAAGAGCGCGTGTGTCTGCGCGGGCGCGAGCGGGGCAGAGGAGGACGACATGTTGGGTATCGTGTGTATACTGCTGGGGACATGGTGGAAGAGCGCTGGTCGGTTGTCACGGCCATACAGAAGGTGCACTAAACGGTGGTTGACGCGCCATGCGGCAAGTGGGTGTACGCGGGGTACGTCATCGGTGCGGGAGCTTGGCGTGTTTTGGCCAGACTTCGCTCTGTGACACCTGCATCCTTCACCCGCCACCATCGTTTACAACAGGTAGCCTTGCGCCTTCCTGCCTTGCCGTCCAGTGGGACGTTTGTGCATCGCCGTTCAGGCGCGCACGTAGAGAATACAATCATCAAGAAGGGTCGGTCAAGTTCCATTACTATGCAGCTCGCTTTTCGTGTAGTCAACGCTTTCCCATCCAAATTAAGATTATTGGGTTTGGTCTCGCCAAATCCTTCAACTGGATAGCTTTGCTTCTTGATATCCAACATCTCCTGTCCGAGTCCTTCAACCCGAGTTTTCTCCGCTACTCTCTGCCTCAGTCGCTCTTGCCAACACGATCTTCTTCATGCCAGCAAGGTGAGGCTGCAAGACCATACGGCTCTTGTGGTCTGATCTCGACCCACTCGGCAAAGTTTGCAGGCTCGGTTGGCGCCCGACTGTGGGCTGTCTACACCAGCTGCTTCAGCGCTACGTTCATAGGTGCCGCTAGAAGTCGTTCCAGGAGCGCCGTCTCGTATCATACTCGTAGGTTATTGCGCCTACAGTCCTGGTCAATTGAGTGTTTCACTGACGTCTGGCGACTGACGAACCCTTCCTTCTCCGGAAACGTGGCCTTCATACGCTTCGTCGTCTTTTTGACTACCTCCTCGTATGTCTCCTTAGGTTCAATGTGGTGTTTGGTGGCGAAGAGATGTAGTTTCGGTACGCACATTAAGGTAACGATTTTGTCGGTCATAGCCTCCGCATACCTTGATGGCTGGACATGGTTGTCGCGGCCTCGGATGGCACGAATCTGCTCGACCTGCAAAGGTGACTCCTGAAACCGCCGGAAAATTGCCTCTTCGAGATGGCGGCTGGCATCTGGCATGCCAATGAACGCGAACAACTCGGCTAGGTAGATGTACGTGGCAACGTCAGCTTTAACTTTCCACGGTGCGGTGCGAACTCTGGGACTGAGCACATATGGCTCCATGTACTACACAATGAGCTTGACTGCCAGCACGTTACTGAAGCCTTGCGGCAGTCGAATCACAAATCGGCCATTCGGTGGCTTCATATGTCTACCAACGTCTGGGCAGACCGCAAAGAGCAGGGTTCGTGTGGTGCGCTTGTAGACGTGCGTGTCGCCGATGTACCAATCTATGATGGGTCCCTGCTCCATCATATCTCTCCGCTCATTGAGTGGTAGTATCAGCTGCTGCTGAACGCTGATCTCGCCTATCTGGACGCCGAAGCGGAGTGCAGTTGTATATTGCTACATGGGTGTAATTATACCTCCATGTCAACTCATCAAGACCTACATTACTCAGAGCGACGAAATCCTTTGTACCACTTTCTCCTCGTTCCATTATGCTCCGAGCTTTCTGGCATGCTGAGGTTTTCGAACTCTGACGAAGTGCCAGTTACGAACGACTCGTCAGATTCGATCTTAGCTCCGTACAAGCTACCCCGCTCACCTCCTTCAGGTATGTCATTAGATTTGGGTACCTGTCTGGAGAGCTTCCGCTGTTCCTTTGCAGCCCTAATCGCAGCCAGATCCAATGGCTTAGGTACTGCACTGCGGTGTTCGAATTCATGAAGCGGATCCTCAGCGGATCCAGACAGTTGCCACGCTGCGATCGCAGTCGTGAGAAGATTTTCCACATTCTTGTCCTCGGCCTCATCCACTTCATGCACGGTTACCTTCACACCTTCATGCCCATGCTTCGAGTCCGGATAACGCAACATGCGCGCCCGCTCAAGCGTAGTAGATCGCGGACGGGGCTCGGTGCTGTTCATACCGAAACGTTTCTTCTGGACCCTAAGAGGTGAAGGCTCTTCAGGAAGCGGCAGCATGCGCTCGGCCTCCTTGTCTGGATGATGAGAGCTCTCCAGCTCGTCCACAGTCAATCCCTTCGACCGCGGCTGCTGTGCCACCTTACGGAAGTCCTCAGTCAGCTTCAGAAGAGGCGATACACTTGCCTGGCTTTGACCAGTACGCAGCTTCTGGTTCACATCCTTCGAGGCAAGTCCCGGACGATCGCTATCACCACCTCCGGCACCTTCAACCTCTGGTTTCGTGGAAGAAGAGTCGACGAATGGCTTCAACGTTTGTCTGCTTCCACGCATATACTCACTTCTAACTTCAGACTCGGCCAAAGGTGGTGGACGACGCGGCCCTTGCCCGCGCCTCGGATGCGGATTGAATCCACTTTGCTCAAGGACTCGCTGTGGCTCAACTGGCCAAGTCCGTGACCGACTCCCAGGACTCAGTGGTGGATCATCCTGTGCACCACGCACGAGCGTGTGAAGACCTGGAAAATCTGGAAGTGTCGCCATCTGCTGCCAGCCGTAGGCGACGTGATTGGGATCATCGTAGAACGGGATACGAATGCCATTGTACTGCTCGTCACGTGCAGTATGTCCCACGTCAGGCTCAGGGAGTGGTGACTGCTGCTCTGGTGTAGATGGACGCTGCGACTTGCGCCCGTTCGAAACGCGCTTCTTGCGTAGGTTGTGTGGCATGGTTAAGTTTGGTGAGAATTTCCGAAGCGATAGCGGAGACTTTGTATGTCGAAGCGCTCAGTATGACCACAAAATTAAGTTGGAGGAATAGTGAAAGGCATTGACGAGCACACTGTGACGTGTGAGCTTTGCTAAGTGAGTAGTGAATGGCTTGCGACGACCAAAAACGTGTTTGCCACCTTTCTGCCAGCACGACACCCCTTACGAACGAACAAAGGACGCATGTTCATACACGTCTCCGAACAAGAGTCATCGAAATTCTAGAATATCTTAACTACAATGTGGTGCACCCCGCCGTCAATATTGAGCAGATCATATCGACCAGCATATTCGTACACTTGTGTACAAACGCCAATTCACCATGTCACGTTCGGATGCTCGTACCCGCCATCTCGTTCCCAACCCAGGGATCTGCTTACAGAGCGCCCATTGTGCATGCCCTTTGCGGCTCAAGCTCCGTGTTTCAATTCATGCGTGGGTCCTGCGTTTGTTTCATATCGACCGAATTGCTCATGTGGCTGAGGCGAGAGTGGCGCCGCCAAGACGCGCGATCATGAGTGTTCCGCTCTTCGATCTTTCATGCGTTTCCTATTCTTCCTCACAACGTGCCGTTTCGACAACGCTTGCGCGATAGACATAGTCCTACACATGTCACGTCGTATGATTCCGTGCGATGTAGGATAGACCGTTCTGATACGCTGAAGGCCTCCAGTGCTCTCTTCACGACAACATGATGCGCCACAAACGTGAGCGCCAACAGTCCTGCTGTCATCCCTGAAGCGGAAAGGACGGCTGCTGGAAATACATCGCCAAGACCCAGGACAGCACACTAACATCGAACAGTCAGGCTTGTTCCAACTGTCAATGCCTTTTTGGGTACACAGCCGCGCCCAGGAAGATGCTCACAGACCTGCAATTTGCTGTTGTGGTCCTGACCTGGAGTAGATGTATAACACAACCACTTTGCGATGCCTTCGAATCTTCATACCACTCTCTTTCCACAACCACACTCATTCTAGGTTCCTTCCGAATTCTCTCATTTTCTATCGTTTCTTACCTTGAGCGGAATCTTCGGCTGGTCTGAGTGAACGTTCTTTACCTTTCTTCAGCAACTCTTCATCTTCATCACATTTCAAAAGTCAACAATATGCGTTTCGAAGTCACTGCTCTCCTTGCTGCTGCCGCCAGCGCCTCAGCTCAGGCTGTCGTTGGCAAGGCCTACGGTTTCGCTTCTGGAGTAACTGGTGGAGGCAGTGCTGCGGCTGTCACTCCTACTACCGCGAACGAGCTCGCCGAGTACCTCTCTGACGACACCGCTCGCGTTATCTTGATCACCAAGGAGTTCGACTTCACAGGAAAGACGGCAACAGGATCTGGCTGTGACAGGAAGTCCTGCAGTGCTTCCAACGGTGGCCAGTTTTACCTCGGCGAGCTCTCTTGCGCCACTTCTGACGATAATGTGCCCGTCAGCTCCATCAAGTACGACACTGCTGGACCTGATCCTCTGAAGGTCGGCAGCAACAAGTCGATTCTCGGTGTTGGTGGCAAGGGTGTGCTCAAGGGCAAGGGTCTGTCGCTGGCTAAGAACGCAAAGAACGTTATCATCCAGGGTATCGAGTTCACCAACATCAACCCTGGTGTCGTATGGGGTGGTGACGCTCTCGACTTCCAGGGCGGTAACGACGGTGTCTGGGTCGATCACAACAAGTTTACCCTTGTCGGCCGCATGTTCATCGTCTCCCACTACTCCGCCTCGCGCCTAACTGTCTCCAACAACGAGTTCGATGGTACCACCACCACCTCTGCTAGCTGCAATGACAACCACTACTGGACAATGATGTTCTACGGCGATGGTAAATTCTGCTCTTCTTTTGCCTTGCAGGTAGCAAAGTCTCTAACATATCACAGGCGACAAGGTCACCCTCGACCGCAACTACCTCCACAACGTCTCCGGCCGCGCCCCCAAACTCGGCCAGGACGGCACGACCGGCACCTTCCACGCCGTCAACAATTACTTCGAGAACATGAAGGGCCACGCCTTCGACGCGTACACCGGCGCCCAGGCTCTCATTGAAGGAAACGTTTTCTCCGGCGTCTCGCAGCCCGTTACCGACAAGGGCGCTAAGGTCAGCACCTTCGTTGTCAACGGCGGTTCCGCCTGCTCTTCCGCACTCGGCCGTACCTGTCTCGAGAACAGCGTCGACTCTGCCTCCGGCAAGCTGTCTGGTGGTTCCACTTCATCCTTCATTTCTACGCTCAAGGGCAACGACGTCACTCCCCTCGCCGTCAACAAGGTCGCCGCACACGTCAAGGCCAACGCCGGCCCCGCGAACCTTGGCTCTGCCTCGTCCGATGCGACCGAGAAGGAGGTCTCCACTCCTACGACCACTAAGGCTGTTACTACCACCAAGGCGGTAGCTACCACTGCTGTTGCTGTCAAGACAACCCTTGCGACTGTCAAGAAGCCTGCTGCTACCCAGGAGGCTACTTCGGGTGGTGCGGCGGTTGCGGCGTGGGGTCAGTGCGGTGGTTCGGGGTACACCGGATCTACGACTTGTGCAAGTGGATTAACCTGCAAGAAGCAGAATGACTGGTACAGTCAGTGCTTGTAGATGTGTTGTCCAGAGTGGAGGGTAGAGGTCGTCAGGGGGTGGATGAGGGGAAATTCAAATGTAAATTTTTGGAGAGTGTGGGTGTGGATGTGTATACTTGATCAGTAGCTCAGTATCAAGGCCCGAATGGTGGGATCAATGGGCTCATCATATGAGCCCTGCGGATAGCCATCGTTTTGCCGGGATTATAGTAGAATTTCTCTCCACCATGTTGATAATCAATTCAGTGTCGCCTATGGGCCCAGACAGCATCCAACCAGACGTCACGCGCGGAGTTTTCGTAGTCGGGATTTAGCAACGAGCGCAGGTTTTCATGAACCAGACCAAGCAGACCGTAGATTCTGTCTCGAGCGTCCATACATTTCATGCTGCCGAACTTCTCCATGCGCCAGCTCAAGTTCCAAAAGCCCAGTCCATGATTGGAGCCCATCGATCCCACTCGCTAGTAACCACAAAAACTTGTTCCGATCTTTTGTGCTGTTTCCAAGAGCGTCCACCATGGTCCATGTCTCCTTCAATAGTAGATTCACCGTCGCGTAAGCGTTTTGCATCAGTTCACTGCGCTCGAAAGCTTCTGGTATTGCCTCCCACCCGATCCAAACATTTTCTCTGGTTATACTTGTAACCCACGTCAGTTGATCCTCTGCTCGGCTAGTACTTTGCTTGCTTAAATCACTTCGTCGCTGTGACCGTTTTTCGAGCGCACTCGTCGCTCGTTCAGTCATGGCGTAAATCTTTTCCTCGACTTGTCATCACTCGAAGGAGCTTGTTTTTCTGGATCCTTCATTCTGACTTCCACGCCCACTGCAGATACCAGCGAGGACCATAGGCGGCGATATTCTCGGTCATGTAGGTCTCTGGCGGCAAGACTACCTCCAGAAACGCAAATAAAGCAGCTACCTCGCGGCTGTCGGTTCCCATATTGGCACCCAATTGCCGTGTAGCCTTGAGCCATTGCGGGTATGCTGTATCGAGCTCGGACTTGATGATGCTGTGCAACGCCATGACGACAGCGAGGTAGACATCGTAGATCCACTTCTGGTAGTCGACAGTCACCCGATGTTCCACTTCGAAAAGACTCATCAAGCCGTCTGCACGCATGCTGGCGTTTAGACAGGTGTTGCAATCGCTCTTCCTTGACGTTCACTTTTGGTGGCGGTGGACGAGCCCTCGGTGACCTGATACCATCTCTCGGCGTTTCGAAGGACACCCTCACCCGTGCCCTCGGCGTTTGAGAAGGTTATAATGTACGACACGTGGGAGTCCTGAGCAGTTCTCGAGTATGTACTGCAGCAAGGGTGTGTCTGGTCGAAGTTGAGCTACCTTGTCCCAATCTGGCGTGTTGGGGCACATAATTCCCCAATGTACGGCTTCGATGTGTCGAGTGGCTCATGTTCAAAAAGAGTTGCCCGAGCTGGGGTGTCTGAGTACGTCTCGAAGTCTTCGGTATCCGTAGTAGCTATTGACTCTTGCGTTGCCATGGATGCAAACAAACACCGTATCGGCCGCCGTGCGGTGTACGTCAGTCAGGCTGTGGGATTGTGGCGTGTATAGGAACACGATCGATGTCGAGAGCTGAGGGACAATCGTTCTAAGGTAATCATGAGTGACGATTGCGAAGGTCGTGGAGACCTTCGTGGGATGTCAAGAAGGCTGGGGTAATCGAGAAGCTGAAAGCAAGTTGACGTAGCGGTGGCTGAGTCGGGTTGAGCGACGCTACACAACGTCGAGGAAGGGACGGAAAAGACAGGGTAGTCGCGCTCGACCTTGTTCAAGATATTGAGAGTGAATGTTACGAACCAGACAAAACATGCGCCAACGCTATGCACCCCTCCAAACATCATTCATCGTCATCCGTACCGTCTGCATACCCTCCCTCTCACTCAGTCCATATGCCTAGGAAACTCATCCTCCAACCCAATCGTAACCTTAACATTCATACTTCCCAGCTCCTGAATAAGCAGCTTAGCCGCATACGGCATCGTAATACGTCGAACCGCCTTCTCGCTTTCACAGAGCTTGCAGTAGCCCGAGTAGCCCATCTGGCCGCCTGTCAAACATTAGCATTTGGCTCAAGACTGAAAGTTGATAGGGCTTTGGGGCTCGCCAAACTTACACTTCTCGCACACATCGACATCATGCGCATCCGAACTGATCATCAGACGTTCGAGTAAGAGTTGGGACGCGCCATACGCGATAAGACAATCGCGCTCCATCTCACCCAAACGCAAACCACCACTCCTCGCTCGACCCTCGGTAGGCTGACGCGTAAGGATAGCACGCGGCCCGCGAGCACGACTGTGCATCTTATCCTGCACCATATGCTTGAGTTTCTGATAATAAATCGGCCCAAAGAACGTGTAGAACTGATGCGCCTCGCCCGTAATGCCAGATGTGAGATAGTCCTTGCCCGTGTACGAGAACCCGTTCCTTACGAGGATTTCAGACATATCTTCAACCTTGCTCCCGCCAAAGGCAGTACCGTATTCGAGCGTACCGTTGAGCACGCCCGCTTTGCCGGAGAGAAGTTCCATCATCTTGCCGACTGTCATGCGAGACGGGAATCCGTGCGGGTTCATGATGATGTCTGGGCAGATGCCGTAGTCGTTAAAGGGCATGTCTTCTTGTTGGACAATCAACCCCGTCGTACCCTTTTGGCCGTGACGAGAGGAGAATTTGTCGCCCAGCTCCGGGCGGCGGGTCTGCCGCATCAGCAACTTAATCAGCGTCGTTCCAGCCTCATTCTCAGTGATGCACGCCTTATCAATGTACGAGCAGTCAGGCAGCTTGTAGCGCTCGGGCTTGTCTTTGTACTGGTTTGAAGCCGGGCCTGCGGTGTCGGCCGGCAGGCTCTTGAGCAGGTATGCGTCGCCGGCTTCGAGGCGGGCGCCGACCTGGGCAATGCCGTCGGCGCCGATGGCTTGATGTTCTTGCTTGTTTTGGTCGAGGGCGCCAGCGTTGATGCGGTCGGATGTGCCGTTGGCGTAGGTTTTGAGGGCCGTGACGTGCTTCTTCATGACTTGGCAGCGGCCGAAGCCGCGGTCGCAGGAAGCTTTGTTGAGGATAAGGGCATCTTCGATATCGTAGCCGGAGTAAGACATGACGGCGACTGTGGCGTTCTGACCGGCGGGGAGCTTGTCGTATTTGGTGAGTTCGATAGTTCGAGTCTTGACCATGGGTTGTTGAGGGTAGACCATCAGGTAGAGCAGGGTGTCTATCCTGTTGAACTGGTTGTAGGCGATGGCGCCGATGGCTTGTTTACCCATGGCGCATTGGTAGGTGTTACGTGGCGATTGGTTGTGGTGCGGGTAGGGGATGAGACCAGCAACGGCACCAAGGATGGTGAAGGGTTCGATCTCGAGATGTGTGGTGTGCTGGTTGATGTCTTTCTCAGACAGGGCGATATTCGTATCGTTCTCTTCGTTGGTATCCAGGTATTCCACAAGACCTCTTGTCAGGAAGTCCTCAAACTCCATGGTACCCTTGCGCAAAGCCTTGAGGTATCGTGATGTGACTTTGGAGCGCTCGTTCTCTACGATGATCATTGGCCGACAGATACGGCCTTCATCCGTAGCGATGTGGACTTCGCAGTGGTCGTGATCAATGTGAATGCTGGTGAACTCCGAAATGCGGCCCATCCGCCTAAGCTTTCTGAAGCTATTCAGGAATCGCTTCGGCGTATCTGTGACCGCGATGGGAGTACCGTTCAGACACACTGAGTAAACACCTTCCGCGTGGATCTCCTCTCCAGTCTGCGAGCAGATGTCCTCGGCACCCAACAAGAACACGATCTTGCGCACCGGTCCTTCATCGTCTTCGGTGGTGATATGCGTCATCAGCGCCAAATTCTTGACAAGACCACAAGCCTCTCCTTCCGGCGTATCAGAAGTGCACAGCATACCAAATTGACTCGGCTGCAGCGCACGGGGACCAGACACCTTCCTCGTCTTCTCGAACTGCGAGCTGATTCTCGTCATCATACCCAGCGCAGCAATGTAACTCAGTCGGCTGAGAACGTGCGTAACACCCGCCCGTTCCATCTTGAAACGCTTCAAGCTCCAGTTTCCGGTGGCGATGGCGCGCTCGATACCCATGGTGATGTGGTTCTTGTGCACGCTGAAGTGCGAGAAAGCGTCGAATTCTTGGGCGCGGTTCTGCTTCTTGAGGACTTTGTCGATGCTGAGCTTGAAGTCGTGGTTGAAGCGCTTGAAGTGGTCTTCGAAGAGGAGGGACAACATCTGCCCGGATAACTCGAGGCGCTTGTTCCCGACGTAGTCGCGGTCATCGACCAACTTCGGGTCTTGCATAGCCATGAGCACTCTTCGCGCCATCAAAGCAACGTAGAGGGCTTTCGGTCGGTAGTTCGTGCCAACGACGGGAACGTGCGGGAGAATGACGTTGGACAAGCATTCGATGGCTTCGAGATGGTAGTTTCGCATGCGTGACGCTCCGAGCGGTTTCTTCGTCAGTCGCACGCGGTGCCCGATGTACTCCAGAGCTTTCTCCTGGGTATGGATTCCCTCTCTTGCACAGGCCTCGAAGTTGATCGCAAAACTATCCTGGTACGCGCTGTCGTCTCCAGCAACCATAAGCAGGATTTCCTTGTCCGAGTGTACTCCCAAAGCCTTGAGTGCAAAGACGATAGGGACTTCCTCGGAAAGCGTGTTGTGCCTCAAAAACATGAGCCCTTTCTTCTGGATGACATATGTCTTCGTGCGTCTTTCGTGCGTCGAACTCGTCACGCTGGCCTGCATGATGCCCTTTGCGCTCTCAACAATCACACGGTTCTTGTTCAGCTGCTCCTGCACCAGGATGACCTTCTCTTGTCCACGCGTAATGAAGTAGCCTCCGGGATCCAGCGGACACTCCTCCATGACTGCCATTTCACGGTCGTTCTTCGCAGCCAACACGCACTTGTTGCTCTTCAACATGATAGGCATTCTCCCAATCTTGATGCCCGTCCGCTTGACCTTGGCGTTGCCTCTTGTGTACACGATATCCACCACGATAGGCGCAGCATATGTCATATCCCTCAGCCGGCACTCGTTGGGCGTAATCGTACTGCGGTGGTGGTCGAGGTCATCTTCCTCCTGCCTGTTCGGCGAGAGCACACGGATGTCGGTGTACTCGAGCAGGAACTTGGGGTCGAAGTCGCTGCGCACGAAGCGGTTGGCCTTGATGATCTTCTTGAGCTCGACATCGACGAAGTGGTTGTACGAGTCGACGTGCTGCTTGACCAGGCCCTTGACCTTGAGGAAGGCGGGCAGCAGGTTCCACTTGTCGCGGGCGGTGTTGATGGGCTCGTCGAGGCGCTTGCCGTAGTAGAAGGGCTCGAGGAGGGCGGCAAACTCGTCTTTGGCTTGCGTGTTGAGTGGCGCTTTGCGTTTGCGCGTTGCTTCTGCGGACATGGACGCGTTCGGGTTGAGGTCTGCGGGCGGCTGTCCTTCTCTCGCCGCGCCATCGCCGCCTACAGGACCTCCATTGCTTGCGTCCACCTCTTGCACGCTGCCGTCGGCTGCTGGGGCTTTCGCCCGTGCTGCCCCGCGCGGGGGAGCCTTGGGTTTGACTTTTGGCGCTTCCTGTGCGCGTGTTAGGCCTGTGATTCCTCTTCCCGCTGCAGTCCTGCGCCTACCTGCTTGCCCACCATGTCTGCGACCGCTCACGAGAAGACCTCGGTCGAGCAAGTTGAGGCGTCAAAGGTAAAAAAGTTAGCGTGGCGGCAGCTGCGAGTCAGAGCAGGGATCGAGGTGGGGATGCGTGGGCCAATCGCCATTGGAGGAAATCCGCCAGCAGCCCCATCGCGATGTGGAGGTTGATTTGATTGGCTCAACGTCCCACGTGAGCGATGTGAAGGTGAGTGACCATCCCGCGTTGGCTTCACACGACTTTCGAAGGATCTGGTAATGGAGATGATTGAAACACGTGGGTGTGATTCCGAATATGCAGCCAATGCTGCCAAGTCCCAGCGCCGGCGCAATGCTACCAACCGAACGACATATGCAAGAAGCCTTTTCCAGCCCATCGTACACAAAACACGCCAAGTACAATCGGTCTGGCTCTTCGCATCGTCAGAGTGCTCCGTGTGCTCCGTGTGCTCCGTGTGCTCAAACCGAGAGTGCGACGTGTGCTCAACACTAGAAAGCAGCGCCGCTAACCTCCGTCTCGCCATTCAGGTTCCGCAACGACTGCTCTGCCAGGTCGACGCGAAGCTGAGCCGTCTCCGCATCCCTCTCCAGTGCGTCCCACTCCCTCAGCTTTGCCCTCTTCGCGTCTTCCTTCTTCTCGATCATCTCACGTAGTTTTCTTGCTTCCTCTTCAAGTCTCAGGATCTTGCTCTTGTCATACACCTCGGGTGCTTTTTGGCCGCCGGGAATCTCCTTTGGTAGGTCTGCGAGATGGTCACGGAAGCGCATAGTGCGTGGGTATGTCGTGGCGGTCGAGTTGCTGGAGCCGCGGAAGGTAGCCGAGAAGCTGGTTGGGCCGCTGACAGAGCCGCGAGGACCAGAAGGAGGGCCGTCGTGGAACCCACCGCGGAACCCACCGCCGCCGCCGCGAGAGCCAGCGCCCCAGGACCCACGGCGAGCTGGGCCGGAGAAGTCGCGCGGTGAGTCGTACGGGTAGCCGCCTCGCCCCCCACCGCGTGGCCTAGTAGGCGCACTGAGCGCGGGATTACCGCCTCGCGGTCCTGCTGGTGGTGCCGTCGATGCTAAGCCTGCAGGTCCGGCAGGCGGCGAGATGGCCGGCGAAGGGTAGCTACGGCTCGACGGCCCTGTTGGCGGTGCCCTTGAGAACTCCCCATCGCCGTTGCGGCGGGCAGACGAAGGGCCAGTAGGTGGTGCGAATTCCCTGTCTCTGTCGCCCCGTGGTCCTCTGGGAGGGCTGGCATCCCTTCTCCGTGGGGGACTCCTGTCTCGAACAGGGCTGGCATCCCTGCGTCGAGGAGGCGACCGCTCCCTTTCGCGCTCGCGGAAGTTGTCGCGGGGAGCTCTGCTGCTCTCGCGCTCGCGAAATGGCGATCTAGGCGCGGAAACAGGCTCTCTGGCCGGTCTGTCCTCTACAAGAGCAGCTCTGCTGGGGTGTACGCTGGGACGGGGAGAGGATCTTCGGGAAGTCGCTGCAGACTGGATGCCCGAGGCCTCGTTTGAGGTGTATGCAGGCCTGGCGGAAGGCGACCTACGGCTTCGCCATGTATCTGCGGTGTATGGATCGGTGCGCTCGCGTCTGGGCGAGGGCGAGCGGCGTCGAAAGTCGCGGTTGTCTCGCGGAGGAGGTGAGTTCCGTCGCGGGCTGGTCAAGTCAGCGAAACCCATGTACTTTTCCAGACACTCAGAAACATACCTGTTGATGCGCGAGCGCGGCTCGTCGTATCGGCTTGCTCGCACAGGCGAACGCATCCCCCGGCTCCTAGCTGGCGAAGCTTCGCGTGTCCTGGGCGGTGGTGACCTGTCGCGCGGTCGCGGCGAGCGCGTGTATGAATCGTACCCATCTCTCCTGGGCGATCGAGCGCGGTCATTCCTATAGTCCTCTCGTCGTGGCGAGAAGTTGCGGCGGGGCGGCGAACGTGGCCTTGCCCTCCAATTGTCATCGCGGCGCGGACTGCGTGATCGTCTCCGAAACGCTGGCGAGCGGCTCCTAGGCCGGGGCGGGCGACTGTTGCCTCCGGGAGTGTATGTGTCGGCAGATGCTAAACCACGGCGAGGTGGTGATCCTCGTCGTGGCGGAGGAGAGCTGCGACGAGGCGGTGATCGACCTGCGCGGTAGCTATCCGCGCGAGGTGCAGGTGAACGGGTTCGGGGTCGCGGTGAACGTGGTCTATACGTGTTCGAGTATCGGTCGTCCCTACTCGCATGTCAGCTGCTGTCTCACGTGTGCATGGTGCGTGCACCGTATAGCTGAACTGCTGTGTTGGCGCGCATACAATGGTGTCGGCTTGACAAACCTTCGATCCCGGTCTCTCTCGCGGTCTCGATCCATCATTGTTACGTAAGTCAAAAGTCTGTTGATTCTTCAGGCTGCAATAGATAGCGAGTGTGATGTTGCTGCTATGTATGGCTTCGTAGAGTAAGGGTGGTGGTGGTGGTGGTGGCTGGTTGTTGGTGGTCGAGGTGTGCAATGAAAGTTGAGAGTTCCCGGGCCAAGCCTCTGACACGCGAATAACTTGCGTCACGTGTATGCACGCCAAACACGGGCGTCGAGCATCGCCGATGGACGGCGGGTGTAATTGCTGAGCGCCGTCTCAAGAAGTTGAATCGCTGTCTTGCTGTTTGGCCGTGTTGGTGATCAGTAGCTGCGGTGTTGAGGTTCGATTTAGTGGCAGGCGGTGCATGGCGGTGTATCGTCTTCCTCCAGGGCTAGTGTTCTTCACGTGTCCCCCCCCCCCCATCATATACCTGAGTCTTGACCTTTTCAGAAGAGCCTTCGACTGTTCTTGATGATGCTGTGCAACGTCTGCAATCTCAAAGGCAACACCGTTCTTGTTACCATGCGAATCCTCTTGACTGTATCCTTCCACTTGAAACATCTTTCATCACTGTAAGCTTCGTCTTGTTCTGTCCGGTGCGAAAGACCGGAGGCTCTTGAGCTCGATTTTGTTCATTTTGCGCGATCATGACGGTCGCCGCATGTAACGCCATATCCCAATGCTGGCTACGATTCTTTAGAACCCTTGGATATCCATAACGCCGGCTCGATTCGAGCTGTCCAATCGTCAAGCCACCCATCTTTTGTACAAGAATCCACCTCTTCCGTTTACCGCTTGTTGCCACGCTCAGATTCTCTCTTGACTCTCTTCCTGCTCTCTGAAGCTATCATGTCCGCCAGATCGTCTTGATCGATACTCTGCCACTGTCCTGCGGCCTCGGCTCGTTGCCTCGACTCATACTCCTTCTTCAAAGCGTCCTTGTCCAGCTTGTCGCTGTCCGCTAGCTGATCAACGTCCACAGAAATATCGACATCGCCGGCCTTTCGCTTTCTCTGAGCTGCTCCGAGCTGGTCCCTCCTCGCTGCATCGAGATCGTAAGCGTGCTCGCCGCCGAAGAAGCCGGTCGCTGAGATATTCTTTTCGGGCAGAACCTGGTATGCGCTTCGCGGTGCCCCTGGTTCTTCGGTTTCGATTCCCTTGCGCTGCTTGCGAAGCGTGAACTCGCCACCGATGCTCTCTGTCCCGCCAATCTCAGACGGCATGGCAGATGCAGCGCCGGTCATCGATGTCTGAATGCCACTTGCATCCTCTTCCTCGTCCTCTTCTTCTTCATCATCTTCCTCCTCTTCGTCGCTCTCTTCGTCCTCACTCTCGCCTTCAGCACGCAGTACACCCCATGTCGTGCGTTCCACGGGCTCGCCCTCGTGTGTAGGCTGCTGCTGCTCCTCGAGAATGCTGGTGCCATAAAGGTCGCCACCGAATAGCGGCCGTCCGGCATCATCTGTTGGTGGCTTACCCCACTGTCCAGGTTGGAATCCCCAAGAAGCGCCCGGAGGAATAGGTGCGTTCACACCAGGGATACGCATGTTAGGGTAAGAGGGCGAAGGACCGAAACGTTGCATGTTGATGAGCCATGGTGGTGGATGACCGGGTACCATACCAAGGGCTTCTCTCAGCTCTTCACTCAACTCACCAGGCTTCAGGTTGACAAGGTTTGTCTCGAACTCCTTGCCTTCGTAGTACACCTCGCCGTACCGTGTCAATTCGGGCTTTGTTTGGCGTCGGAAAAATGCGTCGTAGAGTTTCGAGTAATCGATGTCGAGTTTGCCAAGCTTTCCCTGAACGCGCTCCCGCTGCTTTTGTCGCATCGTCATCTCTGCCTGCTTCTCGAGGACAGCATCTCGCATTTCAGCGATACCGGTCTCTTGAATGAACTTCGGCAGCGCGAAAGGCGGCTTTTCGATACCACGCTTTGAGGAGAGGTACTCCCGCTTGAGAGACCAGTGTGTCGGTACTGGAATGACGTTCTTCGCACCCTTGATGGCGACCAGTAGCTGCGGATCTGAGGAGGAGACATCTGTCCATTCCACCAGCTCAGGCTTGCTGACCAAAGACTTCAGTTGAGCGACCGAAAGCTTGTTCATGGCCTTGCGCTGCTTCTTCGAGATCTTCGGTGTGCCGTCCTCTTCCTCACTGACATCGTCATTGTCGCTGTAGTAGATCTCAGGCTTCTCGTCGTCCCTAGTAGCTACCTCCTCCTCTGTTCGTTCCCTGAACTTCTCGAAGATGTCCTTGTACTGCTCAAAGAGTGGGTTGTCTAGGTCGTACTGGTTCGAGATGTCGTTGATGTTAACCAAGTCCGCGGACTTCACCGCCTGTACATCGTTATTCGTGTCGCTTTCTGGTTCAGCAGATTCGCTCTCACGCGCAGAGTCGGTGGCTTCGGATGGTGTCTCCTGCCGACGTATTAGTACTGTTATGCAAGGGCATTTTGTGCATCTGAGACTCACAGAGCGCTGCGCCTTCTTCTTCGCGCGCCTATAGGCGTTCTTGTTTGCCTGCTTCTTCCCCTTTGCAGCGGTTGCGCCTGACATTGTGATGGTTGCGGCGTATGCGTGCGGTAGAGAACGTGAGCCTCGAGACGAGTGTCGCGCGAGCGCGTAACGCTGGAAAGCGTATAGGTCGGCACTTAAGAATCGTTGAAGCAGCGCTAGGCACGGTGTTTGTGCGCTGCAATAAGTGGAATGGAAGGGTTGCGCGCGATGAGGTTGGGATATGAAGATGGTGGAGGTGACCGCGGGAAAGTTTTGGCCAAGCTCTCGACGTTCGCAATCGAAGCTTACGTGATGCAGACCTTCACCACAGCATACTTCAGGCGTAGCACTCCAAGCATTTGAACGATAGGTTTTAATCACATATGTAGCCTTGCATCATATTTTGGCTCCCCTCCCCACCCAGTCGAAGGAGGAGCACGTGATTTTATTGCCTGCGTAAGTAGAAGCACGGTCACAGAGCGAAGAGACAAACTCTCTGTTAGTTATGTAAGCTGTCTAGTAATTCCACAAATCTCTATAAGACTACAGTGCTCTCTAGAGATAGTATAGAACGTGTTTATTTATCTCGACTCTAGAAATCATTTGTCAAGGTTGTTGGGTAAGATCTTGTAGCCGTGCATTTTCTGCAACGCGAGATACAAGCTACGTTGATCGTGTCTATTCATGCATCATGAACTAAATTGTGTCTGTTCATCGGTCACAGTCCAGCAAGGCTGCGTCTAAGTCCTGTCACTGTCCTCGAACTTCTTCTGCCAGAAACCACGGAAGTGCTTCTTCTGACCGATCTGGTTGATCTCCTGGATTTCCTTGGGTGTCAACTTGAACGTCGCAACCCTCAGGTAATCGCTCAATCTCTGCTCCTTCGACGATGTCGTAATAGGTACAACATCCTGATCGATACACCATCGCAGAGAGATCTCGCCGGCGCTGACAGCGTACTTCTTCGACAGAGCCGCGAAGTAGTCGTCCAGGGGTCCTGGTGCAGCCTTGGTGGCTGCAGTGAGTGGGCCGTAAGCTGTGGTGGCGATGCCATGCTGCTTGTGCAGAGCAAGAAGCTCAGTGTGCTGGAGGTAAGGGTGGAACTCGATCTGGTTGCATGCGGGAACCACTTTGGCGGTTTTCAGGAGAGCGTTCAGGTAGGCAGGTGTGTAATTAGAGACACCGATTGACTTTGCCAGGCCCTTGGCTTGGATGGCTTCCATCTGCGCCCAGGCTTTCTGGATGTCTTCGTCTGTCTTCGCGAACCATGGCTGATGAATGAGGTACCTGTGTTTTGTCAGTAGAGTTCGTGGAGGTCGTCAGAGCATTCTTACAGATCAACATGGTCTAGCTGCAGCTTCTTCAGACTAGTTTGCAGAGCACCTTCGATGTCGTGGATGTTATCATTATCAACCTTGGTGGTCACAAAGAGCTTCTCGCGCTCCACACCAGACTCCTTGATACCGGTTCCAAGCTCTTGTTCCGTTTTGTACACTGGGTTCATCCGTCAGTGATCTCAGAGTTGCCACAGGACCCGCGTTGTTCATGGAATTTGAAGCGTGACATACTCTCTGCTCCATCGAGATGTGTGTATCCTAGCTTGATAGCCATCTTCACGGCATCAATGATGCTCTGGTCGATCTTGGACTCCTCGCCGGTCTTGTACCAGGCTGTGCCCGTGCCATATCCCAGCATGGGAACTGAGGCTCCATCATTGAGCTTGAGGTTGGGAATGGTTAGGTTAAGCTTCGCCATAGTTGTTGATGGTGTTCGACTGTGTGTATACGATGAGGGGTAGAAGTGGAGGGGTAGAAGCTGAGTATGAGTATCTGATTCAGCAGGGTTATATACCGATACCGGCGAATGCCACAGCAACTGAATGATGAGAGAATGGCTACTGTACACACAATGAGCAGCACGAGTCATGCCAGTGTTCTCATAGCGACATCTTGAAGCGCCGAAAGTGGGGTAGCATGTTTTACGTCATCGTAAACGGCAAGCACGGCTACCTACAGCTGTTCACACTACTACAGACAGCAAATGCGTTGATGGGTTGTATGTTGATCAAAGACAAAAATAAGTTTTGTAGATATGTCTTCATTGGTATTGCGGCGCAGGATCTACATGCTTGCCTGGATGAGTTTAAAACATGTCAGCAAGCAACACTTGGCCAGTCAAAGCACCGTTCTTAATGGCGATTCCAGTCTTACAATTAGGCTGACTGGTTCTTGTTCTCAATCGCGTGGCTCCTGGAGTGAGCGTCTCGCCTCTATGTTCACACGATACACATGGTACAGCAGTCAGCTTTCAATGGACTTCTGTCCGACATGTAAAGAACTTGAGCAACGTGGACTCCTTATTGCTTCCGTCGGGCCCAAACATGCAACCTTGTTTTTGTCTCCTTACTTGCCCGTTCTTGAAACTGGACGAATTGACCAGCAAGAGCAAACATCAGGCTGATGTTGTCTCTTGAGTTTCCTAGCTCAGCGATTTGCAGCCACAGTTCCATTGGTAGCCTCGCTAAAATAGTTGTGCTGCCTCCACTGAGAGTGCGACATTCATTGTCCTCGCGTGTTATGCGCATGTAAGTCGGTAGGGTCAGCTGAGGTACGAGACTATGACGGCGCAGTGTTGGGAACAACGCAAGCGCGAATTGCATGGACGAGTTGACGCTGAGATATTCCCATATCTCCAGCAAGAGCTCAGCGGGGAGGTAGTCGAAAGACGATGCACCTCTCGGTGGAGGCGGAGGTGGAGGAGGTGGTGGTGCGCCAGCAGCAGATGCCATGATCGTCAAGCGTGTGGGTTCGCTGCGATTGGACGTGATTTAATCTGCATGCGCTTTTGCGGAAGACTCTTCGACGACCGAGAGCAGCCAGCGATATGTGTAGCCTGAGACAAACCACGCTGCAACCGCAACAGCTGTGATGTATATGGCGACCGGTGCTAGGGAGCACGGCAGGAGGTTTAGGAGGAAGGGATCAAGAACTGCATATGTTAATTACCCGAAGTCGTAGAATGCGTCCGTGACTTACTGATATCGACATCGACCGGCGGCGGGTAGTCCATTAACGTGCGGTTAGTCGAATAGTATGACGCTGCTGCCTGGACTCGCAGAAGCAGTATCGACTGCGTGTCTCCTGTCAATTTCTGCTTGTTCAAGCTGTCCCTAGAGTTCGATCCCGGCAATTGCTCACTGTATTCTGCGAGAGAGGATATCAGATGCGGAGTGTCGAAGACTTCGGTGATTGAGTAGGTATCGAGCCAGAAGTCGGTCGGCGACTGAATTGAGGTCAACACATGCCTTCGCCGGCAGTTCATGAAGCAATGCACTTACGGTCGCTGGCCAGCATATGCGGACCTCGTACCTTCTGCCCTCCTCCAGGCCACTCAGAAGGTACCAGGATTCAAGACCGTGGGGTCCCGTACTCGAAGGGAACTGCACAGAGAGTTGCGTGGACAGAATAGGTTCAAGACTTGACAGCGAGTGCAGGCGTAGGTCGTCTAAGCTGGGGCGGACATCAGGGAGAGGCACAGCGCTGGGCCCGAGAAATATGGTCTTCTCGACGTTGGCATTCACTGTCCAGGCCTGTGACACAATGCAGAGCAGTGCAGCTATGACGCGCATGTTTGGTGGACAGCACAATACTCGAGAATGAAGCTGGACAAAAGCAAGTGCATGCTCTCACGTAGGCCAGAGCAGCTTCATTGGGCTACGCAAAGCTTCACTTGCGCGTGTGTCGCTGTGATGATGGGGTTGTGGTTTGTAACCCGAGTCTCGAAGAAGCCGCACGGGCCTGTCTCCGCTACCAGCTAGCTCCTTCCGTGATAAACACACTAAATCTTTTACGGGCAGTGCCAACAACACTCGACACACCGTCTCCGCTGCTCCCCACCCGCAGTCTCCCGTCAAGCACCTTCAGCTCTTGCGCAGAAGGCATCTAGCACTTCCAATTCATACTCTCTCCATCTATCCACCATGAGAGAAGTCATCTCCCTCAACGGTATGAAACCCCCACACGTGCACGCGCCCTGACCGCCCTGTCCTGGGCGGGACATCCTGGTGATATTTGTTGATACTGACACTGCACGCATCTAGTCGGCCAGGCCGGTTGCCAGATTGCAAACTCATGCTGGGAGGTACGTTTGAGCCTTGTGGCACGCCGTCTGCACCTCTCTGTCGCCCACAATGCGAAAAGGAGGGGGCGACAACGGGTGCCTTGACCGCCTCTGAGGGAGTATGCTAACGCACCACCACAGCTCTACTGCCTCGAGCACGGCATCCAGCCCGACGGCTACCTCACTGAGGAGCGCAAGGCCAAGAACGACGATCATGGCTTCAGCACTTTCTTCTCCGAGACTGGTACGGCTGCCTGCATGCTGCAAATCGCGCACCCCTCTGACACACAATGCAGGCCAGGGCAAGTACGTTCCTCGCACCATCTACGCCGACTTGGAGCCCAACGTCGTCGACGAGGTCCGCACTGGCACCTACCGTTCTCTCTTCCATCCCGAGCACATGATCACCGGCAAGGAGGATGCGTCCAACAACTACGCCCGTGGTCACTACACAGTCGGAAAGGAGCTCATTGACCAGGTCCTCGATAAGGTCCGCCGTGTCGCCGATAACTGCTCCGGTCTGCAAGGTTTCCTCGTTTTCCACTCCTTCGGTGGTGGAACAGGTTCCGGTTTCGGTGCCCTCCTGATGGAGCGTCTGTCTGTCGACTACGGCAAGAAGTGCAAGCTCGAGTTCTGTGTCTACCCTGCGCCGCAGGTCGCCACCTCCGTTGTCGAGCCTTACAACTCTATCCTCACAACCCACACCACTCTGGAGCACTCTGACTGCTCCTTCATGGTTGACAACGAGGCTATCTACGACATCTGCCGCAGGAACCTTGGCATTGAGCGCCCCAACTACGAGAACCTGAACCGCCTCATCGCTCAGGGTATGTATATGCTCCACATTCGCTAACACAGTGGCTGACGCTTTGAACAGTCGTCTCCTCCATCACTGCCTCGCTCCGCTTCGACGGTTCCCTGAACGTCGACCTGAACGAGTTCCAGACCAACCTGGTCCCCTACCCCCGCATCCACTTCCCTCTCGTTGCCTACGCTCCTGTTGTCTCCGCCGCCAAGGCCGCCCACGAGGCCAACTCGGTCATGGAGATCACCAACGCCTGCTTCGAGCCCAACAACCAGATGGTCAAGTGCGATCCTCGCAACGGCAAGTACATGGCCACCTGCCTGCTCTACCGCGGAGACGTCGTCCCCAAGGACACCCACGCCGCCATTGCCCACCTCAAGACCAAGCGCACTATCCAGTTCGTCGACTGGTGCCCGACTGGTTTCAAGATTGGTATCTGCTACCAGCCTCCCCAGAACGTCCCTAACGGCGACCTTGCTGGCGTCAACCGCGCCGTCTGCATGTTATCCAACACCACAGCTATCAGCGAGGCCTGGTCCGCTCTGTCGCACAAGTTCGATCTCATGTACTCCAAGCGCGCTTTCGTCCACTGGTACGTTGGTGAGGGTATGGAGGAGGGCGAGTTCTCTGAGGCTCGTGAGGACTTGGCCGCTCTTGAGCGCGATTACGAGGAGGTTGCCGCCGACTCGCTCGAGGGTGAGGAGGGTGTTGAGGCTGAGTACTAAGCGTTTCTGCGCTGAGCGCAGCGGTGTTGTGAAACGCAGTTCGGTCCTGCATCACTACCTTTGGTTGTTCTTGTCGGAGCTACGCTTTTGAAGCAACACCGCATTTTGGCGATGGCGAGCAAAGGAGTTTTGTTGGACTGCTAGCTTACATATCAAAGCGTTTTGGGATGGATTATCCTCTTTCTCTGTTACTACTCTCTTACTAATGCACGATAAATTGCTTCATCTGTATTCAGTATGCGAAGGGTGCACCGCGACACATGTGCATTCATTCCATAATCGATTCCTATCAAGTTAGACATAACGGTAAGGCAAGTTCGCCACGACCTTCTTAAAGACCAGCCACACTCATCGTCAACCTTCTCGTCATCTCTCCCAGCAGCCTCAATATGTAAGTGAGTTGCATGGGAATGCTGTACGCTTTCAACGGCCAACTTGCTCATGTCGCGCTAATAAGCAAAACGGACATGCAACGCAGTTTTCAAAAGAGGAACGTCAAGTATACCATGTGGTGGACGTGTATTGTAAGATCACGTGGATTCAACAGCGAACTCGCTCATATCACGCTAAACAAATCAATTATGCAATCTTCCCTCGAACAACGCCTCAAGCGTACTCATCCTCATCCTCGTCATCACCCCCAGCAGCCCTCTTCTCCGCAAGTTCCCTAATCTTCTCCCCCAACACATCTCTCCCATATCGACTCGCAACCTTCCCAGCAAGATCCAACATCTTGCCATTCGCATCTCGCATCAAACTCACAATCTCTAGCGCCTTCATCCCGTGATCCTCGCCCGCCAGACATTCCAGCCCCAGAAGCTGCAGCAGCGCACGGTCGATTGCGACTTCCAGGTTTGTGAGGTCTTGTTTTTGACTCAGCGAGGGCCGCGTGTGGGTTAGTGTTGAGGAGAGCTGGGCGTGCAGCGTTGAGGAGAGAATGAAGGATTGTTCGTGTTCTTGCTGTTTGTTTTCACCCTTCTTGCCGGTGCTTTCTTCGTCGTCGCTCAGTTCCTCGTTCTCGAGCGAGGCGATGGTCTTTTTGCGATCGCTGGCGCTTGAGAGCGGGATTTGGAAGGAGAACTCGCTGAGGTGTGGAACTGGTGCGCTGGGGTATTTTTCACGGCCCTTGATGATCATGCAGTGGAATTTCGAGACCCCCGCGCTGTCGAAAGCGACGCCCACGGGCCAGTAAGATTCCTCTTTCCCGCCTGTCGCCAGGCGCAAGAGGCATTTTGTGTCCAGCATGGGGACCCAGCGCGCTTGCCCGTTGGTGCGCCAGTTCAGCAGTGTGAGGAGCACACCTGAGGAATCGTAGATGTACGGATCCCCTGAAGCAGAGAAAAATACTGAGTCCAGTGTGGTGTTTGGTGGGAGTGCGAGGATGTCAGAGTCTTGGTATATGGTGTCGTGCTTGACGTTCTCGATTGTGTAGAGCAGTTGTGTGGACAGGTCGGACTGGATGGGCCCGTTGCCGATGGTGAGGATGTAGTCGCGCCAGGCGGCACAGGTTACGGCTGGTGAGGACTTTTGGCGGTAGACACGGATGGGCAGGCCGAAGAGAGAGTAGATGCGGACGTAGTTTGTACTGGTTGTCACGCAGATGTAGGAGTCGGAAAGGGCGATGGCGGTCACAGACTCGCCGGTTGGGAGGTTGGTGCGCCAGTCTGTTCGTGTTGTCCATGTCTCGTGTGGGCGGTAGTAGATCATTGCTGGGTTTCCATCGCCGGCGCTGTTGGATTGGCATGCGAACAGTGTTCCATTCTCGTTTAGGCATGCCTTATCGTAGAGGAAGATATCTGTGAAGTGGAAGTTGCGGAAGGTGTGCTGGTCGTAGAAGTTGACGGTGACGGTGTGATGCCGGCCTTCTTGAGAAACAGTCTCGACATTTCCAGTCAAAGAACAGCAGAGCAGTCGCCTGTTGCCTCTCCAGGGTGTACTACCTGGCTGAAATGGCTCGTGGATCTGCGGACGGAAGAGTGCACTGGCGGTAGCACGCTTCTTGGCCGAAGGCTCAACACTGTTGAGGTGGCCATTTGTACGCTTTCCGTGACCGTTGACTGCTTGTGCGTATCCTGCACCGTCGTCGTCAACGACAAAGTCTTCCATATCCTCATCGCCGTCATCCCTCGCTTCGTCGTCCCTGAAGTCAGGACCAAGAAGGTCATCCAAGGAGTCAGGAGTGCCGTCTCTTTGCCGCGGTCGTCCAGGCAGTTCTCGTGTTGTGCCATTCGCCTGAGGTGCAGATGCAAGCCCAGCTCGGCCCTCCGACGGGTCGTGGAAGAAGGGTGCAGAGACGGTCGATCTGTTGAGTAGTGGAAGGTGCTCTCCTGGTACGAAGTCTGTGTGAATGAACAGTTCGCCCTCGTTGTTGGTGTACGATAGGATGTTCTCGCTGGGGTGCCAGACCATGGCAAGAATCGTTGCCTTAACATCGTCGAACGTCTTCAGCAGTTTTTGTGTCTTTGTGTCCCACAGCTTGAGGTTCAGATCATTCGAAGTCGTTGCCAAAAGAGCACCATTGGGTGACCAGGCTGCTGCTGTGATGTCCGCTGTGTGACCCGTCTTGAAGACTCGCTGCCGTGCCCAATCATTTGTAGACATAACCTGCACATCGCGGAGCGCAGTGGGTGTAGCAAAAGCCCTTCCATCGGGATGCCATAGCACTTTTGAGCTCGACTCAGACTCTGTCTCCAAGCTTTTGATCATGCCATCCACCTTCTTGACCATCTCGGGTTCGTCTTCGTCGAGACTGTATATGTAGATATTGCCGTCGGTACAGGAGACAGCCAGGTGCTCGCCCTTCTTGTCGAACGAGACGTGTTTGACTGCACGTGGCTGATCGCGTAGCGTCCGGACCTTTGTCATGTCTTTCGTGCTCACGACGTTTACTGAGAGCTCACTGAGGTTGTCAGCATGAACACAACCCTTTGAACACCGCAACATACTCGCTCGCGACAGCGATCCAGTTTCCGTCAGGGCTCAAGGCCACATCTCGCACGGGCAATGTCGTCCTGACCAGAATCTCCTCGAACTTGTTGCCTTCCAGCGAGTACTTGCTCACTGTGCCGTCTTCCGAACCGGTAATGAAGAAGCCATTCTACCTTGCTGTTCAGTGACTGCAGTTGTTCATGAGTGCAATTATACGTACGCCAGCCACAACCGCCGCATTGTTCTCCTGGCAATCGTCTACAGTGATAGGCTCATCATCAGACCCAGTCGTGAAAACACGGCAGTAGTTGTCGACTCCGGCCGTTATGAGTTTCTTTCCGTTCGGTGTGTAGGCAAGGTAAGTTGCGCCGGGGGCATCTAGGGCGTGTTAATGTGTGTTGTTGTGTAGAACGTGCAATAGTAGACATACGAGCCTGCCGGCTACGCAATCGCTGTTCTGAGGCCATGATACTGTAAACTGGTGATTGCTGCGCCAGACATCGCACGACGCGTTCGAGAGACGCGACCCGCGTTAAATGGCTAAAAGTGGGGCCGACAGATCACGCTAGAGACACCATCTTACAGCCTCGACTTCACCACTACAGATCCACAAGCTTTCTGTTTTTTGTTTGGCAAGACTTTATCTCTTGCTATCTTGGAACAGTGCTGTGGTCATTCGAAGGCTCACAGTCACTGGTTGTGATGCTTCAAGACGATACCCATCCTGACAAAGGCCAAGGCACAACACTGATGACGTTCAGTTCACTACTGCACACGAACGAGCCCACAAAAAAGAAGTCCTCGGTTGAAGAAGACATATTAACAGCACATCTCGTATGTCAGCTTTCATAGTCGACCTGCGACAGACTCTCGCCTGCATTCATTCTGCACAAGGTGACCTCAGACATGCCGAGCAAGATCACATAACTTTGACAAGCCCAAAGCTCTTGTCATAGTTCTGATATTATAGCTTAGCTCGTAAAGAAACGGTCCATGTGAGCAAGTCTGAAACCAAGCTTAAGAAACACAATCCAGTCGTGTGGTCAGGATCTCCTTCGGCGGATTATCTAGCCACTCACAGACGTCGCAGCCGTGATGCCTCGTGCAGTTGACCAGAACGAGCGAGAGGACCGAGTTATAATTAGCACGCAATTCAGCTGCAGGAGTGCCCCCAAATGTGCCCGAAGGAGTAAACCAGACAGCGTCGAGCCGCCGTAACATCGCAAATTACCTCTCATCCACACGCTCTCAGACCCCATACCAACGCGCCGCCGCAGCGACTCTATTGCAACCCCTCTGGAGGCACTCGCAACTCGGCGACAGCGCTGGGCGCATCGCATCCTATCGTTTGGCGTTCTCGCGCTGGCTTCGCAATCCTGATACTGCGCTCATCTTCATACTGCTTGTTTCGCACTGCGCTCTCAACGCGACTGCGATTCGCAGATCTCACAGAGCGCGAATGGAGCGCTGACAGGCCCAAGCAGCCTCCATAATAATCAAACAATGCAAGTCGACTATGGCGACGAGCCAGATTCGGATCATAGCCTCCACCTTACAGCCAACTACGAGCACGCGGCGAACAACGGCAACCCGGCGTTTTCACCATTTCGGCACCCTTCCGCTGGTGTACCAGCAATTGATCCGAGCCTTGAGCAGAGCACAGGTGCCAACCGCAATGGACATGCGCCTATGTCTGTGATCTCTCACTCTGCGCCAAACAACCTGCTTCAGCCCGACAATGCCTCGCTCATTAGTGCACACCTTGCCAACGGCTTCTATGGAGACATGGCGCGCAACTCACAGCCTCCTTCCACGCCCTCGAATGCCTCGCCGCGCTACTCCGCCGCAGTAACGCCCACCAGCCAGGCGAAGCACGCAGCCCCCAGCTACACGCCAGACGATCGCTCTCTTCCTTCGCAAGACGTGTCCGACGACACTATCGACAATGCCTTCGCCAGCTTTATCTTGTACTGCAATCCTAGCTTCGCCCTATCCACAGACACGTCTGAACTAGTGAAGCTCTTTCGAATGCCGCCAAAGAGTGACGGAAACGCCTTCAGCACATGGGCACTGTTCGAGTTGATAGGAAAGTTCAGCACCGGAGAGATCAAAACCTGGACACAATTAGCTTTGGATCTTGGCGTATCACCGCCAGACACCGTCAAGGGACAGAGCACACAGAAAGTCCAGCAATACTCTGTGAGATTGAAGGTAAGGAAAATCTACTTGCATCCACTCCACACCATCTCAAGCCATTCCATGTCTTCTCAATTGCAAACTTGCCAGACTTTTTCTCTGTGCTATGTCTTATTCGCTTGCCCCTTTGATTTCGAGTCCGTAAATGAGTGGAGCTATGCATCTCTGTGATGCGGCGCAGTCGATGCGGTGAGCACTGTCGAAATCCAGCCTGGACCAAGCCACTTCGCAGGAAGGAGCGCGGCACAGATGCATGGATCTATCGAACGAGGCGGCTATCGTTGGGCTACTTGTTCTCAACAAGCTGGTCAAATGTGATGCGTGTTACCTCGCGCACACTGCCTTATTGGTAATCAGCCGTTGTTTAGGAGACGCTTCTTTTTCTCTCATATTTACTCATGATGCCTCTCGAATGCAACTTGAAAAGATGCTGACTTTCGGCAGCGATGGATGCGCGCTATGCACATTGATGCCTTCTTCGAGTACATGCTTGGCAAGCAACACCCTTACTACCTACAAATACCTCCACCACACGATCCTTTCCCAGAAGAAGGCCGAGATGGTGTATCACTGGAAGAGGATCTGGCCATCCGAGCACTTGACCCCAAGTTCAAGCCGAAACGTGGGCGACGCAAAGCTGATGATGTGGACGAGGAATTGGAAGCTGAAATCGACACTCCCGCGCGCAAGCGACCTCAGCTTGATACTTCGATACCGTTCGGCAATGCACTACAACCGCAGTCAGCGTATCCTACCAGTGCTCACCCTGATCATCACATGGGCGGTTTCTTAACACCACACGACCCTTGGACAGCAGCATCTGCGATCACTCCTGCCTCTGTTCTAAATGCTTCCCATCGTTTGAAGCAGAATGAGAACCTGACTCCGTACTCCGCGTCGCCTATGTCTGGAGGACAACATATTCGTTGGCGACTCAACTCACAGGAGCCAGCGACGCCCCATCCGTTATCGGCTGTAACGCCATCGTCCGCGCATCATTTCTTCGACGAACCTCAGTCAGCAGTGACCCCGTCCAGTGCAAGACCACGCGCACGACGTCGTCATGGACCAGCTGTCTCGTCAGCCTGGTCGGCCAGTAGCACAACGCCTGGCGGAAAGCCACGAGGCCGACCACCCAGCAATCGCTCTACTCGAGATGGACCTTTCGTGACGTTCCCCGTTAACCCAAGCAGGGAAGGCACACCTGTTGACGTGCAAAGGCACTCCGGCGCTCTGACGCCAGCTGTAGAGCGAGCACAGTCTAAATCACCACCACCTGAGCCAGTTTTTCGTTTTCCACCGACACCGGCATCAGCACTCCCGCCCTCGACAGGAGAATCGCCAGTCATAAGTGCTGGCGGAACTCAAAGACAACGTCTGAGCCTACAAGTACCGCAGAATATCGGCAACCCCGTACGCCTCATTACCCCCACTGTACTCGTCAATGGTGAGGAAGGTCCTACCCCAAGCACCGCAGCTGCATCCTCTGCAATCAGCTTTGGGTCTGAGCGGAGCTTTTCGGCGCATTCCTTTGGAGGCAACACTCATCACAAATTCCACGGTCACTTCACTCCGATCGAGACTCCAGCTCAACCACAGCCACCGCCACGATCACAAAGCGAGGCAACTATATCGACATCAACGCCTTCGCTCCCGTCGATACCGCTCGACACACTCAATCGTGCCTTAGCTGCCGAACTTATTCGTGCGCCACTTACTGGTCGGTGTAAGCGTCTGCGAGGTAATGAAGCGAAGAACCTGGCTTCGGCGATACTGCTTCCACTCTACTCCAAGCCTTCAGGTGGACACACACCACCAGCAAAGGTCCTGAGCGATCAGGTACTAGGCATAGCAATCAGCAGCTGTCTCGGACTATCGAACGCAGCAGGCATCGATCTGGGAGGATCAAGTGGCGGAGTCAAGAGAGTCGAGTGCGCACGTTTCCGCGTGGGAGGCGATGGGTATGAGAGTCCCATTGAAGACAACGAAGATGACACAGAGAGCATGAATGGCTCCGGAATGGTCAAAGAGACATTCGATGTCTTTTTCGCCGTGTCGTTCGGTGGGCTGTCCGGCGAGTGGACAGCTAAAGGTCTGCACGCTACAGCCGAGGATACTCAGCACAAGGATACGGTGGCAGGTGCGCAGGAGCCGGATCGTGTGGAACCCGGTGAACACGCGACGGCAGCGTGGAAGAAAAAGTTCCAGGATGCGCAGAGGAAGTTGTGGGAGAGTCAGGAAGAAGTCAAAAATCTGAAAGAGAAGATCCTCGAGGCCGTGTTGTAAGCTGGAATTTGGTGCTTGTTTCTTGACTGGTTTTGCTATATACCCCAATATTTCGACATCCTTGGTACGTGGTTCTTGGTAGCTCCTGCGAAGAGCGTGTACAGCCTTCTTGTTGTTTGTATACAGAACATGGGCTTGTCTGGACAAGCTCACAGCAACTAATGCCCGTACCGGGTATCGTGGTGACATGCATTATCGTCTTCGTCTACAATCCTCTTCATGACTCACGCTCCTCCCTCAGCCGCTACTGCAGGTTCGTCCTTCTCCCAGGGCTTTCTCCTTTTTGGCTTCTCAGCCGGTGTGCCCTGTCCCTCCAAGACAGTGTTTGGTATCTCCTTGATTCCAGGAATGGGCTGCCCACTCGTGATGAGCTCTACAATATGCGCAAACGAGGTGGGGTACGGCGCTGGAGGTTCACTTGGGTTCGTAGGCGCTGGCACCACGTCGCTCGGCGTATCATAGGTAGCTTCGCTGAAGTCGAGCGGTTGCACGCCAGTCGTCTGTGGTGGAGGCCGACCACGGACGTCACGGTACGCTTTGTATGCTTCGAAGTCAACGGTAGTATTGAACTTCCTTCGCACAGTCAGCGTTCAGTCCGTATACGATTCGGAGTTCTACATGCCTGGCATAGTAGAAGCAACGCGCTCGCAGGGCTAGCTCAGCGGCTTGCTCTGGCGAGCTGTTGCTGCCGAGGATGGCACTCAGACCAGCTTGGAACTCGACATCGTCATCCCAGTTGTATCTCTCAAGCGCCTCATATACGTCATTCAAGCCATCAGAAGCGCCAGCTTCAACTCCAGCAGCACTCATTGCGATCAGCTACGGCGGTGCATGAGGTGTGGGGTAAAGGTGACATCGGCACCGAAGCTCGAAGCTCGCTAACGGAAACTCGCCAAGACCTTCTATTACCAGCCCCACGATCGCTCCTTCTCTTCCCACACAAGCTCTTCCCTTTCACACCACAGCCACCCCCAACGCCCCTTCTTCACGAATACCGTACGACTTCCCTTACTTCCCCTTCCTTCATTGAGCTTCAGTTCATCTCTTACACGTGTTTTGATACCCCCCAGTCCGCCGCCATGTCCGAGTTCATCGGGTCAGTCGCAGCTGGTTCCATCACGCTGGAGCTCCCGCTGACGTGCCACGCGTAGTTCTCGCATATCGCTCATCTCCAAGAGCGATATCCGGTTAGTAAGCGTCCATTGAGGAGCCATTGGGCGCTCACACTGACGCGTCGCAGCTATGTCGGTACACTCGTTGAGATCAACTCAGAAGCCTCCACAGTCTCGTTAGACAATGTGCGCTCGTTCGGTACCGAGGGCCGCAAGGGCGGCAAGGACGAGTACCCACCCTCAGATGTCATCTACGAACAGATCGTTTTCAGAGGAAGCGATGTGAAGGATCTGCGCATCGAGGAACAGGTCAAAGAGAAGGCCCCTCCTGCTATGCCCCAGGACCCAGCCATCATCGGAGTAAGTCTACCCCACCCATTCTCCAACCTTCTGGTCCAGTGATGTAAAATTTTCGGATGTAAATCATTTAAACCACCGAGAGCGCAAAACCGTGTGGATATCTTCCGTTGCCTTCCTTCTGAGTACCTCATATACAAGCCACCTATTGTCCAGCTTCTGCATGACTCCTTGGCTGACTCTATGTGCGCAACAGGTACAGCAAGGCCAGTCACGCCAGGACGCCCCACAAGACCAACCACGCCAGCAACAAGGGCCGCCGAACTTCCCACAGCAAGGACAGTTCCCGCCCGGCGGCTATCCTCCCTTCGGCCCTGGTGGCCCAGGTCCATATGGAAGAGGTTTCCCTCCTCAGGGTGGCTTCCCTGGCGGTCCAGGACCGTTCCCTGGAGGCCCTGGTGGTTTCGGCATGCCGCCTTACGGACCACCACCTCCAGGCTGGTTCCCACCCGGACAGGGCTTTAACGGCCCTCCTGGTCCTTTCCCTCCCAACATGCCCATGGGTCCTCCTGGCTTCCAGAACCAGAACCAGAACCAGAACCAGAACCAGAACCAGAACCAGAACCAGAACCAGCCACCGGCCGGGCCTCGCGGCGCTGCACCAGCTGGGACTTCTGCGAAGGAGGAACAGTCACCGGCGCAACCTAACGTCGCTGAGGCTGATGGTTCCGCCAAAGCCGCAGAGCCTAAGGTAGACGCAAAGCAGGCTGGAAAAGCTCCTGCTCTTGCAGCTGCCGCTAAGCAGGCTCCACCGCCGCCCGTTGAGTCGAAGCCTGACGTCGCAGCCGCTCTGGCACCGCCGCACACCAAGCCCGCACAGCAGGGTGGTGCGCAAAAGACGCCAGGTGGACCTAAGGGTGGCCGTATCATCCCAGCGGTACCTATCGCAAGCCCGAACGTGAACAAGTCAATGCCTCGAGCACAGCAGCAGGCTCCCGCACCTGCAAAGCAGCCTCAGCAGGTCACTGGCCAGCAGAACAGCGCGACTCAGTTGGCCACAGCTGCCGTCGCCGAGGCTATGGCTAAGCTCAACTTGCAGAACCGTGGTCAAGCTCAGGCACCAGCCTCTGATCCCACGAACAATCTCGCAAAGAAAGTAGAAGGTATGCGTGAGCGTGAGCAGCACGCTCGCCAGCCGCGAAACCCCGGGGCTGGTGCCGGCTTTGGCGGCCGAGGCGGCCGAGGTGGTCGAGGTGGTCGAGGAGGCGCTTATCACCACCACCAGCCTCAACAGCAGCAGCCAAAGATGGAGGTGCCGACCGCAGACTACGACTTTGATGCCGCGAACGCCAAGTTCAACAAGCAGGATATGGTTAAGGAAGCTATTGCCTCGGGATCACCGCTCGGCGAAGGCGTACCATCAACCATCGAGGCAACCGCGAACGGACAGAACGGTGCTGCCGAGACTTCAGACGATGTTGTTATTCCTGTTGCGTCTTACAACAAGAGCTCCAGTTTCTTTGACAACATCTCCTCAGAGCTGAAAGACCGCGAAGAGGCTGCCAGCCGCCGGGGTCAGGAGTTCCGCGCGGCTGAGCGAAACAAGAACATGGAGACCTTTGGTCAAGGAAGCGTTGACGGCTACCGTGGCGGCTACCGAGGCCGTGGCAGGGGTCGTGGTCGCGGACGTGGAGGCTTTGGCTTCCGCGGCGGTCGCGGTGCGCCCCGTGGTGGTGCTGGGTTCGACCAGCCTGCCGCACAGTAAACTGGTGCGGCGATTTGATCGACTCACCCCATTCCATAGGATATGCACTTCACGCGTATGGGTTGGATCTTCTGCTATGAGGTTGGCTTTGACCAACTATTTCCTAGTCATCTTGCTATCTTCCGTCTACTTGAGCGACTTGTACAAGTACTTTCACACAGTCACTGCCCTATGGGCTTGGTCTTTGGAGTTTCTTGGATCGGTGCATGAGCTCGAGGCCATGCAAGCGGATACAGATGAATATCATGACACTGTCATGAGAAAGATGAACAACATCAAATAATCAAGAACGAGACCGGATCTTCCGTGCCATCATCACATTGGACTCTTTGCTACTTGTGTGCCCGCCCATATAAATGTTGAGATCGCCTGTTGACTTCACTTTTTAAAGTCATTTCATGTATCTGCTACCCGTGTCGGCATCGTCTTAGCGTTACATGAGCCTAGCGGTCGTGATCAGGCGTAGTTTCAGAAGGACTGGATAGGTCAGTGTTTGGGAACCGCGATCTGCCATGCTTGTGGCCATGCGAGATCAAGTGCGAGGGCGTATGAGCTGTATGCTCAGGGGGGTTTTTTTTTTTGGATATTCACGCCCGGTCAGTTTGATTTCGTATTTCTCTATTCCTTCTTTTGTCTGTTGTGTCTCTGTCTCTCTGTGCCTGTTGTCTTGTTCTACTCCTTTCTAGTTTGTTCATTGCTTCTCGTCTGCTCCTGGATCATTGTTCCATGTGCAATCTCTTCTGGGCGTCTATTCATTGGGACTTAGTCCCGTTTGCTTGGTTTGCTTCTGTAGTTTTGCTTCAATAGACCTTTTCGCACCATTTGATCCCGTTGCACTAAATTTCTTCGTGACGACTGCGCCTTGTCACAATACACAGCACTCAAAAAAAGGGGGAGACGTGCAACTTCACAGGATAACGTGTGCTCGAAATTGTGCTGCAGAAGCTAGTCCCATTGATATAGCCATCGACAGTTCTTGCCACCATCCGTGATACACGGCAAGCACATATGTCGTGTGCCTTCCGCGATGCCATTAGCAATTGGAACCACGGAAGAGTTCTTGAGTGCTTTCTGAGTCTTTCAATTGTGCCTACAGTCCCCAACAATCAGAGTTCCTGATTTGCCGATCATCGACCTTAGGGCTGATGTCTTGAGTACCTCATGGGGGATTTTTTTGGGGATCCTCGATTCTCCACATGTGGCATACTCGAATTTATCATTCTTGACATTCGACCTGATACCTTGACTGCCTCCATGGTTCTCTCATGGGTCTTCATTCCTGAAGGGAGTTCGATCCTACCACAAGGGGCTTTACTATGCATCAATCGGTGTCACGCTCAGCGAACCCGAATCCTCAAATCTGCTTATTCCGAGCTCGGGAACCTCCTGCTTTCCTTTGCCTCCCTTCTCCAGTTCCTCAATCTCCCCCAATATCCTCCGAAATCGCATCCTCAACCCCCGTCTAGCAAGCCCCAGCACCTCAAGACTCGCATCCCCGGAATCCACGGCGGGAGCCGGGTCGGTGTCCACTCGCGCCATTCATGGGGTACTTCGAGACGGTTAGTTTCGAGGGTGTAGCAGGCTGGACAGTAGGGGTGTGAGGCTACGATGGATCTTCGTGCGCGCTCTTGCTTTTTGAGCCGTGCAGTTCGGTCCTTGGAGAGGAGGTACCGATAGTGGTTTTGGTAGTGTAGGGATAAGGCGCTGCCAGTTTGGGAGACTAGGATTTCGAAGTCGGAGGAGAGGAGGGAGAGAGAGAGGGAGAGGATGTGCCGGTGAAGTTGGTCGTTTCTTTGTCAGGGTCGAATAGGTCGTGCATATTGACTGACGAGGAAATATTGTTGTTGTTTGCCAGCCACTCCAGTATGGCGTCGCGCTCGCATTTGGCAATGAATAACTGATTATCTTCGTATTTGGCGTCCTTCCTGACGAGTTCGATAGTCGCGTTCGCGATGATCCGACCGACATGCTTGTGATAAGACTTGGGATTAGGCTTGCTTGCCAAGGCAAAGTAGGCAGACTGGTGGGTGCAGATCGTGTCGAGCCACTTGAGCGCTATATCTTCCCACGACCCCTTCATGCCATTTACGGAATCTTTACGGCCAGTCGTTGGACGTTCACTGTGGTGCTTTGGGGTGTCTCCAAGGCGTACACCGAACGCAAAAACGTCGGCGTCGCATGGACGAACATTCGCAGACTCTGCGTCAATAAGTGCAGCATATGGAGCCATTGACACGCCTCAAGAACCGAATCTTCCAGGTCAGCCAAATCTAACTCCTTCCTGTCATCAGGCTCGACCTTGTACGCCTGCGCCTGCTGTGTCACGTTAACAAGATTTTGGACGCTCTCGGACACCTTCCTGATAACGATAAAGATCAGGGTCTGAATATATGGTAGTGTGTTGATGTTATAGCAGACTCTTCCGTTCTTGTCGGAAAGATCAGCCTCGAATTGAGCAAAGTGCTTGATCAGAATCTGATCTTGCATTGTATGCAGCCCTTCCTACAAGAGGCTTTAGTCTGGCGTTCTGCGCTTTGTCGCAAGGCTCTCAGAATTTGCAATACCGCATCGCGTTCAGTCCGTTTGAACGGACGAAGTACACGATCTTTTTTTGCTGATTTGAGAATGTCATGCAGGCAATGGTGTGGGAGAGGGCCCCTGTCTGAAGCGAGCGCTTTTCCGGGTATGAAGATGGTTTCGTAAGAAGGCAAATTTGTGATTCCGTCTTGGGAATGGGTATGTATCTTGGAGCAGGAGCTGAGGACAATATACTCCAAGAAACTTCTGCGTGCTTGTGGTCGAGCGTCTTCGTTACTCGATGTATGAGTATCCTTCAGTAATTGGATATGTTTCTGCAGTGTTCGCCAAAAGGTACGATGTCAACTTTCGACTGGGTACTGACACTTCTTTGCCAATACTAATCGGCAATTGTGCGTTCATTTGGAAGAGTATCGCTCGCTGTTATTGATATACTTTCAAGTTCCAACGGAGTATACAGCTCCTTGCCGACTTGGATTTCCCCGCTCTTTGTTCTCTGGAGACCTTCGCGTGCGTCGTTGTAGACTGCAAACACCCTGAGGGGTGCTGTTATTGGTCCCGAAGCTGTGTGTTCGGCCACCTCGAATTCTGTCGGAGGGAGTGAAGGTATCCACCAATCGCCATCTGTTTGCTGCTAGCGGTCCGTTGCAGTGTTTGCTAACGGTCCGCTGCACTGATTGTCCAGCTCATTTGGTTAGCTCAGTTTGCTTCCCTAACCCTTCACTGCTATCCCCTTCTACTATATAGTCTCGATCGATTCTAGCCCATAGCTCTAAGGATCAATCAACATCTCAACCCTTCCACAAATTCCGATCCTACAAGTGCGAGTTCCTCAGTGTTGCGGATTAGAATCTGAGGGAACTTCGAAAGATAGGGGTCGCACGATCTCTTGGGACCTTGTCCTTTGAAAAGCGATTGCACCCATCCTGGGGGTTAGCATCGCCGACATGGATAGGGCAGTGGTAATAAGCTGAATTCATGCAACTCGTCCTCGGTCAAGAACTTCGACGGTGCGCCAACCGCTGTTTGCCGTTTTCTTTTCAAATCGCGAGTCAGGTTCATATTGATATTGCGCTTGTAGGCTAGAAATGATAGAGGAAGAGACACAAGAGTGTAAGGTTGTATAGATTGTTACCTTTCGGTACCATAAAACTCTCCTCCCGAGTAGATGCACGCACCATGCTGACCCTTTGTCTCTGCTCAGATAACAGTTATCGAGAACCCTTTCTGAACCATGGTAACGAAAGTCAGTGTCGCGAGTGCGTGCCCAACAACTCCATGCATGGCTGCAGAAGGATTTACTGCATCAAACACATGGCCTCTGTATTGCGTTCGCAGTGTTCATAGCGGTGCGCAAAGAAGTATCATGGTATTTTCCATTCCGCACATTGGCTTCGTCCTCATGACAGGCCGAGTTTGGCCATTTTACTGTAACGTCAAAAGCTCGAATGCAGAATCGAAGACGACGCTGCTGCTGCCAAAGACAGATCGGCGAAGCCACCAAGTCGAGTTCACAATCCCGGATACCGGGGCTCTGCTGTATGTATGCGCTCATCGCGTGAGTGTGTAATGATCATCGACAAGGGCAGTAGATTATCAAAAGTCCAGAATCTCCGGTCTTCGCTGATATCAGCCTCGTAAATGAGGCATTAAGATTGTGAAATTGTGATGAACATGACAGGCGAGGATGTCGCTGCCCAGGTGCGCTGTTCGGTGGGCCGTGCTGCCGAGCAGCTAGGGTCTGGCTTGCTGGAAGATACCGAACAACGCGTGCACAACTCCATGCGTTGTGCAACACCAAACACCACAATCCGGGCCACGTTGCGCACGACACGACGTCGTGATTGCGCTTTGATCTGTGATGGTTGTTACGCATCGTAGCCCTGTTTATGTCGCTCAGCTCATGTTCGAAGCGACGGCGCCGGGCTTCAATTGATTTGGCAGGAGCTATCGAATTAGGTAGGCTTGGCCTATGAAATACGATGTCGTGCGTGGGCCTCGGTTGCCCAGGCGTCTGACGCTCTCATTTCCACTGCCGCTCGGGTCGTCTTCAGGGGTACCAGGCTCGTCCTCTTTACTCCAGACAGGCGAATCCTGTCCTTAAGATATTTTTGTGAAGACCGGACCCTGAGAAGGCTGTTAGAATCGCTGATTTGCTAGTAGATGAAAGTTGAGATAATATCACAGTGTCACACGACAAGTAAGATGCAAATTGGGATCGTAATTCGTGAATAGTCAATTGCAGCGTAACGCTGCCCCTAAGGTGAACAAGAAACGTACAACCAACGTACGATACAAGAAGAAGTGAAGATTGTCCAGCGCGTGCTATGCGAGCTTTCCCAAGCCAAGATGATGCCTCCAACCCCTCCGGAAGTCTCATCTCCATGATGCGTAAATTGTTTAAGCGAGATCGCAGCACCAGATACCGGCGTACAGAGCACAACCGATCTTGGAGTAGTTGTCAGAGGTGAGGATCTCAGCGTGACCGGTCTGGCCCGCGTAGGCCCAGCCCTCAGACTCGGTGGCGCAGACACCGTCAAGACCGGGGAGAGTGGGGATCTCGCAGAGCCAGCCACCGACGAAAACGTGCTCGAAGTCGTTCTCGTTACCGGGGGCGAGGACCTGGCCGTAAGAACCGGCGTTGAGCTTGTGCTTCATCTCGCCGTTGGAGGAGACAACGGTGTCCTTGGCGTTGGCGACGAGCGTGTCGTCGTGAGTAAGGGCCTTCAGGCCCAACTTAGTACGCCAAGTGTCAACGATGGCCTGGTACGCGGCAGAAGTGGCCGAAGGAGCAGGGGTAGTAGAGGTGGCGGCCTCCTTGGTGCTCGAGGAGGCAGGTGCCTGAGAGTACTCGACGACCTTGGTGCTGGAGGGGGCAGGTGCCTGAGAGTACTCGACGACCTTGGTGCTGGTGGGGGCAGGAGTGTTCTCCTCGTAGACAACGGTGGTGGTCACAGCAGGAGCCTGGTAGGTGGTAGTGGAAGCCTTGGTGGGCTTAGCGGGCTGCTGCTGGCCCTCGGTGTAGTAGACGGTGTGAACGACAGTCTCGTAAACGACGTGGACATTCTGAACCTCCTTGTACTCGGGCTTGGTCCAGTGGGGGGTTGCGAGGGCAGAGCCGGCAAGGGCGAGGATAGCAGTGGTGGCGCGCATTGTGATAGTGTTGTTTGAGGTTGGTAGTGAGTTGACTGGAGTAGACTGGTCGGTTTGACGAAGTTGGTTTTTGGGTTGTTGGTTGAGTGAATGTGTTGCCGAAGGGCGTAGTGAACGTGATGTCAAAGAGTGACTGGAATGAGTGTATTCGTCGATAACCTGGAAGTCGCAGACCTGAATCTCGAAAGTTATGGCGGGAGGAGATCACATACTTTATACGCACATCGCACTAAGGCCGTGCCGCGCTTGCGCCAGATGAATGCGAGCGCCACGGCCCCATCCGCTGATGCTCCTGTGCCTGGCCCTAACAACCTTAGCCGAAAACTGTAACCCCACCCAGTCTGTGGTAACCGGATTGGGTCCTTTCATTTCATTTTCTGCGGCTTGACGTTCATTGTCATCGGTCTTGTTGTGCGCCTGACCACATTCACTGTTTTGGAGTCCAGCTCCTTGTCCGACCGGACTGGCTGTAACTTCTGATATAGCAGAATGTCCAACGAGTCCAGCGCAACAATGACATCGTGTTCTCCTGCGTCTGTCGGCGCTTCGATTTGTTGCCTCGTTGACAAAGCCGGACCTGACGGGCATCAGGGGTAACAACGGACGATCATGAGATTGCACAGGAGTAAGTGCACAAAGTGCGTTCACAAAACGCGCGCTTCAAGAAGTCTAGACGAGTCGCTAACGCTGAGGAGGAAAGTCTTCGTGCATTTCTGTTTGTTGCACTTTTTTCCTTGGTCGCCCGCACGGCTTTGGTTCGGACAGGGCCACGTTTCAGATCAAAAGCTAGCGTAGGGCCTTATTCCGTTTATGACCACTTGTGCAAACGTGCACAACAGTCCGACGCAGCAACTTTTTGTTTCAGCCTGGGTGTTCAACACCTGTGGCTCCACGGGCTCGGCAGGTGGCGGAGATGATTCTCAAGTCTGTGCGGAAATGTCGACAAAGTTCGAGACTCAAGATCGAGCCTCTGGAGGTGGATCCGTGATGGAATTAAACACGGGACGATAGACACGATGGAGCGTCGAATCTTGAGCATTGAAGATCCCGTTGGTAAGGTTGGCCGGGGAAGATGGGGGATGTTTCGTGGCGGTCCGTCGTGGTAGTCTGCAGCCATGGCATCCGAGCCAGAGGACGACAGCAAACACGAAACAACACTGCAGCGCCTCATGACACTTCGCTGAGCGAGCCGTTGTGTCACCATTCATCTCCAAGCGGCAAGCCGACACGTGGATTGGCAGTTGTCGCTGACGGACAGTCGTCATGTGCTGTGCAACGGACTGCAGATGTCAACGTTGATGACCTGAGAGTCCTGGCAACCGTGAAATACGTCATCTCTCGACCTGTGATGTCTGGGATGCGGCGAAATAACATATTGAGGGGTGTTGCAAGGACTCCCACTGAAGTTTAATCTTGCTACCCGCTGTCGCACGAACTTGTTTATTCAGACCTCATCTCCTGCAAGATGAAGCACCGGATTCTAGCCGCGCCTAAGGCAGCAAGGCGATTTCATTCGAGATTCGAAACCTGCTGAATGCTCCTGATCATTTTCGAGGTTGGGTCGCACAACAGGAATGTTGCGCGTTAGTCTTCCGGCTGCGGTACAGCTGAGCCGTCCTCGGAAGACTTGCTTTCATGTTGAGTGCTGTGCTTGCGGTCTGGCCGAATTTTCCGTTGATGAACCTATCAGAATAGTTCTTTACGTCGACTTTTCGTAGTGCAGACACTCGATTGCACCAGTCTCCTTAGAATACGTAACTTTGCGGGTTTCCACCGTGCCGTGTCCGGCTGGTCTCCTTAACTGGCTCTAAGAGTCTTCTTGTCAGGTCTCGACTCGTAAAGTTCATATGAGCATGATCATCATTTTACTGGTTGACCGTAAGTTGAGACGCTGAAACCATGACAAGTGTGGAGGATAAGACTCCTATCGATTAGATAGGACCTGCAGTAGTGCATCCTAAGGCTCGGTAACGCCTACCGATGATCGACCTTCAGCCCATCACCTGTTGGCCGTTTGTCAAAAAGCCTCCGGCTGGACCTGTTGGGCCCACCACTGCCGTGATCGAAAGTCGAAACGACTCGCTTCCTGCATGTAGAGTCTTTACAGTACAGTGTGCTTTACGCGCGTCCACTCTGCACCATGACGACTGTCGCCGGACTTTTGCCAGCAACCGGAGGCTATGATAGCGCATGCATGTGGATAACTTCGACTTGGAGACTGTTCAAATCGGCCCCTCGAGAATTTCCACGTCGCCGAAAGGGCTCGTCAAACGACTTAAATGCGTTGGGCAGGTCGCAGCCCAACATCCGGCATTTGCGACCTACTTGCGTACGTTGGATGAGAGGCAAGATGCCTGTGCTGCCCAGGCGCAGGTGGATATTTTGTTGCCAGACCCCAGGACACTAAAGCAACTGAATGCTCACCAATGGTGTCAAGTGGTGTTATCGGTAACACTCGAAAAATTTGAGGGAGGCACTGGCTCGAATCGACTTGTTACGGCTGTCTGTGGGGACAGCGGTGGACGATACGCGTGCGTCAACAGAGAGACGTCCCTGCCATTGCACGGCTCTTGCGGTGCTGGATGTACTGTTTCGTTGTCGCGAGCTCGACAGTGGGAGTATGATGATGAAGCTAATGAGGTGAAGTTGCTGCTGAGATCAGGCCCTCCAACGTCCCTGCTCTTTGTGCTGCTTCTGGCAAGGCGTCTTGGCGGTCTTTGATGCATCGTCTCATCGTCTTTTTCAGCTCCAGATCAACATCAGCATTCCTACTCCAATATCGATGTGAGCAACATCGACCCGGTCTGCCTCACTGCGACTTGCTTGGGGGTTGAAATCTCGGGGTCTGACAGCTGAAGCATTACAAGGCCTGCTCGCTATACACTGACGACAAGCACAATTCACCAGGCCTATGTTCCAAGACCACATACCAGCTCATACCTTCGTAATAGTGATTGGCGCTTCCAAATTTACCTAGAATCTTTATGGTGTGCTCTACGAAAACCGCATAAGCCACACTGATGTTCTGGATATGCAGGTCTCACCACCTGCGGCGTCCACGTTGCGTCAACGCATGAGCTGCCAAGCGTCGACCGTCTGCTAATAGACACGGTACTGAATTAGATCCATATCCTTGCAGGAGCATGCAACTCGCGAACAGCTTCTAGGTGGATTCGTGCGACATTTCCAGGCTCTATATCTGAGACTTCTGTTGTGCGGAGCATGTGTGGACCGTGAGGTGACTATCTACCGATTAGAGCGGAGCTGCGGCTTGCAAGATGGCAGAGTTCGTATTTCAGATAATGATGCAACAAATATGGATGTCGCGGCCTGAGAGAATGTTCGGGAATGCTTTGCCGGAGTCAAGGCTAGCACTGCCTGCCTGCAACGATGGCACCAAGCTGCAGCAATGGCATGTCCACGTAACGTCTTCGACAACAAAAACGTACTGTTAGCAACTGCATGTAAGTCTCCACAATTTTACAGCATTCCAGGCCCGGAGATCCCTTACTCATCTCGGACCTATAAGCGGAACTTACGCTGGCCAACCAAGTCTGAGATCACCTATATGCATTGTGAGTCCTAACACCACCATCAGTAGCAATGCTGCACCTTCTGCCGGACGAAGCCTGTCTGTCTTAGTTCTGGCCTTGCCATGTTTCGACATGCAGCCCTCAGCCAAGAATAAACCAGCACGCATCCATTGTCTTCTGGAATTGGTTAAAAGGGAATGGGATGCCTTCCTTCAGTTACCCACAACAGCGTCGAGTCTTTTACGATCGCAGACAATCTTTGTCTACTGGGGGTTCGACTTCGACACAGTCGTTTCTTTGATGTTTTGTTGACACTCTTGTTGTTGGTTCTAGGTATAGAACCGCGACTTCGTTCATTACCCATCGATCTCTACCTCTTGCAACCACCTCAAACACTACAATCATCACATTCATTTATCACACTCATTGAAACATTCTTTTCAGACATTGATCATGCTGTCCAAATTCGTCCTCCTCACCACCGCACTGCAAGCCGGCCTTGCAACCGCAATCGGCAACGCAATCGTCAGCAACCGCTGTTCCTACGACATCTGGCTCTGGAGTGTCGATCAAGGCTACTCATCGGGACCGATCCACATCCCTGCACGCACCAAATACTCGGAGCCCTTCCGCAGTGCATGCAATGGCTGCGGTTCCTCGCTGAAGATCAGTAAAACCGACCAGCTCGTCGGCGGACAACACACACAGTTCGAGTACAGCATAGCTGACGGGAGCATCTGGTACGACATCTCTTTCGTGGACTGCGCGAAGGGCGAGAATGCAAGCAACTGTCCTGGCCATGACAAGGGGCTGGTGATGGATAGCCCGGAACAGGCGTGCGGGAAGGCGAACTGCGCTGCTGGGAGTTACTGCCCGACGCAGTCTTACTATGTCGATTTTCCGCAGCAGAAATTGGGTCTCGACGATCCGGTATTTGGTTGCCCTGGTAAAGGCACGAGTATGGACCTTTACATGAAGGTGTGCAGCGATGAAGGTCCGCTGAAGAGGAGCATTGCTGGCCGGATGACGCTGGATGACTACGCCTAGACGGCGCCAACTTCCCTTCTTTGTCTTCCGTCAATTCTTCTGTAAATCCTTTGCGCCATGTTTCTCTTTCTATGCGCTTCGCGTACTGCGCCTGTTAAGTAGATCCAAGTCGTGGAAGACCACTTGCTCCTCAAATGCCTTTCTCGGTGCAAATTAGGTAGTGATTATGAACATAGCCATGCCCATAGCGCAGTATGCAAAAGCTGCATCGACTTTTCTCGACTCTGACGATCCTGATCTCGTAGTTGTGGGGCTTGCACTGGCTGGGTTGTTGTTTTCTACAATTCCTTGCGTACCAGCACTAATACTCGTCCAGTCGGTAATAGTCTGTATATCGGACGCGGCAGCTATCAAAGTGGTCGTCGTCTCGCCAACATAGAGCACTGTCTTTCCGCTACTAATAGTGATCGAGATAGGTGTGTCCCCGATGGTCACTGGCTGTCCAGGAGCTAGCGTCTGGCCTGCGAGGACATACTTGGTGGTTCCGTTAATGACCGCAGTCATGACGCTCAGTCGTTCTGGTGTATTTACCGCGATTGTACGCACTTCGCCCGCAGCTGGCTCAGGCAACATTGTTGTCATATCGCCCGCACGGAGTACGGTCGAACCGGCTGCGTCGGTTGTGACGCCGACCACAACATTGTTAATGGTGATCGGGACGCCAATGCTAAGTGTGGAAGATCCAATCGCGACCTGGAACTCAATCTTGTCGGTCGTCGTCAGCCCCCCGCCCGGCAAGGTCACAGTTGGTCTGCGCGTGACAGCGACAGGGCGGACCGTGATTCCGTCGTGCGTTATGGCAGGAGGGGGTGGAAAGTCCGTGATGGTCCTGCTCGGTACTGTCGTGACCTGCGGCTGGTTATTCTTTAGTCCATCTGGGGCTGTCGTTTGTGGTGTCTGTAGGTCTTTTGTCCAGGGGTCGTCCGACACTTCTACTGGCTTATACCTGGTGCTCTGAGGTGTTGACGGGTCCTGATGATTTGTCTGGCCCCAGCCACTCGCAGAGCTCTCAAAGTGCGCGATCTCCGAAGAAACAGTTCCCCAGTCTGACGCAGAGCTCTCGAAATGCACAGTTGATGTTACTTCGTCCCAATCTGTGGCGGAGCTCTCAAAGTGCACGGTAGGCACAGCCATCTCGGTGGAAGTGATGAGGCTTTGGATGATAGTACCGATGTCTATCATCGTGATGGAGTCCTTAGATCCTTGACCTTCTGTGGTGGTTGGAATCGTAACATCGAACTCAGTTGCTGTAGCTTCGAGGCGAACCCTGCTGTCGCCTCCAGCTGTAGTCGCATCCTCGAAACCAGTTGCGCTGCTCTCGTCATGCACTTTTGGTCGCCATATGGATTTCCCACTAGAATCAGTGGTCACTAAAGACGCAGGAAGCACATCAACAGTTGTGACTTCAGGCGATTCCGCCGTCAAATTAAGCTGTGCTGTGGCGTAGTGGTCAGTCTTATGGCTGATGAACGAATACGGGAAGAGCGCAAGGGGCGCTCTCGCATACATACGGTCATTACGAATGGCAAAAGCCGAAACACATTCTGCAACAGTCAGGAGTTGGAGAATTTGCAAGATCGCCATGTTGACTAGTGAAGGAACAGCGCGCAGGAGGCACACAACAGCACAGTTCAGCGAAAGGACTGGAAATGGACAACGCGAAATGAGTGAGTGGAATTCTAGGTCGCAATCTCATTTATTGAGACTTGGCTCAGCCTTCTGGGGTGTAGGGCCTGATCTAGGTAAAGGCTTACGTGCACGGTCTATTTTCGAATCCTTCACAATGCACAACGCGCGCTCTACTCGAGGTAAAAACACGACAAGACATACGAATTCTAAGAAGATAGCCAGCCCGGTGGCGGAACAATTCGATGAGACAAAAGCGAGTCCGAAACTGTTGTTTGACGGTCCAAGAGAAACAGTGTGCCCTGAGAAGTCAAAAAGGGAGACGCATCCTTCGGCTTCCTCAGCGTGGAAGGTCGTACGGTGAACGGCCCGACCACCGTGACCTTGCTATCATGCCGAATTCTCATCTGCAAGGATCTACAACGGGCGTGAACGAAGCACATGGCCGCCTGTCATCGATTCAGATGTTGAGGTTATCGACATTGAGGTGGACGGTAAGGGAGGAAGGCTGCTGGCGATCGAAGCTGCCCTTGATCCTCGTTCCCCGCGTGCACGGACGCGCCCGCCTACAAAACTGCACTTCAAGGACGAAGATCATGACCACGCACCACCACCTATCACGAAAGTAACAACAAACAGTATCGCAATAAGTCCAAGAAGGCTCTTACTTGGCTTTGTGGGCTTGAGTTCTTTTTGCAATCTACATATATCCGAGTTACGCTTCCCAGTTGACCTCCACCTCATCGTGCTCTCAACTAACCCAACTATGTCGGAACTCTTTACTGGCTTGCAGTGAAAGGAGCAGACTGACGTAGAACTTTTGTGGAGGCTTCAACTTCACTTCGCTCGAAAATTGACAATAAGCCAAGCAGTGACAAGATCCCAAATTCTCGTCGAGCGGCGCAACAACTTTCATGATATCTTGAAGACCTCCAGGCTTAAAATGGCAAAATCGTGGCGATTTGAAGACTCCATGTACTTGAATGCCCTGCTTTGTCGACTATCCCACACCTGGCAAGAGTTCTCTGGCAGAGATGAACAACAACGCTTGACGTCAGCAAAACACCTTGCAATGAAGTTAATGCATTATATCAAGGAAATCAAATATGACACGTGCGTCATGCACGTTTATTCTGCTGTACTGCTCCTGCAAGGTCTCAGCTTTCTCGCGTTTCCCCGACACATTTTACACTACAGAACGCCATTCATCAATCTACCCAACCGTGCTATATACGCTTGGTGGCCGCCTTGATCCTCTCTATCTGCGTATGTCCACCAATATGGAGGCAGGCCCGGAAGCTCGACTGGATCCAGTATCTACTACGAGGGTATATGATGCCTATCCGCCAGAAGACGCCACAACCACACAAGTTCTCGAAATCTTGCCCGAAAACCTCATCCGATCGAATCCTCTTGTCGGCTTCGGGTAATCTCGCTGGACCCACGCCCTGTCTACCAAGCTGTGTCGTATGTCTGGGGCAGCCCATCCGTTACCAGGATCACATCGGTAGACAGTAAGCATCTTACTGTTCGGAAGACCATTTGGTATATCCTCAGCTAAATGCAGAAAAACAAACATAAATGGCTTTTGTGGATTGACACTATTTGCATAACCCAGCTAGACTCAATAGAGCGTGGTCGCCAGGTGGCTGTTATAGGACAAATCTATTCCAAGGCAACATAAGTTCCAGTATGGCTTGTAGTTGGGACAGAACGTAATCTGTTGACGATGCGAAGCCTTTCCACAACAAACTGGCAGTCAGTATTGAGTTCTGCTCCCTCTGATGCAAGGAATATCACAGGTCCTTGGATCGCAAGGACAGTTCGTAAAAAATGGAAACGTGGCCAACGACGGCAGAGCATGACTGATAAAGGTCTTGCGACGATTCTAGACCTCTTCAATCTAGAGCACTGGTCAAGATTATGAATAGTGCAAGGATATGCCTTAGCTCGAAAGCTTGCATTGCAATGCGGGTCCATTATTGTTGAAGGAGAAACGCTGGATTATGTTTTCAATGCCGTGCGTTGTATTCAGAAAAGCTTTGATGAAGACCACGATTACGAAATGAGTGGCAGGCAGTCAAAGACAACTCGTGATCTCATGTCTGACTTCTCATATTAATTGTACTACAGTAGGGCAATCTAGATCATGGGAGCAAAGAAAACGGGGTTCTTGGATGACGTCGAATCTTTGTATGGGCGAGATGCGTTTGCACGTCTCATCTGAACGTTCAGAGACTCTCAGTGTGCGGACGTCCGTGACCATGGCGTACTGTCCGCACGCGACCGAACTGCGTAGCAGTTGGGGAGATAAATATTCGTTTGAACTCGAGGCAGCCTCTTGAGCCTGTTCCGCTGCACTCAGGGTTAAATGATTTGTATAATCTGATACGCCTATGCAACTGGATGCTATCCTCCCGTCACTGACCCACGCCCTCCAACCAAACGACGCACCTCGGGCTCCCCAAACTCATATCCCCAACCCCCACCGTACTACTCCTCACATCCGGCACAACCATAATACTCTCCCCATAACTCAAATAATCCGTCTCACAATTTAGAATATCTTCCTCGCCACTCTTCCCATCCTCCTTCTCCTTCGGCTTGATCCTCGCTCTGATGTCTACGCTCGGCAACAACGCATTCCCAGCCTTCAGAGGAACAAGCATGACCGTGAACTCCTTGACCTCGTCTTCGGTAGCGGTGAAGAGTGTGCGGCGTTGGCCGGCAACGAGCCATTGGTCTGGTGCTGCGTCGAGTGTGTAGACGAATTCGATGGGGTCTTCGGCGGAAGATAGGTTCGCGGCTGCGATGAGCGACGCGGATGAGGCCCAGCGGCGGGTGTGCGAGATGCGGAGGGTTGCGTGAAGAGGTTGGCCGATGATGGCGACCTTGGAGCTGTGAGAAGGTGATGCGAGGTTCAAACTGGTGGTGTGTAGAATGTGAGTCTGCGGGATGGAGACAGTGATGACCATGCGGCGAGGTGGGTAAGGTGAGAGAGGGGCGGAGGTAGCTGACGGAACCGAGGAACTAGACTTCGGCAGATAAATGGTTTTGTTGTCCTGTGTTGTCGCGTCAGTTTTCTGATCTCAAGAGTGTCTCGAGGTGAGATTACCTTGAGCCAACCCTGCAACCACAATCGGGCCTCGTCGCGCGCTGGCTGCAGTAGGCTGTCTAAGCATTCTGCCCAATCCACTTCCTCAAATGCGCCCATGTCAACCTTCTCGAGCAGAGCGATCTTCTCGTACTGATGCGGTATGATCTTGTGCTCAGTTCGATCCACGAAGGCTGTTACCAACAGCCGGCTGAGGTGAGCAACAGGACTGCCCTTGACAGCATTTGCGAAATGTGCTCGCAGTCGATCAAGAACGTCCTCGTTCAGACAGCGATACTCTACCGCAAGAGCTAGACTACCTGTCTTGGAAGGTCGACTTGTTGCCGACTCTTCAGCGTCGACATTCTTCGGCGTAATATTGTATGTGACCGCTACCGGCTGTCTCGAGAAGACATGCACTGGCTGCTTTGATCGTCTCGGCGCATGAACATCAAACTCTTCTGACCCTTCGAGCTCAACATCCAGCAGCTCTAATGGTACCTGGCTTGCAGTTTTGATGTTGAACTTTGAGAACAATGATTTGCTCTTGAAGTGATCGTGTACATTGACATCGAGTGGCAGCTCGACTGGGATGGTGAATGACGAGAAATATTGCCATTGACCATTTGCGGTATAGTAGTCGATCTCAGCCTTGACAGTGAGGTCCTGAAGAATGGTCTCCATATCGTAAGGAATCTTTAGCGTGATGCTAGAGCCAGCAGGCATCTCTCCGATTGAGATGACGCCAGGCTTCTGGTTGTCTTCTATGGCGCCTTCTTCCGACTCTACGCTTGCATCGGCTGTCCGTAAGCGTAGCCCGGCTGAAGCAGACTTGAGGCGAATCTCTGCGCGCTCGATGTCGTTCGCGCCCGCAGAACAAGATACCTCGATGTGTCGTGGCTTGTCGATATGTATGAAATGGGACAGGTAGACACGAGCGTCAAGTGCTTCAGCGCGAGGGAAGCATTGTACGCGGGCCTTCTTTGCGGCTTTCAGAGAAGTCACAGACGCTGAAGCTATGATGCCGAGAGGAGTTGGAGCCTCTGTCTTGCTGACAGGTTCGTGCACGAAGACAATGCGCTTCGCTTCGAGAACGATCTTATCAACGGTGTATGGACCGGTTGTGTTTACCTGCTTCTCGTCAGTATTCTGGAGTCTCTTCATAATGGTACCACTCACGTTACATCCAAGCCACACACGAGTCAAACCCTTCTTGATGGTCATAGCCTCCTGCGTCTCCAGCCAAATGTCTTTGACGGTAGTCGAGTTGGCACTAACCAGCCGAATCTTGGCTGCACGAATCTCAATCTTGTCTTCCAGGATGTGCCTGAATTGAATACGTAGCTGGAAGCCATCTTTGTCTTCGTAGTGCCGTACATGCGGCTCCACGGCAATGTCGGTGAAGTAATCCGCCATCTGCACTGACACATCGTATGGAAGCTGTTGCGAGTAATTGACAAGCTCATTGAGTACACCTCCAGTGTCAACTTTGTCATCGTTCAGCCAGTCTCGCGGCATATTTGAGTTTCCGTCATCGCTCGCTCGATTTGATGAGCTGCTGAAGGATATCCTGCTTGCGGAAGATCTTGCAAGTAGATCAAGGAGTGTTCGAATGTACTCGTCCTTACGGTTGAGCTTCTTGAGACAGCGAGCATACATCTTCAGCATGGTGGCTACGACACTATTCCATCTGCTCTTTGCATAGAGTGATAGGCTCGCATCTGGTGAGCCTTTGCTTGTGATACCGGCCATACTACCAAAGTACATGGCCGCCGCTCGGAAGTCACCGAGCTCGTATCGAAGGGCCGCCAAGTCGCCTGTAATGCTTTCTGCGGACTTGACTTGTCCAGCGGCTCGGTAATGCTGGAAGATCTGATCGCTAAGCGACTCATAAAATTGTCGAAAGTGATCGATAGATCCTACAGCACCGACAAGAGCTGTTGAGGAGATACCAGAGGTTGCATGAACGAGCCTCGTCGTGTCTTTGGCGGCTGTAGTCCCTTCTGCTGCTTCTTCATCTTCTTCGTCGTTGTTCAGGTCGACCTCAGTGAAGTCTTCACTTTGGCTCAGAGAAGGAAGGATAGCGGCCCATCCTACAGCCCAACCTAATTCCTTTCCAACGTGCTCAAGCAGTCTCCGTTGAATACCGATTAGCTGTGCTCTTTGACCGGCTAGGTCCATCAGTCCGTTCTTTGCCTGGTTGATCACGCCTGGCTGACTGAGAGCCGGGCGATCCTGGTATTGCCCGTTCTCGTACACTACTTGGCCACTTGTAGTGGGCTGAAGATACGGAGGGTCGGTCGAGCCAGAGCGAGATGAGGAACGAGATGGATGTATCATGGACTTTGGTTCCGGGACACTCATCTTCTGTTCCTTGCTGCGGCCACTGAAAGAGAGGCTCTTACCGGAAGAGCTGGTGCTGGCCTCTTTTGGGAACTTCGTGAATGGAAGGGATGACGTTGAGGTTTCGCGCAACACTTGATCGAGGGCCGAAAAGGTCCACGATCGCACTACATTGTCCACTAGCTGCTCCGGTAGAGTAGTTTCATGAGCCTTTGCACTATCAAAAGTATCAGCAATGCTGTCTGAAAGAACGAAACACAGTCACTTACCCATTGATCAAGTCTTCTCGCAAGAGCCGCCCCGCGAACGTTATAAAGTTGAGTGCGCGTGTACAAAGCTCAGCGAGTGAGAGCAGATCCTCAGTATCAGCAGCCTGTCCGCCCGATTTTGTGCCAAGATGACTGCCATCGATCGATCGCTGCGTGACACCAGCGTTGGGCTGCGGCTGAAGCTTGTTTGCCAGATCCGCTCGAGCTGACTGCGAGTTGCCCATTCTGAGGAGGATTGCCATCTGACGAGCGAAGATGTACACTCTGAACTCGAAGATAGAGATGTTATTAGCTAGAATGAGCCCTCGGTAGTCTTTCTTCTGAGCGTCAATGGGCTTGTCGTCGTGAAACTCTGCACGGTCCTCGCTATTGATGTTGTCTCCTTGTGATTGCTCTAAAACCCTGACCGCTTGCTCGTACAAGTTTTCAGAGTGGCTAAGCATCTGAAGTGCATTGCCGTCATTTGCTTGGTCTTGAATAACCGTGTCGAGTCCAATTGACAGCTCATCATATCCGAGTAGCGCATCGTCAACAAGCCCTGCACTTTCAAAGCCTCGCGCAAGCCCTTCCTTTAGAACGAAGAATGTGTTGAAGTTCCAGCCTGGGAGAGAGCGCTGCGCATCGTTTTTACGGATGTCTTCTTCGTACTGGCTGACCCGAAGGTCAAAGGAGGAGAGGATCAACGTCTTGAACTTGGTTATGACATCGGCCCAAGCACCATCATATTCTTGCTGGGTTTCGGGAACCGCTGGAGATGTGACTGATCCTGCAGCGGGCAACATCTGCGGTGGTACGCGTTCCTTCTTCAGCCGTACTTGCGCAACTCGATCAGGCGCCGACTTTGAAGCGATATTAAAGTCTGCACGAATCTTCTCGAGGATAGTAGTTGACGCTCGCTTGAAGACTGAGGCAGCACCACTCTTCTCTTTCTCTCCAGTTGCCGCACTTCCAGATCCACGCGGTTGGCTTGCTGCAGATGTGTCAGGCAGGACAACATGGATGATCATCCACTCGTAGGCGTCGTGATTCTCTTGGTTGCTGGTCGAACTGCTCTGCGCTGGCGGAGTATGATCTTTCATCCAGTCGCGGAGCTGTTTGCGTGCTGTACCTTTGTAGGTTTCGGAATCATCGCATCGTAAGAGATATACCTTCAGGTACGGAGTTCGACGTAGACCCGGGATTTGATGTCGCCTTTCCTTCTCGGCGCTTGAGTCTTGTGCAGACTCATTGCTAGGCACAAGATCAACATGCAGAGAGTCAATTGACCTGAGAGGCCTAGTTGGCGCTTTCCAATGCAGATTTCGGAGCGGCAATCGAGCAGCTAAGTCCTCCTGAATCAAAGGAAACACTCCAGATGGATCATGGTACTCGACTATGTTTATCAGCACAGCGCTTGGTCGCCGTATTGGATCAAGGGTTCATACCCGTGACCTTGGAGCTTGACAGCCCATCCATGACCGTAAGTTCGTGTTGCTGTGGCCTAGGGTCATCTTGTGGAGCACCTAAGGCTGGCGCAACATCTTCAGCCACGCCCATGAAACACGTGCAACAGGATAATGATATGTCAGGGTCGTTGGACAAAGAGCGATGCTGTTCGAGCTTCACGGGGTCAATTCCCGCGGTGAGTGAACGTTGCGGTTGGCTCGAGCTACAGCTGATCGGCTCTAGTTGCTCGCTTCGGTTATCGATAACGAACCTCCGCTTTCACAGCCTGAACCCCGATCAACTGACCACAGCCCTTGAAATCAAACTTTTTATGACCGGTCAGACGTTGTTTCGCTTGATTTGACCTCTTCTGTGACCGATCAGTTGCAGCAGATGTCCATTCAGGATGAATGCGTCTAGCATGCCTAGCGCTGTTGTCTCGTGGCACAGCATTATTCCCGTGCTTTAGCACAACGCATTCGTCGCATTTGTCGCATTCAACCTTCCGTAAGGCACTTTACAGGCACGGCGGTATGCTCCCGCCAAAATCCTCTGTCTCGCATGCTTTCATCGCTGTTGAGTAAAATCAGCCTGACGGTCGCGATCACCTTCGCATTATTGTCGCCCGGCTTTCGACACTGCCTCCACAAGGCTTTTCACATTTGATCAGTATCTCATCTGTATGCCTGGCCTCGTGAGGGAGCTGGCTATATAGGCATGTCGTGTCTCCACATCAGCCGTCAATAGTACACATTTTCTTAGATCAATCCTTTTCACTCTCAGCTTTCAACCGCCGTATTTTGATTCTTACTTTATCTATTCCACTTCGTCAACACAACCCGCGTTCTGGTGTACCTTCTTTCTTGTTACGATGGGTATGGGAGACTACTCGCCAGGTAGCGTGTGGTATTACGCACCAAACAAAGCTGCACCAATTGTCTTCATAGTCCTCTTCTTCATATCTGGCGTACTACACGCCTATCAGACCTAGTAAGTTCACCAGGACCACCAGTCCACACCACACCAGCGACTCGCATCTATGAGTCTATGGCAGCCACTGATACTATCCAGCAAATACAAATCCTGGCGCACAACACTCCTCCTTCCCTGGGCCGCTCTCTTGATGATATGCGGTTTCGCGCTGCGCCTGGCCGGGGCCTACCGCCCCTCCGACCTGGGCATGCTCATTGCCTCCACGGTCCTCATCATGTCCGGTCCACCCGTCTATGCCTTGATCAACTACTTCATCCTCAGCCGCATCCTGTACTACATGCCCTACCTCGCACCAATGCACCCTGGCCGTGTAGCTACAACTTTCGTTGGACTCGACGGCGTATGCGAAATCTTGATCGGCAACGGGGCGTGGCGCATGGCAAATAGTACTCTCACCAATGCGCAGAGACGGGTTGGTGCGAATATGGTGATGGCAAGTCTATGTCTGCAGGCTGCGCTTTTCGCTGGTTTTGGGCTGCTCGCCGCGCTGTTCCACCGTAAAGCGCTGCGTGCGGGGGTGCTGAAGAAAGAGCTGAAGACAGTGCTGTACGTCATGTACGTGTCTGCGGCAATTATCACGATTCGATGTATCTACCGCCTCGTCGAGTACATTCTGGGCTGGGAATCCGAAATCTACCAGAACGAAGTATACTTCTGGATCTTCGAAGCAGTGATCATGTTTATCAATACCGCGCTGCTCAACACGTTCCATCCTGGCAAGCGCCTACCACGCTCAAACGGGACGTTCCTCGCCAAAGACGGTGTGACCGAACGCAGAGGGCCGGGATGGGACGACGACAGACCTTGGCCTGTTACGATTTTCGACCCGTTGGACATCTGGGGCTTGCTGAGAGGCAAAGATCAGGAGACTAAGTTTTGGGATATGAGCGATGAGGAGTTGGAGAGGTGCAGGCTGGAGAAGAAAGTCAACAAGAGAAGCGTGCTTGCTGCGCTATTGGACCCGTTTAGGCTCTGGGGCGAGAGGGGGTATATTGGGAAGCATCTCAAGAAGTAGAGGGGTAACGCAGGTGGTGTTCAGGGGTTTGTGATAAGGGACAATGGAGAGGCTGTCAGGGCTGATAGGGGACGCGGAGATTGATTGCGCATTGGAGGGATGGAGTAATGGAGCAAGTTTACTTAAACCTTCTTTCCGTTAAAAGAAATCTGGATGCAACAATGCACAAATTATAGGTGTACGTAACGAGAAAGAGCATGGACTATGAGGGAGCACTCACGAAGGAAGCGGTCTAATGCCAAGGCAATGAAGCACAACAAGCTGGGTCAGCAGATAATACGTTTCGTAGATACCATATCGCTTGTATTGCAAGTATAGCGTCGAAAACATATGAAGTGACGCGTCCATAATCGGTCACCGCCATCTAACCTGTATCCTCACCTTCTACTCTAAAAGCAGCCCTCTTCAGCGCACCTTCCCGAGTTTACACAGCGCTAAAGAACCGTATCTTGATTTGCTTCAGCTTCTCTGGCGGATTGTGAGGTGCATGACTCCCCCTTGCTGCAATCTCATTTAGCTTGGCGCTTCCTGCCGTTGTCACCAAATACTACACAACACCGACGTCGATAGCCGGCACAGTGTTTTTGTGCAGTGACATCGTACCAAGGACCTTAAATGGCAAGGTAGCAAGAAGCGATAGCGTATATGGGAGGATAAGACGGATCCGTGAGGAGAAGGAGTAGACGTTGTGGTAAGTGATCCGGGTGACGTTTGCTGTGGTGTTTTCGAGAACTTCGTTGACTTTTTTTTCTGTGATGGCGAGGTCAAACACTGATGGGTTATAAGCTGTCAGTGCGTGATGGTAATCATTTTTATTGAACACGCCCTGCAGCAATTAGAGACGTCTTCGTGCCTGGATCCTATCAGCGCATGCACGATTTGAATTGGCTTCGATCCCTACCCTGTGCAGATAGTGCTGGATCGTTTTCAGCCCATAATAGTGGCCACTCCGGCGAATTTTCTGGAACAGACTCATATTGGGATAATATTCTCCTGAAAGTGGGGTCACAAGACTATCAAATAAGGCGAACAAGCTCATGGCTCGGAAGCCATACGACAAGTCCATTGGAACGGCGTGATCGAGCTGTGACGTATACGGCGGGCGACAGAACTCTGGTCTTCCAACATCCTATGTAGAGTTTAAGGGTTCTATAGGGATGACATCGATGCTTAACCTTCAATTTCCGGTTGAATAGTTGGCGTTGACAGCGTATTGTGCGCGTTCGGGCACACATAGTAGTTGATGTGTCTCCCGCTCGGATGTTGTATTGCGATCAATTGCCTGTGGACGCCCAGATATAGAGGTTGATACTGTATGTGGACGGAAGACGAAAGAACCCACTTCACTCTTGGGATAGCAGAGACAAGGGTTGGACTCATCCCTTAGCCCTTGATCTTCTTGGCCAAGGGGTCGCCAGCCTTGCAATGGTCTCCGGTTCCGGGATCGCGATGCAGGACATAACAGCGGACGACTGGGGTTTCTGTCAGTGTAGTGGGTAGACAGCGTTGATCAGGGTTTTGGGATGAGGCGAGAGAATGATGGGGGTGTGCAAGGCTGGCCCGTTAGATCTCTCATAGACAGCCACCACCGGCAAGGCTGATTTCTGACTGCCGCCTGTTGCCCCGTGTCGACCTACCTGTGATCGAACCCAGCTCGGCTGAGCTGGGCAGCGCTGCATAGAGCATAAGAGCGCTTTCAGATTTGATTGCCGGTGCCGACGCCACCTCCAGTTGCAGCGCAATTTTCTGGCAAGCGCGCTGCGTGAACTGAAGTATATAGTGATCTCTATTTTCTTCAGTTGCTTTAGGGTATGGTATTTGCTCCAGACCAGTTCTTGTAGACGTCTCAATCACAAAATTGCAGCTGCGACGGAATCATTCAAGAGTCTGACAGCGTGCCAAGAGAGTACCACGAGCTTCCCCAAATCAGGTCCCGGAAAGGCGCGAAGGCGTAAACTAAGGAAGAGCGAGCAGCCTGAGTTCTCCACCGATGGGACACAGCAGTTGGGATAGGTATGGGCAGTGTGTCGTTGGCGATCGGTGGTCAGGCGCCATGCAAGGTATCAATTTGGGTATGGCTACAGTATCGCAGCAGACGGTGAGTTGGGTAAGAGAGCTTCTGGCCTAGATACTTCGATCAATGACGGCTTACTGTATGAGCAGTTTCTTGCATATACTTAGACGCAAATGAGACTTACACACAGATTGAGAGTCCTCATTCGACCAGATCAAGGTGATGCACATATAGAGAGGCCTTGAGTAGTGTATGTGTGTGAATTCTGGTATCTTGAATGGCCTTGGCATCCGAGCATGCTCCTTTTACCGAAACTCCATGGCTAAAGATGCAAACAATGGCCTCGCTGCCCGTGATCCCCTCTGTCATATCTGTCGCCTCTGCGCTGTGTTTCACCGCGTGTACGCTTAATCCTTGGGAATCATCTGATCCTCGCTGCCGTCCCTAGGCACATAGTTGATGCCCGCTGCCTCAATAGCCGAGATAATCTCCTCGGGCAGGATGCCCTCGACTTGTGTAGCGTAGACGCCGGGTACGTATCCCTCGAGTCGCTGATACCTGGCGACCCAGCTCTTCGATGTATCGGCTACAGTGATCAAGCCCTCGAAGACCTGGGACGTGCAGTCGTTAACGTTCTCGGAGTTACCGGTGAGTTCAAGGATCTCTTCGCAGTTGGGGCAGCCGCCGTTCATGAATTGTGTGTAGGTGCGCACGATGGAGCAGACCATGCAGGCGCGCAGGTTGCGCTGCTGGTTGGGTGGGACAAAGGCGCCGCCAGGGATCATGTTGGACATCTTGGTGGTAGCTTCGTAGACGGGAGGGTCTGACGGGAGGTGGGGTTGGTGAGAGAAATTTGAGGATTCCGAGTACGAGCGCTCGACGCGAATCGGTAGCTTTGGAGCTTGGGTGGGCTTTGCCGACTGTTGCTCGGTTTGCGCGTTGTGGTCGTGCAGAGGGCTAGGTTTGCGCGGGAGGTCTTCGATAGGTGAGTCTATTCGGTGCAGCGGAGGCAGAGACTTTGTAGTAATATTCAGTCCAACAGTTTTGTACCGTGGTAACTTTCGCTCTCCTCCGTCTGGTGGGAAGAGACTATTGGCGAGAATGCTTTGTTGCAGCTGGACTGAGTGGAGGCTCTCTGAAGCTTGGCAGGGCTGACCCAGATTAGACAGCTTTGGGCTCCCGTGGGGGTTCGCTGGATCGATGTTCTCCTCGTCAGAATCAGCCAGGGACCAGCTTCGCCTGTGAGGCTGCTTTGCTGGTGTGCTTTTGCCTTTGAAAGGACTGCTCTTCTTGACAGATTTACTACTCTTCAAAGTCGATGATGGCGGGCTGATCGCCTCACGGTCTGTTCCTAGGTAGATGTACTTCTCCACCTTCTTCATGGTAGCGAGGCCCTTTTTGGGAGGCATAACTGCGGGTAGCTACGTCGTTGCTGGGATCGCTGACTGGCTGATGCGTTAGTGGCAAGGCGAGGCGAGAACTGAGGGACTTGAAGTGCTTGACAACTCGTTAGGGTGCGGGAAGCTCGAGGCGCTGGCAGCTCACGATAATTTGCTGTGCATCACGTTGTGATTTTTGGAAAGTACCTTCCTCGCACTGCGGCTTCCATCCTCGTGTTCCTGTCGCCAGCGCGCCTGCCCGTACTGCATCGTGTGTGCCTCGTATACCCCGCCGCTCCGCACAAAACTTAGACGCATCATGGGAAACAAGGAAGAGGCCATCGCGCTCAAGAACAAGGGCAACGATGCCTTCAAGGCTCATGACTGGCCCACTGCGCTGGATTTTTACACAAAGGCCATTGAGACCTACGACAAGGAGCCTTCGTTCTACACCAATCGTGCGCAGGTATGTGGCCTGGCCGCTGCACACGACCACATACTTACTTGGTTCAACAGGCCAACCTGAAAGTTGAAGCATATGGCTTTGCAGTCGCAGATGCAGACAAGGCAATCGAGCTCGACCCCAACAATGTCAAGGTATGGCACACATGGTGATTGGTCAGGTAAAGGCTCATTGTACATCCAGGCATACTACCGCCGCGCCTCGGCCAATACCCTCATCCTGAAGCACCGTGATGCTCTGAGGGACTGGAAACTCGTGGTCAAGAAAGCGCCCAACGATGCGACCGCGAAGCTGCGCATGGCAGAGTGCGAGAAGATTATCAAGCGCGACGCCTTCCTCAAGGCTATTGAGGTCGAGGATGCACCGTCAGTGGCAGAAGGCCTTGACATTGAGAACATGATTTTGGAGAGTGGCTATGACGGTGCAAAGCTGGGCGACAAGATGACACTCGAGTTCATTGAGGACATGATGGAGAGGTTCAAGAATGGAAAGAAGATCGCCAAGAAGTATGCTTACCAAATCATCATCGCGGTCATGGAGATCTCCAAGAAGGAGCCGACAATGATCGAGTACGATGTCGAGGAAGGCCACGAGGTCACCGTCTGCGGTGACACACATGGTAAGTTGAGCAGCAATACAGTCCATGGAATAGTACTGATTGTGCTCAGGTCAATTCTTCGATCTCATGAACATCTTCAAGCTCGCCGGCAAGCCTTCAGAGAAGCACTCCTTCCTTTTCAACGGTGACTTCGTCGACCGAGGATCCTGGTCTACCGAGATCGCCCTCCTTCTGTACGCCTACAAGTGGTTGTACCCCGACAAGTTCTTCCTGAACCGCGGAAACCACGAGACCGACGACATGAACCGAATGTACGGTTTCGAGGGCGAATGCAGAGCTAAGTACACCGAGCGCATCTTCAAGCTGTTCTCCGAGTCCTTCTCTCTGCTGCCTCTCGCTACGCTCATCGGCAAGAAGTACTTTGTCCTCCACGGTGGTTTGTTCTCGGACGATAAGATCACGCTGGACGATGTCAGGAAGCTTGACCGATTCAAGCAGAGACAACCTGGTCAATCTGGCCTCATGATGGAGATGCTCTGGACCGATCCTCAGACCGCCCCCGGACGTGGACCCAGCAAACGTGGTGTTGGTCTCCAGTTCGGACCTGACATCACCAAGCGCTTCTGCGAGAACAACGGCCTCGAGGCCATCATCCGATCGCACGAGGTCCGCATGGAGGGTTACGAGGTTGAGCATGATGGACGCTGTATTACCGTCTTCTCTGCACCCAATTACTGCGACAGCACAAGCAACAAGGGCGCCTTTATCAAGATTGGCCCAGACTACAAGCTCAGATACACACAGTTCGACGCCGTACCGCATCCCAACATCAAGCCCATGGCATACGCCTCAAATGGCATGCAGGGTCTGATGTAAGCTGCATTGCATGGTTTCAGGTCGGAATTGAGTTCAATAATTGTTCGCTTCATTGTAGCGATGCATAGTCTGGTGTTCTTTGGCGCATCGGCATATCACGGGTCGATTGGGGCTCAGGGTGGTCGGACGGTGTACGGCGAGTGATAACACTGTATGTATAGACATCTGGATAAACAGGTCGAAATATGCTCAGCTACACATAGAATCAAGAGAAGTCTCGTGAAACAATCAATCAATCAATCAATCAATCAATCAATCAATCAATCAATCAATCAATCAATCAATCAATCAATCAATCAATCAATCAATCAATCAATCAAGAGAAGTCTCGTCCAATTCCTCAATCAGCTGCAGAGTGACGTTTTGGTATTCCCAGCAACGCAACACCCCACCTCGGCCCCACGTGTTGTTGACAGCTGAAGCTAAGAGTAAACAAGGGTGGAGTCCCATCACGCACGGCTCACCAAAGCTCCACATCAGTGCTCAAGCCTCACGAACTCGCTTTCGACACCAAGTCGATCCGCGCGACGCGTCAAAATCATACAACTGTACTTTGCGATGTGAACGGCTTTAAACGCCACGCGTCAACATGCCTGCTCAGCAAATATTTTCAGCGAAAGCCCTGGTCGGTGAGTTGCACAACAAGCTGATGGTACTTGAGATGGACGCTGATGGAACCCAACAGGCGTCTGGCGCAACCTGCGAAACACGCGCGACAAGAACGACTTCTACCTCACGCTCCAGTACCACCAGGATGATGTGCGCGGGTCAAAAGGAAAGCAATATGGCAAGACAAACATAGCCGAGACCACCTCAGAGCTCGAAGATGGAAAAGCTGTGGATGTGGGCGGGAAGAGCATCAGCTTCGTGGTGCCATGGCGGAGCATGCAGGCGCAGAGACGAGAGTTGCGGGAGAAGGAGAAGGAGCTCGCCGAAGCGCTGGTCATGCTTGCGGGCGAGGTCTCCTTCACTGGTACGCATCTGCCTCCACCCTCCCGAGGCTTCCACAGCACGCCTCAGACGAGGACGACGACGCTGACGTTGACCCAGACCTTTCTCCAACACTGCAAGCCTCCCTCACGCAAAACCCTCTCGTCCAGATCCGCCACCTAGCTGCTGGCATCAGTCGCCAGATGTCCAAGGTCGAGCTGCAGATGGCAGACAACGCGCCCTTCTCGAACGGAAAGAACCTCTACACCGGTGGAGAGATAGCACGCAAGTTCCTCCCGGCCATACAAACACTCTTCGACCAGCGTCCAGTCCCACAACGTATGATCTTCGAACTGCTTATGGAGTTGAAGGACCTTGTCTACATGGGTATGGCAGACTGCAGCAGAGAGGTGCTCGAGTGGGAGATTGATGGCCCGGCTATTGGCGCTCTCGAAGAGATGGATGACGCATTTGCTAGAGCTGTCACGCCAGTCGTCTCAGCCGTAGAAGACGGGCACCTACAGACTAACCAGTTGGAGCTAGGGCAGAAGAAGAGAGTGCCTCGGCGAAAAGCATCGTCGCTATCTTCCATCACACTCTCAAAGCCACAGCAGCCATTCCTCACTGCCTCGACCACTGAGCTCCTCTACACCCTCGAGTCGCTAGAGACCACCGCCCTAGCTCTGACACATCTGCCGATTCCGATACTTGACTTCTGCGCGCATTCAATCATCACTTTGCGACGGTTCTCACCCCGCCAAACACTCACTGAGTTCTCCGCAAACAAGAAGCGACGATCCGGCCGATGCGCAGAATATGCTCGATGCATGAAGTGGGCGAGCACCAGCTGGCGACAGGGCGGTGGATGTAGACGCGGCTGCAAGAACGAGGACGAAGATCCGGAGAACCTCCCAAGCTGGCACAGAAGCAGCCGTTGGTTCGATGGAAACGGAGACGGAACACACATGGTCGGTGGTGGCAGGCCAGAGGAGCTCGAAGCCATCAAGGAGACCTGAGATTGACTGCGTACACGTGAACGTACACACGGTTCGCGAAAGTACGATTCAACAGCGCCGATATACGAGCTATCCGCTCCTGGCGTAACGTTGCGTCTTCAACGTTCTGATGGTCGGAATCCAGACCGAAGCACAGGGCACTTCACACACTTGGAGTACCGGATCTGGCCCTGATCAGTGATCTTTCCACACTTCAAGTAGCCAGCTCTTGGCTGCATTGAAACGATAGCAACTTGCAGCTCATCCACAAGCTTCGATAGACGAAGTCATCGATGGCTTATTCCACACACCAAGTCACTCCAAGCAAACGGCCAAAGCATCCACGCCGGGCTTGAGCAACAGTTTCACGAGACACTCAGAGGCTCGTGCATCACCCAGACCAGCACTCTGAAGGTGTTCGCACCTCATGCAGCTTTGAAGAGCGTTCAGAGAGACCATAGCTATTCGTCCGCAGAACCTGTTGTAGACGCATCACTCGCCGTAGACACTACGCCTGAGGCTACACCTGATGCCACACCTACTATCGGAACTACGCCAGAAGCTACACCTGAGGTTAAAGTCCCTGCTACTGAAGAGCCGACTCCTCTTGCTCTCATTCCTACACCCGTTGCTGACGAGCCTGCCGCTGACGCTGGTCTGTCTTCTTCTTCTACCTCAACTCTCACACCCACACCTACCCCGGCTGTCGACAGCGTCCCTGTGGAGGAGCCAGTCGTCGCAGTCGCCGCAGTCGCCGCCTAAAGCAAGATCATAAGGCGCTACACGCATGTTGTATATACGAGGGACTCAAGCACATGGTATGTATGAGGTAATGGGCAGTGTTTACTGTTGCGGTATCAACCGGTCCGTACGAGACCCGATTACCCTTGATTAGACTGTTGTGGACTAGCACGTTCCAGGGCCAGTATACAATCGTCTTCTCCTAGCTAGATAGCAATTCAGCGCAGTATTTCATCGACCCGATAGTCCTACGTTATCGTTTACCGTAGCTATCAGTGTACTACAGCGGCTACGCCGCCACATTTATGTACCTTGACAGTAATGCAACTTCATCGGGTGTCTCAATTGAGCACGACAAAACCCATCCTCTTACACTTCCGCACATGTCATATCAGCAACACACATACTCACGCACAAGCAAAGAAAAGAGAGTCGACACATCAAAAGTCCCCATTCAAACTATGTATAGATACGTTACTCTGCTCTGGCAAGCCCGCACCCGTGCGAGTACAAGCCAGTACCCAGGCGTCACCGAGGAGGCGCAAAGACCGGTTTCGACGCCCACCTGCGTTAGTACCAGAAAATAAAAACACCAAGCAAAACAAGAAATTAAGTTCCCCGGTTCTTGTTAACGACGCTCCCTTCCTGGGGCCGTAGCTCCTCTACCCTCCGCTTGAGGCTGCCACCCCAGGGTTTTCCGAGTTTGTCTCGACGTCTAAGTACGACTGCCTGCGTGCCATACCTGGGCTGGATCCGCACGAACCACGACAGCCATATTGGGACTAAGATCAATCGAAGATTCACGGTTGACGACGATGATGTATCGAATCTGAAACTTCACTTCATCTACTGAGGACTTCCAAGCCTCTCCTCACTACACCGAAAACATTCCAATAACCCCTCCTCCTCCCACAAATCCTCAAACCCCTTCCCCTCAACAATCATCCTTCCCACCACCCTAGCGCAAAGCGCAATAATCGCCATCCCGCCCCCATTGAACCCCACCAGCGCCCACACACCCTCTCTCCCGGGGACCCTCCCCACGAACGGCTGCCCATCGTTCGTCCTCCCCATGATACCCGTCCACGCGGAATCGTTCTTGCTGTTACTATTCTCCCATCCAAGGAATCTGTCCTGCATGTACTCCCGCCAGTAACCCATGACGTCTGGCGGGAACAAGTGAGCGTCGTCGAAGTTGTTCTTCCAACTTCTCTCATCCTGCCTAAACATCCACGCTCCTCCACCAACGACGATGCCGCCGTCGGGACGGGGATTGAGGTAGTCGACGCCCTTGTCCGGGCCAAAATTGATATTGTATGTATTGGTGAGGTGCGGGTGCACCGCTCCTCCTGCACGGTGATGGCTCGCCATTCCTCTTACAGGGACAATGTTCCCCTTGAACACCGGTAAGAGACCGGCTGTGTACGCGTTCGTCGCGAGCACGACTTTGGCTGCTGTGATGGTGCCGCGGTGTGTAGCCAACAGCTCGGCGCCAGAAGAAGAAACATTGAGGCTGGTGACGGGCGTGCACATCTGCACATTCAGTCTTCCCCCTTCCCCACCCCATCTCTTTACCATTCTCTCCAACAACCCAGTGACGAATTTGTAGGGCCAGAAACTCGCAGCCGGTACACTGAACGCACCTTTCGCGCCTTTGATACTCGTTACCTGCTCGGCCCTGTCTGCGCCAATCCAACTAACATTCTGGGTCCAGAGTTCTCCGTTCTTTCTTGCCTCTTCATACTTTCGATATGTGGATTCAGCATCTGCGGTAGAGGTGAACACGTCGAAACTCCGGCGGAGTTCGAATTCGCAGTCGAGATCTTCTTCTTCCGTGATGTGCTTCAACTCGAGCATCACCCGGGAGACGTAGTCCTGGAACGCGCTCCTCTTGTTCCTGCTATCGGTGGCTGAGTCTGGCAGATTGACAAGGGTGTTGACCTGCACCTTGACATGTCCTCCGTTCCTGCCGGTTGCACCGCTGCACAGTTGTCTTGCATCAATCAGCACAACTCTCGGTCCCGCACCCCCCTCTTGAGTGCCAGCCTCGGTACCGCTGTCTTCAGCTCTGTCCGTCTTCTTCAGGATATGGTACGCAGAAAGCACGCCAGCCAACCCCGCGCCGATCACTGCTATGTCGCAGTGTGCTGGCAAGCACAGCGTGGACTGAAGATCAGCGAAGGCGTGGGGCTCCCTGAGCCAGTAGCTCGTGACCGGGTTGGGGACGGGGAGGATCTGGCGGGTCATATCGTATCGTATCGGATTGGGGTAGGTATTGTGTGCTATTGTGCTATCTTTTGCGGTGTTGATTCTTGAACTCAATCAACTTGGGCAAGTCCACTGGTATAGCATCGTAGAGTTGTGGGAAAGAAGTAGATTTTTGGATACCGCGAGTCTGTGAGATTTCTACGTGTTCACGAGCTATATACATCGTGTCTCCGTACCGGTCGGCCTCGAGTTGTTAATGTTGCTGACAGTCCGATCGGCGTTCGGCATGAGAGTGACCCTGAAGTCGTCATCTTAAGGCGGCCGTACAGCACCTTCCCAAAGCGTCACATGCAGCGACTACCTGATAACAGCATCGCGTGCTTGCAATTCGTACGATCCAGTAGGACAGCAGGTCATGCGTGATGTGAAACTGATCCGAACCAGACCTGATCGCTGAGGCTGGGTCGCACCTTCCCTCTCCATTAGCAACGGAAACAACATCACACTGAAACAGAAGACGAGTTTTGAGTGGGTAAATCCCGGATCTGTTGCATGCCCAAGGGGATGCGAGATCTCCGACGGATACGAGTCTTGACTAACTAATCATCCCTATGAAGAAGTGAAGCGATAACAAACAAAACGCCTTTCCAATGCCATGCTAATCGCTCCGAGTCATACAGTCTGATGAATCGCCATTCAATACAGTCTGTGTCATCCACCTGCTGATGCCAATGCAAAAACACCCAAGTAACAAAGGAAAGATACCATGCGACGGGATAGGGTCGAGAGGGTATGATGGTGAGTGTGGTGTCGAAGAAGAGTACAGGAGTAGAGAGGAGGAAATGGTATCTACAGAGTTACAGACTGGCCAGGGTATTGTTGTTGTGCTGGTGGGCTCAGGTGATGGTGTTGAAGTTCCTAGGATGATGATCTTGTTTTCCAAACAACGTATTTCAAAGCAAAAAGGAAAAGGGATAATAAAGTGTCAAGACTACAAGTGGCGGCAATTGCCTACCACACCCACTCAAGGTCGCCAATGTCGTCGTCCACAACGAGGGGAGGACTGTTGTAATGGCGCCATTCCATGCTCTTGTACTTGTTGTCCACCGCAGGAACCTTGGGGATGTTCTCATGCTGGCTTGGACCCCAGTTGATCGGTCGTCTCCAAGTACCAGTCCGGCTCCGCTTCCGGGCAGAGTTCGGGGTTGGTTGAGCTTGTTTGGGCGACTTAATGGGCTTGGTCGGAGTCACGGGCGCGGCCTCCTTGGTTGGCGAGGGTTGACCACGGCGACGATCACCAAGAGCGGCCCACTTATCCATGCCAGAGCGCTTGGTAGGAGGCGAGTGTCGCGCGTGTGCAGGCGTTTGGTGCTCCTCGAAGATGAAGCCAGTGGTCTCACTGACGTGATCGACTTCGCGGCGCTTCGTCGGCGAACGACCCCTGCTATTGTGAACAGTAGCAGGGTTCTTCACCTCCGACAAACCGCCGCGAGGAGTGGAGACACCAGAGCCAGCCTCAGAAACAACCTGCTTCGCTGGCTTTTCAGCCTTGAAGCTGTGGAAGTTGTTCTCGAGCTCAGCCATGAACTGCGCATCGTCGTCTTCCTCCTCCCACAAGTCACTCCAGCTCTTAGAGAAGACGTCGCGCTTCTTACCGAAGACAGACGACATGCTGTTAAAAGGCTTGGCAGGGAGGGAGCCAGAGATAGGCATAGGCTTGGATCGCGTGAAGCTGATTGGCTCGCGTTCGGTACGTTCAGTGACGTCAGTCGATTTGAAAGATAAGCCCAAACCGGAGTCCACAAAAGATACGGCGGAGGCATGCTCGGGCTTCACGGCATAATCAGAAGCGGGGAACAAGTCGTCGGAGTAGATCTCAGTGTCTGGGATGACCGAAAGCTGACGGAACTGTTGCGGCGGAGACATGGCGAGAGCCTTGGCCCAAGGGAATGAACCACCCTTGTCGAGCGACGGGGTGCTGATAGAAGGAGTACGAAGTGGCTCACGGTTGGCGCCAACGGCAAACGGCTCACGCTCCTCGGTACAGAACTCGTCGAGAGCCTCGTCATCGGTGGTGAAGGTGATGGCACGAGTAAGGGCATCCTTGACTGCGTTGATGTCACGCTTCTCCGGGTCGATGGCCAAGCAGTGCGCGAGAACCTCAAACGTGTCCTGAGACATGTTGGGGAAGACATCGAAGAGGCTCTGACGGTCGAGAGCGAAGTCGGCGTAGAGAGGATCCGAAGACGATGGGACGGCGAAGGGGTTGCGCTGGAAGAGCACGTTGAGCAGGCAGATGCCAATAGCCCAGATGTCGGCCTTCGCAGTGGAGTAGCCAGCATTGGTAGGATCGTACTGCTCAGGAGCCATGTAGCGGTCACTGCCAACAGCGATTTCCCAAGACCAGGCGTCGGAGGTAGCGAGACCGAAGTCGCCAAGCTTCATCGAGCCATCCTGGGTAAGGAAGATGTTCTCAGGCTTGATGTCGCGGTGGTAGATACCCTTGGAGTGGATGAACTCAACGGCGCCAACCAGCTGCATCATGAAGTCGCGGACGTGCTCGGTCTCCAGGGGGCCCTTGTCGAAGCGGATGGCCTCGTAAAGGTCGCCATTGGAGCAGTACTCCAACACCAGATAGATGTGGTTCTGGGTCTCAAAGGACTGAAGGAGGTTGACAACGTTGGGGTGGTTGCCAAGGCGAAGGTGGACACCAAGCTCCTCAGAACGCTCATCGACGGCGAAAGCAGACGGGCAGTTAGCGGCGGCGGAAGGCTTGGTGACAACCTTGATGGCAACAAGATCCTCAGTCACGAGGTCCTTGGCCTGGAAGACCATACCGAAGGAGCCATGGTTGAGCGCAGAGATAGTTTCATATCGGCCGTGGAGTACAACACCTGCCTGAAGCTGATCACGCATGCACTCCATGAGAAAGACTGGGACGAGTTACAGGTAGCGAAGCGGAAGAAACCCGGAAGAGTCTGCTCGGAGCTAGTCGCAGCAGGTGAGGGTGACGGTGAAAGCCGCCACGTGAACAGATGAAACAACCAGATAAAGGAAGTTTTGGTGGTCAACGGATAACAGCCGTTAACCCGAAAGACGATGCTCTATCGAACTTTTAGGTGACCGAAAGCTTCGTGGAAGATAGCAATAAGATGTGGTGCAGTTCGCTCGGTCCAGTACGTGATAAGGTCCGCCGGAGATGTCGTGATGTATAGGCTGCAGTACTTCGCTCCAAAGAAACTGAAAGCAACGCGAGTAGTCGATGGTATGCACAGAAAGTCCGTCGACGGTAACAAACAAGGAAAGTGTTAAGAGATTGTGGTGCGCATCTGGCGGTATTAATTGGCGGTATGGATGGCCTGGTTCAACAGGCTGGCGGACGGAATAGAGCTGCCGGACGAGGGTAGTCCGAGGGAGCGAGAACGGAAGGAGGAGGATGAGGTCGCTGCGTAAGAGAGGAGGAGAGTCGTTATACGTGGAAGCCGGTCGAAGGCAGACAGTAGGTAGCTGTCTGATGACGCGATTGGCAGTGGTGAGTCAGGTGCACGGACTCGGGGGCTAGCAGCAGCGGTCTCGGGAGTATGGTAAGGTGCTGGGCTGGCGGCTTTCACTGAGGAAGATGTTCGGTCTTGACAGGTGTCGAACGTCTGCTTCACGAAGCGGGGTTGCGGCGCGGTGTTGAGAGGATGTGAGGTGGTGCAGCGGAGGCGAGGGCGTGGCTGTCGGGAACGTATCGGGAGATCGCCAGACAGAGAGCTCTCTATGTCACATCAAATCAATGACCGGCGGCGGCGAGGTAAATGGTCGACTAGATTGGCGTGGAGCGGAGCGGAGGTGGAGGGATTGTCGCCTGAGGGCGAGGTAGGGATGTTGCGTGTTGTTGTTGTTGTTGTCGTGCAGCTGAGCAGCGGTTGCGGAAGGAACGAGTGGAATGCGGCAGTCGGTCAAGGCAGCAGCGGCGGAGAGTGAGGAAGGTGCGATGGGGAGGAGGAGGAGGTGGTGGTGGTGGCAGAGCTGTAACGTGCGAGCAACGACGAGTAGAGTGTGTGATGGTGTCTCAGGACGGCATAGGTATGATTAACATGGTGGTGATGGGTAAAGGGGAGCTGAATCGAGGCAGGGTATCCGCCCATATATCGACGGCCCACGGACTCAGAATGGCCATGTCACCCACAACGGCATGGCCTGCGAGCCAGACCCAGTTGAACTTGCGGCTTGTCGAGAGCGGTATAGCGGCAGAGTGCTGCGTGATGCACAGCGCATTGGCAAAAGCGGCGCCAGGCCGGATCGACAATAGCTCATTCGCCATCAGGGTTCAGGACAGGCTGGCCGGGGCGCTGCCAACTTTCTGGCTGCACACTGGCTGCGTCCTCAGTGGCTGCAGCGAAGTCTTCGAGGGCCTTCGATCTGATTCCGTACGAGGTCGTCAACGAACTTCGTCACTTCTTCTGGGCCGACAGGACAATGACAGCTCCAGGACCCGGCTGGCTCGGAGATGGTGTGCAATCAGACAATGGCCCTTGTTTCGAGCGGGCCCCGCACCCTCATGACGAGGCTGCGAGCATTATGACGCTGCCGGACGAGGAGCGCACGCTGCTGAAACAGCCTCCCTGCTTCACACGGCCACCTCTGTATGCTGCTGTGCGTGTGCCAACGGGTCACGACGAGTCTAGCCGCCTGCATCCCCGGGCGCAGCCTGGCGAATTGCTAGGGCAGGCGCCGGCTGACGACCTCTCATGATCGATGCTCGCACGACATGCCACCTGTCCTCTCATTGGACCTGGTCGGCCCCCGAGACACCCTCCACGAGCGTTTGCTGGTGCTCCAACTCTGGAACCCGTTATCAACGCGTTATCGCGAGGCTGCTCATTGATCAATTGCTATCAGACGCGCTGCATGCAACTGTTCCTCTTTACGATGCACGCACGACCCAGGGGGTGCTCTTGATATCCTCGCCCCTATCGAGCACGACAAGTGTTGCAACCACCGCTGCAGTGTTAGCGCTTGGGGTGTTGCTTTGGTACGCTTGTGTGTTTCCTCGAGTTCCATCAGGGCATGCCGGCAGGAAGCGGCTACGGGCGTCTGGTCTGGGGAAGCTCATGCTTCGACTGGACAGCATCGTGTCTTCTATACACTGGCTGCTCCTGTAGATCTCAACGGAGATGAAATAAAGTTGGTGTACGCAGCCTCACGCAATGCATCGCACACCTTCATACCTGACCTGCCGTATTCTGCTGTTTGTTTTCCGAAGCCGGACTCGCTGACCAGTACCGTGGCTCCGTATCGCTGCCCCAGCCCGGGATGTAAGCTTGCGCTGCGCTCTACTCGTAGGCTTGCAGTAGACTGCAGCAGACCACAACCACGCACACGATTTGCCACCTTGTAGGCGTGCTGGACAACGTGCAGCACCGCTACTGCAGGTTGCATGCGGCCAGACTTGCCGTGACCCACCACTCTGTACCTGTTCCTGAACTCTCTCACGGCGGTGTGGAGCGACAGCAGCATCCCCCACAGACAACACACCCTCGTCCTCCTATTTCCAGCTACTGCGCCTATGGGGATTTGTGCATTTGCTTCAAAGCGGGCCCTGGTCCCACGGCGTGTGGGTATCTCGCTCGTGGGTCTGCGGATGGCATCCGTTGATGTGCAGAAACTGGGCAATGTCAACTGAAGCAGCAGGGTACTCTCGTAGACACCTCACTCTGTTGGACAACACACGATGCCAGCCTCACCATCGTGCCATCATTCAGTCGGTGAGTGCCCGATGCCATCAAATCCATACCACCGTGTAACCAGAGCAAGGAAGACGACGGAAGGGAAGATCGCGCACAGGTACCTGTTCTCACAACCAGTTCATGTCACATCTGTAGCGTGCATCTGACTCCCGTCGTGAAAATTTTCCTAAACAACAACAACACATGTATGGTGAGCTGCGCCTGATTCGTCCAATATCTATTGAGTCGCTATACACCACCATCCTCGTCGCGTACACCGCTCTGTTTTGACATCGCGTGTCTCGGGCAAGTGTACCAACCAGCGCTCTTGCCAGACACACAACACCAACGAGGCTTCATCCTCTCACAACATTTTCGCCTCACCGCCTTTCACCGCTCCACGTTCAACAACACAACCAACAATATGCCTGCCGCGTCCCTCGATACTGCACGATGGACGGCGTCTGAGGTCGTGCTGCTCGACATTGGTGAGTAATCGCAGCTGCTCTCGAGTCTTTCATGCTGGGGCGAAAACCACTGCAACCAGACTCCAGCATCCCAGCCTCTGCGATGCACGCAGCCTCGCTGCGTCGGTCTGGCCAGTGAATTCTCGGGTCATTGCAGACTTCCAGAATGCACTGTTGCTCACGCTGTTTCGCTGCCGTCGCCTGGTTGTTACCCCAGACTTTGCTCACGCCACGGTTGTCCCAGCCATCCACGAGTCTCAATTGCGCCCAGCGTTCGCAACGTTACTCAGAACCAGGCTAACCACACCGCTTTCGTATCGTAGAGGGAACCATCTCGAGTATCTCCTTTGTCAAGGATGTCATGGTAAGCTCCTCTTTGTTCTGCTGTCAGACTCCACGCTCTTTCTCGTCGTCTCGAGGAGACGCCAACCCCGCGTTTGGAACGCTTAGTCAAGATCATCAACACCAAGACCAGTCGAGATCATTGCGGCCCGCGCTTCCATTCCACTGGTGACTTTCGGCACTTTTCCAAGCCACTCAATTCTCCTTCGCGTGGTCTGACTGCTTTTCCTTATCCTGAACCTGCCACCTCTGGGAGATCTTGGACATTTCCGTCATCTGTCACGCGACGCACGTTGCTGGGGTGGAGCCCCCCTTTCTGCGACTCGCAGCTCACGATAGCCGCAGTACCCGTATGCCCTTGATCGTCTCAGGAGATTAGCACGCGACTCATGGTCCGACTCGGACTTTCAAAACCTTATTGTGGGGTTCCCAGCGGAGACTAAGCAGGACGCCGATTCTCTCCTTGCTCACGTGGAGGATTTGACGCGACGAGATGTCAAAGCTGTGTACCTGAAGCAGCTCCAAGGTAGGGAAACATCGTTGACTTCTGTGCAACGTGTCGGCATGTCCGTTCTGGTCGCTGTCGCACACAGCCTTGAATGCCTCCAGGGATCACCGAGTGCGATATCGTGCTGCCCTAATGCGGTAGTGGACATCGACGACAGGTGACTCGGTCCTGCATTACCACCGATAGCATCATTGCTGCGACTGCTATGTTTGTCCCAGCGGACCATGAGGGTGCTCGCCTATCTTCGTCAGCTGGCGGTGCTCACCGTCCGCCAGGAGAGTCTGGCTGTGTACGGCAGCGATCACTACGCCTATGCCCATGTTGACACATCTTGCATCGAATTGCCTAATCAGGCTCCGCTATGAGATCACAAAGAGACTCAGCAGACCACGCAAACCCACCGACTGAACTAACGATACGCAGGACACCTCTGGAAGACCGGCTTTACGGAGGGAGACCTGAAGACCCCGCTCTTCACCGACGTCGTCCCCACGCTCACGGCATGGAAGACCTCCGGGCGCACACTTGCTATCTTCTCTTCTGGCAGCGTACAAGCTCAGCTCCAGTTCTTCTCTTACGTAGAGGACGGCCCGACGACCAAAGATGTCAAGCCACTGTTCTCTGCGCACTACGACACGGTGAAGGCGGGTCCAAAGCTGGAGAAAGCCTCATATGAGAAGATCTGCCGTGAGATGGGCGTGGATGTGAAAAAGATCACTTTCTTGACCGACAACGTGAAAGGTACGTTGTCATCACCCCAGAGTGCCTCAATCTACCCGAGACCGCTACACTATCCGGTTGATCCTCACCACCCTACACCCCACGCACCGCCCTTCATCAGGACAACGCATCTCCACCAGCATCCCTTACCCAAGCACAATCCCAATCCGAAACATCGGCCAAGCCTCGCCCTTGTCTACCAACGACGTTTGATTACCCGACCCCGCACTTCGGCACATCATCAAACTCAAAGACCTCTTGCTGACTTTACTTTACAGAGGCTGAAGCTGCGACCGCAGCGGGTGTTTATGCTGTCGTTGTTGACCGCCCTGGTAACGCGCCGTTGTCGGAGGAGTCCAAGGGGACGTATCCCATGATCACGTCGTTGACAGATCTGCCCGCTTTCTCGTAGAAGAGCCGAGCAGATCCAGGAAGACGAGAGCTGGTAACCGACACCGGCGAGTACAAACAGTAAGGGCAATTGGGCAGGCAAGACCGCACATGTCTCAGCCTCAGATAGCTGGCGATCAAACGATCAAACTACTAGACCATACTAGAACCACCAGAAGCCGTCTACAATAGACAACTTCAACCCCATTCCTCTCGCCTAAATCCGCATTCCTCACACGTCTCCCTCCCCTCATCTCCAAACATATCTTCCAACCCCCACCACACTCACGTGTTCGCTCCCGCTCGGAACACCGCGATGAAGGAGCGGTGCTACGGAGTCTGTGGAATGCGCCATTAATCACCCCAGCCATTCTGTAACACGTTTCAACACGTCCTCCGCTGTCGTTCATTCCGAATCCGTCAAGGTATGCGGAGCCGAAAGAATGGAGACGAAAGAATGGACGCGAGAGGGCGAAACGGAGAGTGTTTTAGTTGGCGGGGTCGGTTGGTGGATGTTGATGTCAACAGCGGTCTAAACATGCAGCTGTGTATGGCGTGCTTGAGAGGCTGAAAGTTGCACTTGGGTTGCTAGAGTGGCATCACTAGTTTCTGGTGTGAGGATACTTGTCACTTGTAACTTGTCACTTGTCCTTTGTGGTGCGTGTACGACCTGCTTAGCAAGGGCGGCTCTCGTAGCTATGCGTCACAGCCAGTCATCTTGAAGGAGTCACTTAGGGTCGCCCAGCCGCACAAGGCTTGTTGCATGTGTACTTCGTAGGATTGTAGGATGGCTTTTATGTCTCAGTGAGTGACAGGTGTCAGTTGTGTATTGATCGTACGCGGTGTCTGAGACATACAGCTAGTCGCCAGAATGGTGTGAGGAGGCTGATAAATATCGTTAGATACCTGGCCTAGCATGATAGAAGAAGTGGGGTAATGGGTATGTGTGTTTCATTGGATAGTTTGGATATCATCTGTCGTGTAAGCCAACCAAAGCTTCAATTGCTTGTGCCAGCGTTCGCAGAGTTTATGCTCCGTTCATGTCCTTGTCCATCGCTCTTTCTCATGTCTCTCTACCTAATACTATCTACAATGGCGGACTCTCAGGCCGATCAATAGCCAGCCCAAAGTAGTAGTCCGTGAGCGCATTCATCTCATCACCAAATGTCGTGTCCACATCCTCCAGTCTCTCCAGATATGACTCTTTCCCGAACCTCTTGAGCGCAGGTACATCCAGCGGGCTACCAGAACCCATAGGCTTCTGGTCACATTCGTAGCCCAGAGCGCCGATGTTCCAGACCCCTCCGCAAGAGCCACAGTCAAGTGTCGTCGTATGTCCAGTGATGTAACTCGCGCCGCCGCATCGGAAGCAAGTGAATGAGCACCGCTCGCAGAGGGCCGCGCTGTCTGCGTCTTTAGATGGAAAGGCTGGGCGGCTGCAATATGTGCATTTGAGCTTGCCTGGAACGATTTGTGGGGTCTCGTCGAGCCACTGTCGGCGGAGCTCATCGGGTATGCGGTCTTGACTCCGCCCTGAATCGCCAACTTCCTCGAATGTGGTGACGTTGATGCTGTCGGAGCATCCTGAAAGAGCGCACTGTAGCCCTTTTGCTGTAGCCATGTTCTGGAACTCGAAGGCTTGATCGCGCAAAGAGTCCGTGTAGGTATCCTCACTTCGGTCAAAAGGTCCTTCGTAGTTGGGCCCTTGGATGACTTGCTGCTTGGGGAGGCCACCCATAGGTGCCAACCGCAGCTGCCCAGTCTCAAGCCATTTGCGTGCTTCTGCAGCCGCAGTGTCGGTAGGCACAGGAGATGTTGCGTCAATGTCCATACCAGCATCCACATCTTCGTCGTCTTTGCCGCGGTAAGGATGGTATTGAAGCTTATCTGCGTCTTTGAGAAGAATGTCATCTCTGCCGACCTCGAGAACGTTTGCAGTGCCGTTGACTTCGCCGAGAACGAGTTTGCTGTGGTCAGTAGTAAAGGCTCCCGACATGATACCAGAATTGGTGGTGATTAAGTCTCTGATGTACGCATCTTCATGCGATCGAGTGACATCCCAAATCTTGACGACCCCATCTGATGAACCGGAGTAAAGTCGCCTTGCGTTTTGCCCCCATGACAAGAAGCGTACACCAGTATCTGTCCTCTCGTGAGGTACACCATCCTGTAAAGGCATCAGGGAGCTTCCGTGAGGTAGGGTGTAGAGTAGTCTGTCCGGTCTGCGCAAGTCCCACACGTAGGAGCGCCCATCTGTGCATCCAGCTGCGATCAGATTCTCGTCATACGGACTGCATCATGTTAGCTTGCGCCTACAATAGTGTCAAACATATGAACTTACCACCAGACAACATCGTTCATATCAAAAGCTTTGCATTCGAGCTCAAGCGGGCAAATAAGCTTAGGATCAGAACCACCCTTCGTGCCCTTCGTGGTATAGAAACGGACAACCGAGCGAGTACCTCTGTTAACGTTGCCATTTGCAACACATCCAACAGCAAAGAGGCTCTGAAATCTCGGTGCTGGGTTAAAGGCAACGTCAAAGACATTGCGGCTAGAGCCATAGACTTGGAGGCTCGTTTGAGTTTCCACGTCCCACAGACAAATGTCTCCTGATGTATGCAAACCACTATCTTCGCGAATATACGCGCCAAAGCCTGCAAGCAGCAATTGACCAGTCGGGTCGAACTTCAGCGCAGTAGCGGACATGTTGAGATTGGGACGGTTCAAAGCTTTCGCAGAGGCGAAATTCTTGACATCAGGTCGCCAATGTTTGTCGTAGACTGTTTCCTCGTCAAAGAAAACAAGCTTGATCGATTTGTCGGTTGTTCGTTTCGTTGCGGTGGCGATGATACCATTGAAGTTTTGGTTCACTGCCAGAATGTCCACTGGCGCTTTGTGCCCCAACTGCCGAACCATTTGCGGTTGTGTGGAGCCTGCTGTTACGTTCCAGATGCAGACTGTCTCGTCGTAACCGGCGGAATACATCAACTTTCCAGATGGTGAGAAAGCCACCGAACTGACAGTGGTGTAAAGCTTGGGATCTTGGGACACGTACATAGCGTGCGTCGAGTTAGCACCAGCCTCAGTCTTTGGGCGCGCTATGAAGTGTTCTCCTAGCTCATGGATGTTGCCGTTGGTAGTATCGCCATACATAAGCACATTGGGCCTATTGTACTGCATGGAGTCCGAATCAGTGACTGCGACAGCCCCTGCTGCAAAGTACTGACCATCAGGGGACCAGGCCACAGTATGTAGGTCACTCGAAGCTCCAGTCCACGTGGATTTGGGTCCCAAAGTATCCATACGCTGGTCCTTGGTTTGGTATGTCAGTGGCGTTGATGCTGCTTGCCAGCCTCTTCTTGAGTGCTGTCCAAGCTCACGCTGACGAATGAGGGACGGTACCGACACCTTCTGGATGCTGCTGAAATTTGTGCTTGGCTTAGGCAATGCAAAACGCTGTATCTGGGGCACATCTGACACCTTACCCGCAGCGGCATCTTCGAGGAAGAATTTTATGCTTTGAGCATCCCGAGAATGAAGATGGCGACCAATCTCATGGGCCAGCTTTTGTAATCGCGGTTCAGCGAGGTCCTTGAAAATTGTGCGCAGGTGCCTTCTGTACGTGCTATGGCGCGTCTGTCGGCCTGGAGGAATGACTTTCGCGAAAACTTTCTCAACTGTTTGTAGTTCTGCTGGGCTAAAGTCCACATGCAAAACCACACCTTGCCAGTCTTGAATGCTCCATTGATCCCAAATCCATTGTTCAGATTCGTCACGCATGGCAAGACGTTGTGACCATGATAAGTATGGCACGCGTTCTTGCTGGACATTCCGCGAGCCTCTTTGCAGGGTCAAACCAAGCTGTGCGTCTTTCGAATAGAAATTTATTTCCAGAGGCTTGGTTTGGACCAAGGTGGTCGTACCTGGAGTTATAAGAGTCCTGTCAGCCGGTGACTCTAAGCGTGTGGGCGCTTCATTATTCGGACTGAGGCCAACGGTAGAGTCTTCCTCGTCGACCCACTCCTTCACTCCGCCCTCTGTAGTTCGCAACTTCGGCCATGTATAGTTGACAGGAGCAGCACGTTGTCTTCTCTGTCTTTGAGGCGCTGAATCCGTGCCAGAGGAGTCATCGTTATCTCTGACCTGCTGCACAGCTCTTGGCCTGCCAACATGGTGTTGGCGCAGTGCTCCACTGATGCCCAGATCGACAACCTGCTTGCGGACTCGAGGGCCTTCGGCGTTCGCATGTACTAGGGCCCAATCGATTGTGGCTTCTGCGGCGAATCTTGGAGGCAGATTTAGTGTTGGTGGATCTTGCGACCGATCTCGCTTGTTCAGTGTTTGTGAATAGCGCGATTGTAACTGCACATAGCTGCACCCTGGTATGTCTTTCGCGAACTCTTTGGCGACGTCTGCCCATTTGAGTCTCTTCACTTCTTTCAAAAAGATGAGAAGATGATCTGCCTTCTTGGTAGCACTTTCTGCATTCGTCTCGTTCAGCGGCTTAGTCGGGGCTGGAGCAGGCGGCGATACGGGCTTGGGCACTTGTAGTGAGGTTGGACTTTGCTGCACTTTGCGAGGAGATTGTCTCACAGGAAGCTCTAAAACCGCACTGTCTCCATGGCCGTGGTCAACGCTCACAACCGTGGGCACCGGTTCTTGAGGTAGCGGTGATCTTGAAGTCTGATGCACCCGCACAGCAGTTGCAGATTTGTTTCCAGGTGGAGAAGGTGACACAACCTCCATCTTATCACCCTCAAGCGGGTCTGAATCGATGACCATAGCTGACACGCTCTCAGGAGGTGTCAGACCAGGACTGGGAAGGCCTGTCGCGGCGTCGTCTTGAGGCAGGCGACCAATGAACAGCGGTCGAGGCGCTTGTACGAGTACGTCGTCCAGGAACGGTATGGGCGAGCCAGAGGGTTTTAGTGCTGAGTTCATGTAGTGAACCGAGGGCACCCCGTTCGTCGATCTGACCTGTGCGCCCAGATTGGTGTTCCGACTTGTCGCCGGAGCGCTATGGGCCTGCACAGGTGCTTTGGCAGCATGTATGCTTGACTGCTTTCCTTTGACCTGCGCTCGTGGTTGTGTGCCATTCCGACCATCTTCTCGCCTGCTGGGTGTTGACAATTTCCTTTTCTTTGAGCCGCGTTCTACGCCTTTTATTCCCTTTGTGATGCCTGTAGTAGTAGTTTGTGCTTGGGCACAGCCGATCGAGGTCGATGCATTGCGCCCCATGCTCGCGGACGTTGTGGCGACTGCTGGTCTGCTCAAACTTGCAGGTGTAGTCGTTATCGAAGTGCGGGTACGGTTCGATTGTGCGCCTGCAGATTGTCTGAGCTGGGCATTGGCTGTGCTGTCTGGCAGGAGAACTGGGGTCGTTGACCATCGCACCGCAGGCGTTGGAGCTTTGGGCGATCGAGAAGTAGGAAGTAAAGGCGGTGCCGCTTTCGGCATTACCGGAGCGATATGAGAGGAAATGATCCCTTCATCTTCACTATCGATATCGGAATCGACGGTCAGGTCTATCACCACTGGTACCATGTCTTGTCGCTATGCTTGTCAGTAGCTGCTGCCTGGATAGGCGTAACAGATCAACTTGGCGCGTGTTCCGTGATAGACAGATCTATCAAAAGCAACACAACAAGGTCTATAACTTACCTCAAAGCTATCAAGGGCAGATTGCCTGAACGACGCGTCCATACGTGTGGCGGTGTTTGTCGCGTAAAGTGGAGAGCGGCCCGCGCCACTGTGGGGCCACACTAGCGCGTCGAGCTCGACTCTGGAGAAACCCATTCACTCTAACGTTCACCACTGAGACCCTGTTGAACTGGCAGTTCCTGTGCGAATGTTTTTCCAAGTCTCAGTGTGTTTCATGAAGTTACGTCCGGAACGTGAGGAAAGAAGTCTCGAGTAACTCATCAACTCCAAGCAAGAGCCGCCCAGGTTGGTGAGCATCAATTTTGATAGCCTTCGTTTAACTTCTCGATTCGGCAACTGCCATAGCGTGTGAATCTACAGCTTCTCACCCTTGGCCTCCATATCCCCATTCCTCTCATGCTGACTATCTGTCACCGCCAATCCAGCAACCGCAACCTCCTCACCAGGCGCAACATCCTGCGGCACAGGAGGGCCACTGAAATCCTTCCTGCCGCGAATGATGTACCAAATCAGACTAATCAGCGCAAACCCAGCAAATACCACACTTGCGTAGTTCATTGTCGCTGGCTCGACCGGCAAGCTGACCGGCATGCAGAACAGCACCAGCGCCAAGCAAATCCAGACTATCATCGCGACGTTGATCGCATAACCGAAGCGACCGAGTGAGAACGACGAGTTCCTGACAGCCTGACGCCCTCGGATGACCGAGATCAAGATAGGCATGCCGTAGCTGGCCGACAAGCAGATCGTTGCAACGCCGGTGAACGAGTTGAACGCAGCGGAGGAACCGAAGAAGATAAGCCCAAGGAGGCAGTCTACTGCAGTAGAAAGAGCGAGGGCCGCAAGTGGGATATCGTACCTCTTTGACACCTTCTTCCAGATCCTCGATCCAGGAATCGCGCCGTCGCGGGCGAAAGCGTATGTGCACCGAGACGCCGCAGTGAGTGCACCGACTCCGGCGAAGAACAGGATGCCCAGGATCAAAAAGAGAAGTCCAAAACCTCCAGCAGCAGATCCAGTTACGGTCTTGAAGAGGAGACCGATGGGCTGTCCGTTGGCAACCTCAAGGAGTAGCTGTACGTCTGGCAAAACGAAGAGGATCGGGATGAGGTAGATGACACCTGTCACACCCGCAGCTGCAACTGACAGGACGATGGCCTTTGGAACCTCACGTTCGGGAAATTGCACTTCTTCGCACATGGCTGCCACCATTCCGTATCCCGTCAACACGTACGCGCCCTGAAGGAGACCAACGAAGAACGCCCATCCACTCGGCCTGGAAATCGTCAGCTTCCGATCCTACGAACGAGACCCGATCTACCCACCACCCACTCGCACTCGCATCATAATGCGTGAATACGAAGTCCGCATCCCTCTTTACGTCCGCCATGGTCAAGAGCGTGATCATGATGATGATGACACTACTCGCCGTCCAGTAAATGCAGATCTTGTTAATCAAATCCAGGTACTTGGCCCCGAAAATGTTAACAAGCATGCAGATCGCCATGACCGCCCAAAACATCAACACCGTCTGCCACTGATTCGGCACAAAATCCTCGTTCCACAGCGTAATCGCGCTCAAAATGAGCTGGCCCCCTGAGAAGTTGATACTCAGCGTGACCGTCCAGTTACCCACAAGAGTCAACCAGCCGGTAACCCAGGAGGTGATGGGCGCCCATTGACGGGTTGATAGCATGGCCGACCAGTAGTAAACGCCTCCCGCAGTTGGATAGACGGCGCAGATTTCGGCCAGCGAGGCCGCGATGCAGAGTGAGATCAGGGAGACGAGGATCCAACCCCAGAGGATGGTGACGGATTGGCCGTCAGTGAGGGTGATATACATGGTCGTAGACAAACCAAACGGTACGGCCATGATGGCGAAGGAGCTGCGTGTGCGTCAGTGAGCACTCCATCTAATCCCATCTCATCAAACAACTCCGATTGCGGACCAGTTCTCAATCGCGTGTATCCAGATTTCTAATGGAAGGATGTAGGAGTCGAAATGCAGACCATGGGAGGTTGGAGGAAATAGTGCACTCACAGTCCCAAAACACTCAACATACTCAAATTCCGTGGCAACTCACTCGCATACCCCATCTTCGCGAGCGCTGCATCAGCGCTGGGATCCTTATTCCCACTCGCGACGCTCGTCTTCCTTTCCGCACCCGTTTGTGTGATACTCGTGCTTCTCTTGTTTGCATCCATCTTGTCTGCCTCAGGCTGTCTCTTTCTTTGCTGTCGTGATAAGCCACCCGGCTCCGGCTTTGCGCTGCAATGCGACGATGCGACACTCTACAGGAGATTCGATGTTGCGCAACGTGGTGTGCGATGTGAAGTTGACCGCACGTGGGAGAACGGCCGCTCTAAGTATGCAGACGGAAGAGGGAAGCGCAGTATTGATAACACGAGAGACGTCGCGTGCAGAAAAGCCACACGAAAGCGCCAAACTACTCAGCTGCGGGGAACCCACAAAGCAGTTAGAGTCCAGGCGGAGTCCAGATCGCGGGCGTATGAGGGAGCTAAAAGGCTGCTAAACTGCTGATGTGGATGCGCTCTTTAGAGGCTCCGCGCGCACAAAGTGCGGATCTCGATGCACGCGACTACAGCGTGCATTTGACATCTGCAGGGCCTCACGCATATCTCACAAGCAATCTTGATCTTATCGTGGCCTGGAGTATCAGCCGAGGTCTTGTCTCGCGCGTAGTTCGTTGTCTAGGTTGATTCGAGCAGCCTATCAAGCCCTCACGGCGCTGTTGTCAAATTGCAGATGTCACCGAGCCAAGCCGTGAACGCCAGGTGCGTCATCTGGGGCCGCGTCAGGGTTGGCCCCCAGCGCGGCCGATTGTCGGAAGTGGCGACGTATCTACGCTATCACATCACTGAGCAGTAGATAGCACGAGCACCGATGAAGGATGAATCATCTTCCATTGATTGTAAAGTCATGATGTTGTACTGAGCAATTGCACTGAGCGAAAGCACCAACGACGCTGATTCTGTCAAAAGACCTCTTCAGATTGGGTATCTTCGCGCATTACTCCTTCTCCTTTACGCCGCGACTCTGCAAGGACATTCGAAAGAGACCCGAGAGCCATGTACATATCCTAGTATGCTGTGTGCTCGACAGGCTCAATCTCCATGGGCGCCTCGCCAAATTCTGTTTCCTCTGACACAACATCTAAGCCCTTCTTCTTCTCCTTCGGCCCCATAGCCCAGTCCAGAAAGTCAAACAAGCTCTCTTTGCTTGCTTTTCCAAGCTCCTCAATGCACTGCTCTGGCGTAATCACATCAGCGATGTTCTGTATGCTCGCCTTCCACCGCTGAGCGCACGATGCCTCAGGCTCAGTGTGCACGACATAGAACTGTCGGTAGGCGCGGCGCATGTCGGCAGACTGCATGGCTGCGTAGTACCCGATCATGTGTGTATTAGCATCTTCCTGGCTGTTCGCAAGGCGGTTAAAGTAGTCGAGAGGTTGGTGCTCAGCGATGACACGCCGCTCGGAAAGGATGGGGTACTTGTCTTGGACAATGCTGAGCGGCTCGATGTGATGATCTTGCTCCATGTAGTTGGTTAATGTGAGTAGTTGGTAGAGTTCGGCGCGGCTACAGCGTAGTGTTTAGCAGATAACGTGTGAGAGTGTTGACGGAATCTTACCTCAGGTAGTCAGGGTTTCCCGCTGCAAGCTCCGCTGAGTTGTCCTCGCACTTCAGGTACAGATACTCCATCAGCTCAGGCCGAACGCAAAGTCGCCAGAGCACACACGCGTCGTCTACCTCCTGCCACGGCGAAACAGGTCCATCCAGGCTACGCAGCTGCTCGATCTTGGCAAAAAAAAGCTTCACGATGCTGAGCGCCAACTGCGGCTTCTGCTCAAAGACGTCGTCGGTGATGTAGATGAAGCCACCGTGGGGAAAGATACCGATACAGTAATGTCGCAATTCTGGCGGATCCGACGAGACACCAACCTCGAAACCAGGGGGTGGCTGCAGGCCAACAGACCACACACGTATCCGCTGCTTAAGCACTTCACCAAAGCCTGGAAGGTTGACATACTGCTCAAAATCCGGATGCACCTGAAACCGTTAGCACGTGTGCAATAAGTCGGGAGTGGTCAACGTACGATGATGATACCTGACTTTCCTTTGGATGTTTCTTGCTGGAACTGACCCCAGGCACCATCATACCAAAGATTTCCAACTTTGACTTCGTGCATCAAAAGCCAACGTGTGATCAGTTCAATGTCTTCTGGATGTTCTTCGGGATGGTACAGTAGCATCGCTCTCTTCTCAAGCATTTCGTCATCACCCGGTGTGCCTGAGTGGAACATCTCGGTGATGTCTAGATTGTAGAACTGCTTAATCTTCGCATTTAGCTGCAAGGCTGATGCAGCAGCTAGTGACTGCTTCGGCAAAACATCCTCAATCGCGAGCGGACTCTGAACAAGCTGTTGCTCAGAAGCCTGTGCTGTATTGCTCACGATATCTGCAGGAGTATGACCAGAAATGTCGATACCGGGCTCGTCTGCGGAATGAGATGGTGCCGTTGGTGCAGGTAATATGCTTTGACCGTTTGGCATGCTAGAGTTCTCCGTCGGGTCTGTCTTTTGGATTAGCGGACTGTGACATATCTTGCAGTCTGTTGACAAGCTTGTGTGTTGTTGAAGATATTGCTACGGGTTAAGCGATGTCGTTCTCATGAAAGCACTTACCGTATTTTCGGAACCGGGGTAACCTCTTAGGATTGATCTGCTCAGGATGGGAGTTCTTCACTGCTCCAAGATATGTGATCCACCCAGTATTTCTGTGCGCAAACCTGCAGGTCTCAGCTGTTCTGGCGCAGCCTCCCGCTCCTTCCAACCAGAAATAGCATGTTATTGGAGGGGTGCCATTCTTTGGTGCCGAGTGATCTGTTGCGAAGCTGCGGACTGGTTCATTACCACGGAGCTTTCCTTTTCGATCGATTTCCACAGCTGGACCGCCCCCTTCCCCATATTGTGGGGCCCAACCGGTATTCTTGTGGGCGAATTGGCATTCTTGTTCGGTTTTGCGACATCCATCTTCGTTTCTCAGCCAAGACGGGCATGTGACCGGTGGATTACCGTACTTCGGCTCAAGTCTGTCTCCCATCTGTTCGCGATGAAATCGAGGTATCTGGTTTGGATCCAATGCTACAGGGCTGTCGAACGGCCTGTCCTTGGGTGTCGCCCATCCAGTGTTCCTATGAGCATAGTCGCATGCTTCTTCTGACTTTAAACAACCAAGCGGATCTCTCAACCAAGAGGAACAAGTGATGCCCTTGTTGGCTTGACTTGGTGGGCCAGAAGACACTGTCTGGCCCGCCACGATCAGGCCTTGATCATTGCTGTTCGTTCGGAGTGGAGTAAGATTCGAAACATCTGGCTCATTTCTGAAAGACTGGCTGCGTGGAAGTTCATGAGGGTTGATAGGGAGGGCTTGGTCGCTGCTCATTCCAGGAGGAGCCCACCCAGTGTTTCGATGAGCGTACTTACATTCAACGGCTGTCCTGGTACAACCCTTCTCCGATCTCAACCAGAAAGGGCATGTCACGGGGGGATTGGCATATTTGGGTGGTCCACCACGAGGCTTCAGGGTTGGGTCTATCCGTACTGGTTGACCCTTGATATCAGCTTCATGCGTCCAGCCTGTGTTCCAATGAGCATATTTGCACACTTCTTCCGATCTGACGCATCCGTGGGGGTCTCTCAGCCAGAAGGAACACGTTATTGGGGGATCCTGAAACTTGAACGGAACTAGGTGCGGTGGTACATCTCGGGCGGCAGAGGTGGCAGAGGCCTCTGGAAGATGCTCAATACGGATCGGCTGCCCGTTGTACTCAGCCCATCCTGTATCTACGTGTGCATACAAGCACTCTTCTGCGGTTCTCTTGCACTGGTCTCCTTTGTACCAGAAGGGACATGTAATTGGTGGCTTGCGGTACTTATGAGGTATCCGTCCATCATAATCGCCTAGTTGGTATGGTCGGCCCTTTGGATCAAATGCTCGATGCATGAAACGACACTTTCGCGCACCGTAAGGGCAATTTGAACTGAGCTTCCAGGCGTTACACATCAACGGCACCTTGTCCACCTCCCAGTCTGCGAGAGGTGCTGAGCCCTCTCCGAGGCCTTGTCGTGGTAGATCATCTGGGTCCTCTTCCCGGACGCGACGATTTGTGATCTCACGACGCCCGTAAAGATCACCAGACGATCTTGATGCTGCCGCTTTGGGTAATGTAGGTGGCGGGCCATTCACAAAATCAAGCGCGCTGAAGTCCGGAGTTCCTTCAGTGCGAGATCGTTTCTCGGCAAGGCTTCGATATTTGAGTTTGTTGTAGTGATTGTCGGTTGACCAAGCTTTCCTCTGCTGCTCCCTGGGTTGGTCGATGATGTTAATCGCGCGGCTCGTTTGCTTTTGTGGTACAGTCCTGATGGCGCGCATGGCACTAGTCGTAGTCACTACAGTGCTGTGAGCCCTCTCTGCTGTGGGTTTTGTAGAGACTGCAGACACCGTTGATCGCTGCTTTGACTTCTCGCGAACCGTGGAGGTCTTCGATGTTGCCTCCAAAGGAGCCGTGGTGGTATTCGGACGCTTTGGCTGGAGTAGAGAATTGCCAGTTGAGCTTCTTGCCGCGCTTCGTTCTGCTTTGCGTTGGGCTCTCTTGTTTCTCCGCAGCTCGCCCATTAACGAGTCGTCGGAAGTCTGGACATCTGAATTTGACTCATCTTCGGAAGATGATTGCTGCAACGGCGCCTTGCGAGCAACAGGAGGCTGCCTTGTAGCAACCAATGTGGCTGGAACTGACGGCCCCTGATTCTCCACAAAGAGACTGTCCCCTGCAGCAGTCCTCGTTCGTACTGAAGCCAAGGGTTCTTCATCGCTACTGTCGTCGTCGGGAACCACTGTACGGTCCCTCCGTTGCAGTCTACGGCGTTTCTTCTCGCGCTTTGCATACTTGCGTTCTTTGGCAGCCTCAGCCCTCTCCTGTGCTGCCTCAAAAGCCGCTATGTTCTTCTCGTTCTCGCGTTGAAAGGCAGCTTCACCTAGCTCTTGTCTGATCTGCTTCCAACTCGAGATGAGATCAGTGCCGTCCAAATTCATAGGAGGCTCCCAAGTACCTGTGGGCAGTCAGTATGCATTGTCACTGTAATGAGGCAGGTTGGCGATGCAAGCCTAGGGTACGCATCTACGATTTGACTTGTTCAAACCAAGCTGTGGTGAGCACTTACAGCTGGTACCATGTTAGTGCTGAAGTTTTTAGGCGTGTTCACAGACGTACTCATGCAGTGGGTAGTCTTCCCATTTGACGAGGTAGCAAGCGTCCTCTTCTGGATTTTCCGCTATGATACAATCTGTATTGTAGAAGATTTCGTCGCCAGCATCAGTAGAAGTGACGGATACTTCATCGGTGTCGTAGTCTTCAACGAGGTCATATCTTGCGGACATGACCTCGTGCAACTTTTCCAAGGCAGACATCTTGATTGGCCAAAATCAAAAGGCGCGGCGTTGAGAAGAGAATTGCCCCTCCAGTGTTCAACGCTCGCCTGGAGGTGCCGAATGCGACTGCGACCCGTTTGCGCCTCTCACAATTGACCGTTCGGTTGACGTGAAATAGTCGAGTTGATAGCTGCTCTGGAATAAGATAGTCTGACGCTAGTGATCCTTAGCGCCAGTTTTGACTTGGCACCTGCCGCAGCTGCTCCACGCATTGCTTTGTCGAGGCAGGAGGCAGCCAAATCACTACACACGAACTACGTCGAAGCACTGTCTTAGCCTTACACCGCCCATACACCACACTCTGCCCACCACCTTCACCGACTACCACTTTAGCGCCAAATCTCGAGCGCTTCCCCCAACTGCGCACCTCCTCCCCCGCTCACCGCAGCCATGGCGAACGACGAATATGACGTGAGTTCCCTGTGCGACATGTGCGCTATTGGTGGCCCATACTGACATGTTGGCTGTAGTTTCTCTTCAAGGGTGCATACTCCCTCTGCGCCTCATGTCCTCGCCCGCTAATACCCAACAGTGGTCCTCATCGGAGACTCAGGTGTCGGTAAATCCAACCTGTTGAGCAGGTTCACCCGTAACGAGTTCAACCTCGACTCCAAGTCGACCATCGGTGTCGAGTTCGCTACCCGTTCGATCCAGGTGGACGCCAAGACGATCAAGGCACAGATTTGGGACACAGCTGGCCAGGAGCGCTACCGCGCCATCACATCGGCGTACTACCGTGGCGCTGTAGGAGCGCTGCTTGTTTACGACATCAGCAAGCACCAGACCTACGAGAACGTTATGAGGTGGCTGAAAGAGCTGCGCGGCTATGCCGACTCGAACATCGTTATCATGCTGGTTGGAAACAAGAGCGATTTGAGGCATCTGCGGGCAGTGCCCACCGAGGAGGCCAAGCAGTTTGCGAGTACGTGTTTCTGGTTCGCGAGATGCGGTTGAATATGCTGGATTATGAACAGCCGCTGACATTGGTCACTTACAGGCGAGAACAACCTCTCGTTCATCGAGACGTCTGCCCTGGACGCCAGCAACGTCGAGCTTGCTTTCCAGAACATTCTTACAGGTATGAGCTCCACGCACTCCCAGCACGCGATATACGACACCTACACAACATACACGACTTTGCATGAAGAACAGGTGGCAGTGTCGTTGGTGTGGATACGAGCACACCGCCACTTATTCGCTATTACCCCTCATGCTGTGCCGCTCGTAATTGAGTCCAAGCATTGCGCTGACAACCACACCAGAAATCTACCGCATCGTCTCCAGCAAGGCACTCGACCAGGGAGAAGGTAGTCAGAACGTCCTCGGCGGCGAGCGCAAGGTCCTCGAGATCAGCAAGTCGGCCGACGCAGAGCAGAAGAAGGGATGCTGCTAGACGGATACACACCCGCGCCCTCCATGACGCACTGCGCTTGCGTCTCACGCACAATCGATGGAGACCTGCGCTTGAGCGTATGAAAGCGCGATGCGCTGCGCTGAACGACCAGATACGCCTGTCATGTGCAAATGTCCACGAGTCATGTCAAGTTTCACGGCGTCCAGGATGTCTCATTTGGTCGATAACCCTCTTTCAACATCTGCTTCCTGTTTCTGCTTCCATTGCAGGCGCTTGGCTGTGCTGGGATGAGCCGGCCTAGAGGTCTGTGTCTTGGTTTCCTGCATGTTGAGGGGTCTTTTCTTTTTAGTTGAAGGTGGTAATGTAACTGTGCTGCTGTATGACAATGCAATGCAGCGTATATCCACTATCATATCTCTGTCCATGCGTCTCACTTGAAGACTGATCGTTGTCTACCCGTCCCCTCTCATTCAAAACCTAGCAGCGTTCATGCGCTTCATTCCTCCAGAGCATTGCGCCCTACTCGTCACGACGAGTTTAATCATTGCCAGCATCCTATCCTCAACGCCTCGAACTTTCGTTTCAAGCACCTCGTTCTGGACCCTCTTACCGTTCTGTTCGAAGACAGCGTACCTCGACGTCCATCACCCACACGCGATCCTACGCCCAAGAATGTCATCCATGCCAATCGCCTCAGAACCTTCGATGCCCCTTGTCCCCACTAACCATATCATTACTAATCTTCTGTACCTCCTCGCTATTCTTGACCCAGGCAGAGCTCGCATCCGTGTACTGCTGCGTCCCAAACTTCTTCACGCACCATTCAAGCACCTTTCCCATCTCTTCTCTAATCCTCTCCTTCAGCCTCCCTTCCTCACTCTCTCCACCCTTCCTCTTCCTCCACCCCTCCACATCATCAACCAACGTCTTCCCCGCTTCAACACCCTCGGCCCCATACACCCACTCCAACAAGCTCTTCTCAATCTCCTTTCCCCCCTTACACTTCTCAGCGACATCCCTACTCAGCCTCTCCTCCTGCTCCCTCTTCTTCGGTACCCACCCCTCAGCTGCATCCCCCACATCGCCCAGCCACAACCGTGCGTTCCGGAAATCGCCCTCGCACCGGTGCAGGATGGAGTGGGTAAGCATGCCTTCCAAAGCGGGCGGGGCTTGCATGTGTCGCACGAGGAAGTGGGCGGAAGGCAGGTCGTGGTTTAGGATGTGCAGGGCGGATTCTAGAGTGGGGTGGAGATTCATGTCCGCTATCTTGCCCGTCAAGGCTTCATTTTTGGCTTTCTGTGGCGCCTGGACAAGGGACGCGTGATGCAGCAACTGCTTTGAGAGAGAGTCGAAGTCGGCTGGCATTATTGTTTCGTTTCTCTGCTTCGTTCTTCGTATTGTTCACCTTTGCTATTCTTTTTTGATTGCTTCGTAAGCGGACCGTCAGTGACTGAATATTTGGATCGAGAGGCTAGGACTTCCGGCATTGAGACTTGTTAGAGTGAATTGGGAATCGCTAAAGGTAGGGTATCTACACATGTGCATGAAACTACAAGTGGCCAAGGCGCGAAAATGTGTGACGTCCGTGACTCCTTTAAGCGCTGAATTGCTGACGTCATGGTAGACCTTACTTTACCATGACCCGCGATCTGGGGTAAGAGTGACGTTGATGTAGTACACCCAAGGCCACGACTACAAATCGTAATAACAGATCGCGTCCGTCGAGCATGATCCATCAGCATAACCATCAGTATATAGTACTCGGCTGTAGCTCTGAGCATTGCTTATTCCAACCGGAAAGGGCACTAGAAACAATAGTAATAGAAATCATAAAGCATTCAATTGAGCTCGCGAATCGTAACACCCATACAGGTGTTGATATATACAATGTCAAAGCCGGTTTTTCAGACCTATCGGCAAAACACTACTAGTACATAGGTCATAGGTGCGTGAAAGGGTCGCAGTCGCCCAACGCCAGGAAATAGTAGGACTCGATGTCATCGAAACACGAAGCTGTGGTCACTTCGATCAGAGAGTTGGGGTGTGTCGGACGGAAGAGGGTGAGAATGGTGCGGAGAGGGGTCAAGATGGAGGGGTTTAGGCCTTAGCACCAGACTTGTCCTTCTCCTCCTTCTTCTCCTTTTGGGCTGCCTCCTGCTTGTTCTTGTCTTCGGGATGCTCGCGCTTGGCCTCGATGTGGGCGTTGCGCTCCCTCAAGCGCTCCTCTTCAGCCTCGACCATCTCTGTAATCTTTCGTCAGCAAAGAACTCTCACCAGTTCCGCAGCAAAATGCTGTGCATCATGACAAAGCACGACTCATCAATAGCCACTCGCAAACAGGGTCGAACGTACCTCTCCACCGGTCCTCACCAGCATACCTCTCATGATGAATCTTCTTCTCAATCATATGCTGATGCGTAGGATCGTTTGGATCCAGCACCTTAATCGTCTCCCACCTTCCCTTTCCCTTCGCCGCGTCGCTGCCCTCAAACGCAAAGCTCGTAAGCAGCGCTGCCAGCGTGCCGCCCTGGGCATACATACGCGCCTGGACCAGCTTCTGCGAGCCGCTCAGGTAGGGGTTGCGGTTGACCATGGTCCACGAGCCAGCCATGGAGGCGATCCAGAAGCCAAAGAGCAGCGGATAGCGGTTCTCGGTGGCCCACTCTTTGGCTCGCTCGAAGGCGGTTTTGTTGGACTCGAGAAGGGCTTCGCGCTCCTTTTCGCGCTGGACCTGGGCTTTCTTCTCGGGCGTGTTTTCAATGTCGTATCGGGCGGAGGCGCGGTCGGCGGCGATGACAGCTGTAACGAATTAGTATGGAATGAGATATCGGTGTTTTGGGAAGTGTGACATACCAATGAATGTTCCTGAGGATGTGACGAGGAAAGCGCGGAAGGGCAGGGTGAGCGCCCTGAACGATGGGTATCTTCTGCTCGCGCCAGCTACAGCGGCGATACCGACTGCTGTACCGATGAGACCACCAATTGTTCCGCCCTTGACTGAGGCACTTTTACTTTGTTAGCAGCTTCTCCCACAGCTCGCCGCACGCAAAACTCACTTGTAATGCGCCTGCTCTTGCTCTGGCGTGAGAACCTTCATTTTGTGTGCTCAGGCTTGTTCTGTACTACTTCTCGCTCTGAATCTCTATTGTCTTCACAAGACACAGTCGTAGGGTATAAAGCTCGCAAAAAGGTGAGTGATTTGTGATCAAAGACCAGCAGTGGAGACGGGCGCACGCAATGCTTATAAAATATAACACAGCGCTCAAACCTACACCATGGTGACGTCGCCGACTATCCGGCAGCTTAGCGCTTTGCCTTTCGGCAAACCCTGCCACTGCGGCCTCGCTCCCGACTATCTGACCACCGCGCCCTGATCGTGTGCTCGCCAGATCCTTCTTTCTCCGCTTCGTACATCCAGATGAGGGGCTGTGATAGTCGCCTCTTCATTTTGTTCTCATTGTCATACTCTGCATCTTCATATTGAAGCTCCATATAGCACTGCAAGGCGTGACTTCATAAGCCCGGGTCACCAAGCATCTGAACACACGCGCAAACAACCAAGGTTGAAACCTGATCGATCAGCCCTGCCGCCGAACAGGCCGAACAGTCAGCAAGGTCCCAAAAACAATGTGTCTCGACTGGGACTCGTGCATCGCAAATTGTTCGGATCATGCGTTGAGGCCGCTGCGGCATCTTTAGCGTTGCCGCTGACCGCTCCTGGACCATCGACTCACATAACTCGGGCACGTCCGCCACAACAAGATTTGCTCGTGATTCTGAGACTCTTGTGCTTTGCAATCGATCCTTTACAACTTCGGTCCTTCATCCCGTAAACGTTTCGTCTTGCAAAAGACTGATTTATGCTGCTCCGAGCATCCCCGAATTGCCACCGATCCCGGAACTCGCCGCAGAGTCGGTCTTCAACACCAGCAGAGGAGCCATGGAGCACGTTGCACGCGCCTCATGACATGATTGAAATGTGACACCAAGTACAGCTCAAAGGAATACCATCTAGACATATTCGGGAACTGTACAAGGAGGCACAAGCGTAATGCGCAATTGCTTATATTTGGGAGGAATGTTTACAACCAGTTCATGCCGTCACCTAGCCATGTTTCCTTTCGATCAGCGGTACTTCTATGAGAAGAGTAAGCATGCACAATGATCCAGCTCCAGTATTTGACATCTTCTCCAGTTGAGCATCCTGTTATTGTACCAACTGCCAACCCAGAAAGAAAATGTTGAAATAAACAAGAAAGGACATATCGTGGGTAGACATGTCTCGAGAAGCGATGTTGATCCGACTAACACTAGGAAATGGTTTTTCGTCTTATCCCAATCGGTTCGACAATCTTTTTCGACATGAACTGTAGCTTGGGAATATCTCTTTGGTGAGATCGACAACGGGAACGAGTGCGTTCGTGGTTACAATAACCAACGGCGTATGTTGGAGCCAGATATGTCTATCAGATACGACCTTCAACGGAAGGTGCCAGGAAAGGTGGCGGTACGAGGGACGGGGTTGTTGCTGTATCGAGGAACCATACCAGCGGGCGGACCCGGACGTGTAGTGACGGCGGGGTTGCAGCATAACATGGCGACGCGCGAGCCGTACTTAGAACCGCGGAGGGAGACCATGTGCTTGCGGATGTGGCTGCCAACAATCTCACGGTGCTGCGCGCTGCTGTTGGTCAAGATGTACTGGATGAGGTAGTTTCCAAACTGATCTCCGGCAACTACGAGAACGTCAACATCAGAGCAAGAGAAAATTCAGAGCATCACTACTTACTGTCAATCAGGGGCATGCGAGGGCGATCAGGGCGACCTTCGCAGACGCGCTCCAGGTACCGGTCCAGGAACTCAGTGTTACCAATCTTGAGACACTTCTCAATAACCTTGGAGGCGTACTGATCCATGCTGTATTCGGTCGCGAAGCGGAGGATATGGTCGACGGCGCGACTACGATCGGCGGGAGCACCGTGCTCGCAGATGTGCTGGATGCACCAGTTGCCGAATTGGCCGTGAGCGATAACATCGATACTAGCAAGAACTTCGTTGATGCAAGGACGCTGTGACTGGTAAGTAATATCCAGGTGAGTGGGAAGAGTGTGTTTGGCGCACCTTGTCCTCTTCCAGACAGTTCTCGAAGATGTTCTGCACGACCAGACTGCCGGTCTCACCAAGAGCGACTTCATGCCACATGCCTCGGAGCGCCTCGTTGACATAGCGCATGATCTGAGGCGGAGAGTCGCTCCAGCGAAGCTCGAATAGCTTCTGCCAGACATGGCAGGCATAGCGATGGATCACGGTCTCTGGAATACGGCGCAGCAATTCGTGGACCATGGTGGCCTTGTACTCTTCAGGAACGCAGTCGAAAGCCTTCTGAATGACGTGGCATCCGAAAGCGTCCATGCTGAGAGCGAGCGTGTTGCCACGGATCGCTTGAGCAATAGCGATGATCTGGTCAGGTGTACCATGCTCGAAGCAGCGTTGAACCAGAAAGTTACCGAAGCGGTTGATCATCAGGGAGTAGGCTTGAGCGATGATAGCTTCGACGATGTCGTACTTCTGGTCCGGTGTACCGACCTTGAGCTTCTGCTGGAGGAAGATCGAAGCTTGCTGGTCATTGTTGCAGATGATCTTGTCTACAATGTACTTCCAGTTGCAGCTCATGTTGCGATCTAGCAGCCGACGGTAGTTCATGGGCTCAACAGGAGGCATGTATTGCGAACCACCAGCCTCACTAGGAGCCTGCAGAGATACTCAGTACATGTCAAGAACATTCAATGGTCGTTGGTTTTGCTTACCTGAGAGTTCCATGGTGATGGACCCATGCCAGTCGACACATCGAACTCGTTTGCGACAGGAGACAGCCTGCTTCCACCGATAGTTCCAATCGGAGCAGGGTAGTTCGCAGCTTGCATAGGCGGGACTCCGTACTGGTTGTAGGCCGGATCGAAAGCGGAGTCAGGGCGGCTTGGCGGATTGTTCATGCTGTTGTTGTAGCCAGTGTTGAAGCCAGTGCCCATCCCATTTCCCATGAAACTGCCCATGCCGTTGTTCAGGCCACCACCGCGGAAGCCCTGATCAAGAGGGAAATGGGTTGGCTCATTGAGGTAGCTGTTGCCGCGTCGTGCTGTTGGCTGTCCGATTGGGACTGGGGGCCGGGCCTGAGCCTGTGCTTGACCTTGATACTGAGATCCAAAGCTGCTGTTCGTGTTGTACGATGGGCGAGCTGCATCATTACCCCATCCATCGTTGACACGAGTTGAGGCGTTGAAGTTGTTCTGCAACTGCGTAAGGGTCTGCTCCGTAACCTCGCCGACGTAACCGTAGTCAGCTTCGGACGACTGGCTGAGATGCTCCATCGTAGATCTGGCGACTAGATGACTGTGCGCATCTTGATTCATGCGAGCGATCTCGTCCTTAGCCGCCTGTAGCTCGTCCCTAATCTTCTGCAGCTCCACAGCGTTGACGAGAACAGATGAATTTGCCGAAGACATGGTAGGTGGGGTGCTTGCGTAGTCCTCGGTAGCTGGTGTGATTGGAACGGAGCTGCTGGAGGATTTGTAGGGGTCATCAGGCGACGATCGCTCATTGAGACGCTGCAGGAGCGAGTCCATGACTGAAGTGTCTTGATAGTGGTCACTTTTGTTCTTATCCATCAGTCAGCATGTTGTGAGTACGTAAGGTGTGAGGCGAAAGGCAAAGCTTAGCCGGACGGCGAGATGAAGGTATGACTGACCTTGAAGCCACCAAAGTTCTGTTGCTGCTGCTGCTGCTGCTGCGGCATCGAAGGCATGGCAACATTGCCCATGGTGGTGGAAGTACCGAGTGGCCGCTTGAGACCCTGCAGATTGGATGTCAACGACGAGCCAAAGGAAGGATGAAGGCCGAAAGGGTAGTAGTTCTGGCTGATGCCATTGATCTGGCCCAGTACCTCTGGTGAAGTGTTGACTCTCAGGTCTCCAGGAGGCATGTTGAACCGGGTGGGACCCTTGCGTGGGGTAGGCGAGCCGTCTGAAGTTATATTGAAGGCCATGGTTGCTGGCGGCGAGGTGCAGGTAGATGAAAGAGATTCGAGAGATGTGCGTAGTCTGAGGTGACTGGGCAGATGCGAAGATAATATGCAAGACACAGCTGCTCGATGATACTCCGTTGGCGACGTATATGGCCAAGTAGATGAAGAAGCGGAGAAGAAACGCAGAAGATGCAAACTAGATTAGCAGCTTGCAATTAGCAGCAACGAAGTGGAAAGGACGGAGGGAATGTGAGCGCAGTGAGGAGAAGTTGCACTGCGGTGGAATGTCGAAGTGGAAAGAAAAGGCGGAGTTATGGGGAAGGAAGCGAAGTGACGATAGCTGTTGGCGGCGACTAGCGGCAGGCGTGATGGAAAGGGCAGTCGCGCAGGCGCGTCGCCAATCCGCGGTCACCACTAAGCTCAAGTTGATCATCAGCCAGTAAAATCTGGACGAATGAGCGTGAACAATGCCTTTGGCTTTGTTCAGACGGTGAAGGTGAAGATGAATAGCGCCGAATATCGCCGCTGTCCAAGAGATGCATACCTCAAGATACGAAACTAGATGCAGTGACCTGCCACTGCGAGTCGAAGAAACCTAAAGCCAGCGCGCCTTCGACGCCCTTCCATTTCGCCTCTTCACCTAGAACCACAAAGTCCGGCTGACCCACGCCTGTGAGCATCGGTACTAACCTTGCAGCTTGCGTCAGACCTTCATCGTCAGCTCCCCAGAGTACCAGCTCAAGCCTTTCACCTTCCAGTGGTCGGAGCCAAACGGAACCACGCGCTTCGTCGTACCGTTGCTCTCGCCCACGACTGTCACGCAGAATGATCCCTGATGAAGACACCTGTATGGGGAGGTCCGCAACAGCGCCTTCAAGAGCATCGCCAAGAGCGAGAAGTATGGCGTTGCCCGTGACGTTGGCGGACGCACTGTTTGCGGTCTTACTGAAGATGATGGTGTCGGCGCGGAAGTACTGGTGAAGGTTGCGAGACACCTGAAGTGCAAGGTGCGAGGTGTTGACAGTACCTGGATGCTCAATGGTGATCGGACCGTGCGTGCGCAGTATCGCCCTCATGGATCCGAGCTGGCGACCTCGTCTGCTAGGTGACTTTTTTGTTGTACTCACTGCCTCCGTGACCCAAGTGTCGCCAGACAAGCGTACACTGACTGGGGTGTCAGTGTTTGCAGCAGCGCTTGCAAGCTCAAGTGTTTGGCCGTCAATCATGATGGCATCTTTCCAGAATGGAGGGCCGAACTCGATGCTAAGAACGTTCGATGTCTTCACAGTGCGGCCTTTTACATGCACTCTGCCATACTGTCCAGGATCCTCCAGTTGCGTGACTCTAACCCCGCCCTTGCTGCCCATGTCGCCAGGGTCACCGACGACGATGCTGAACTCGTCCAACTCACGAGGCAATTTCTCTTTGCTTCTAGTCTGGTTGTAGTAAAAATCGATCAGCTCTGGTGTAGTCATAATTCCGTCCCACCAGTGATTCTGATTCGGTACTTCATGGTAAGTTGAGTTCGCGCCTGAAAGCTGAAGTTGTTGAGCAAGGAACCGAGAATGGTATGCTGGAACATTGTCGTCTACCTCTCCGTGCTGCTGTTGAATAGGGATACTGCGGGCGTTGGCCATGAGCATCTCGTGTCGGTAGCTGTTCATTGATGCGCTGATGACTGAAGTCCGCCTAGGATCGGCAGGCTGCCATAGCTCATAAGGCACGTACTTTTGAATACTTGCATAGCCTGACACAGGTATTGCAGCAAGCACCTTGTCTGGCCGGTGAGTGACAGCATACCATGTGCCCTGACCGCCGTTTGAGTGTCCCGATACGATCCATCGATCTGTATCAACACCTGAGCCTGACCAGTTGCCGTATCGTATCCAAGCAGGTATGACATCGATAGCGGCCTCAACATCAGCAAACCCCCAATTGTGCCAGTCGTCTCCAGACCAGGTTGTCACGCCAGTAGGGAAGACTATCCAGGCGCAAAGATCAGAAACGGGATCCAAGGCTCCAGTCACCATGGAGTTATCGGCTTCCAAGCCTGCTCCGTGTAGGGCCAGCAGGACCGGTACCTTTGTTTGCTTGTGTCGACAGGTGGCGTTCTTTGCCGGAGGTCGGAGCATAGCATAAGACACTATGCCGCCTGGGTGCAAAAAGGTAATCTTGTGGGGATCGTAGGCCGATACATGCTTGAGATCTTGAGTGACTTCAAGACTTAAGTGTTCACTGCTGTCAATGACTTTGTATGTGATGTTGTAGGCTAATGACGAAGCTTTGTGAGTGGGCAGTGTGATGTTGAAAGCAACAGGCCTAGTCTGGCCTGCGACAATGACAATGCCATAACCTTGAGCATTTTCAGCTCTATCGTCGGTCGCCTGTCCAGAAGTCAGATCATTAGCACCTCGTGCTACCAGCATTTGACTATCCGTGCTCAACCTCAACAAAGGAAACAAAGTGCTGACATTGGTGCTAACGTTGGCAGCATGAATTCCAGTGATCTCGATATCACGGGCACCGGTGTTACGCAAGGTCACGGAGCCATGTGGTGTTGCGAGCTTGCCATCGATAACATCGGACATGAGAATACCAGGTTTCGCTAGGTCCAGACTTCCAGAAACCTGTTCAACGCCTACCACGACATCGATAGTGGGCTTAAGGATACCTCCAAATGCTCTGACATCTCGCACAAGTCGTAAGTCAATCCGGTGACGCCCTGGTTCGAGGTGCAACACAGGAGGAGCGTTACGGTAGCTGTAGAAGTCACCACCAAAGGAGTGCGTATCGTTGATCCAGAATTCCAGTATGGCATCAGTGTGGAGGATGATGTGTTGGGTCTCATTGCCGCCAACTACCAGCTCTCCACGCGCCCAAGCTTGATATTGGACGGAGGCCCATCCATAGACGGTCTTAAGGAAGTCCCAGTCGACATTGGAGTAACCAACGCTCAGGGAGGCATTGCCTGATGTTGTGCTACTGGAGGTTTCCGCGATCGTGATGTTCCAATATGCAGTACCATTCGTAAGTAGGGAACTCCGGAAAACTGCTCGAGGGTCATACTCCAGGTTCCTAAATCCACCATTGAACTCAAGAGGATCCGCGCCCCACGTGGCTTCTATCGAGATATCAGCAATGAAATAGTCGTTGTGGCAAGCTTATGCGTACCACGTGTGCCTATCTGGAATGGCCCAAGAACTTCCCATGTGCTGTTGAAGGAGAACAGGGGTTTGTGCTCGAGTGGGGTTGAAGTGGAGCAATGATATAATGGACAGAGCTGCAGGAACAGCAACAACACCGACGGCAGGCAATGTGAAGGGGCAAGCATCGTGCAACCGCCTCAATTTAGATTTACGAGTCAATGCCGACTGTGAGCTGCAGCATTGAACTTGAGGTTTGTTGTTGCTTGCAAGATGTTACTAAGCTGGTGGCTGGCATCTGGCACGATGGTGAACGTACCCCTGCAGCTAAACTAGTAGATCTGAACTGCATTCGGACGCGTTGATGATGGCGTCGGCCGTCTAGCAGCGGTCCGCCGCTGAGACTTGTATTCAACACCAGAAACCTTTTCGCGCAGGCTCCGCGACACCTGACGAATTCTTGGATAGCTGTGACCGGCCGTTGTTGTACGACCAGCATCCGTTAGGACCTTGTAGCGAGGACGCCAGCAGATACGGGACAGCCCGCCGCGCCTATGGCCTAATCATAGAATTCACGAGATCTCCACGACTCCTGCACCTCAGCATCAATGTCTACCACAGACGCGCGAGATGCTGGGCCGCATGCCACGTTCAAGTTCCCCGCCTTTGAGCCGGACCTACTTCCAACACATGAGGAGGAGCCATTCGGCCTGACTTCTTCTCGCAATGCGAGCCCTAGCCACGCCGCGCATACGAATGGCTATGCTCTACCTTCGGAGAGGTGGCAGCCTCGAAAAGAAGCAAGAGTAGGATTTGTGAGCCACTCGATATCAGGGCCCTCCAACAGACACGGCAGACAGAAGAGTCTTAGTGAGGCTTTCCAGACAATAAGGACACGGAAAGGCAGCGTCAGCCAGAATGCGCACGAAATCGCAGATGCGCTCAAGGCGCCGCTCTCTCCAAAGCTCATTGTACGTCATAATACATTGTGGGAAACACGTCAAAATGCTGATGGACACAGTTGCTCTGCGGTGTCTGGTATATGACCTCCATTTTCACAAACATGTCTTCGAAGGCCATCCTCACTGCGCTTCCAAAACCGATAACGCTCACGACCGTCCAATTCGCCTTCGTCTCGGGGTGGTGCATAATACTAGCTGCGCTGGCCAAACGATACCCGCGCATGAAGCAGGCAATGCCGTTTCTGAAGTATGGAATCCGCCGGCCACACAAGGAGATCATCGTCGCAACTTTACCCCTTACCGCGTTTATGATCGGCGGTCACATCTTGAGTGCGGATGCGACTTCGAGGATCCCGGTGTCGCTGGTGCACACCATCAAAGGACTGTCCCCACTCATGACGGTGCTGGCATACCGCTTCGCCTTCGGCATATCGTATTCCATACCGACGTATTTGTCTCTGATACCTCTGACGCTTGGTGTCATCTTGGCATGTTCCGCGGACTTCAACGCCAATTTTCTTGGTCTTGTGATGGCCTTTGCCAGCGCTATTGTTTTTGTGACGCAGAATATCGTGTCCAAGCAGATCTTCAACGATGCTGCATCCGCCGAGAAGGAAGGACTGCCGCCCACAAAGTTCACGAAACCCGACAAGCTCAACTTGCTCTGTTACTCGTCTGGCTTGGCGTTCTTGTTCACGCTCCCTCTCTGGTTGTGGTCCGAAGGGTTCACACTATTGGGAGACTTTCTGCATGATGCTTCGATCGAGCTGTCTGAGAAACCCGGTGCTTACGACCATGGACGACTTCTTCTCGAATTCCTGTTCAATGGAACCTTCCACTTCGGGCAAAACATCGTCGCCTTTGTCTTGCTCTCTATGGTCTCACCAGTCACCTACTCCGTTGCGAGTCTGATCAAGCGCGTGTTCGTCATCGTTTTCGCCGTTGTCTGGTTCAAGAAGCCTTTGACGAATACACAAGCATTTGGGTTCGTGCTGACCTTCATCGGCCTGTACCTCTACGATAGGACGTCAGATGCAGCGAAAGCGGACAAGCGCGCAAGAGCACTGCAGTCGAAGGGCCAAGGGACACTGCTACCTCTGGCTACAGACGTCAAGTCACGACCTACATTCACTGCGAGCCCGGCCACGATGTCTGCCGGTACAGGTGCATACCCAGTAGCGAGAGACGAGAAGAGAGACGACGACGCAGGCCTCAGAAGGCCTGACATGGGTTCAAGCTATCTCCCACCAGGCACGAAGCAAGAAGAGACATGGCGACGGTAGAAGGCTAGTGTATAGTAATATCTCGATGTATACATATGAATAGATGATAGACGAATGAACGTGTACATATGGCGAAATCCGCAGCACATTGTTCGCAGCCTAGACATTGTTACACTGACAGCTGCTAACAGATTCATATGGCGCACTTGACAAGGGTCCACGTTTCCTTGGCAACGGCACCAAAGATCGCAGCTTCCACGGGGGCTCTCGTACTATCATGCACCATGCATCCTGCAGTTTCCTGCTGATGTAGATTTGGCGTAATATGGCTTTCCATACAAGAATCACACGCGGCAGCTGGACCCCACTTTCACTCCCATACTGCAAACAAACAAGCAAATGATGCTCTAGACCGTCATATGAACGGAGAGCGTAACCCTGTACGCCTAAGCGAGCATCCTAGCAACGAATCATCGACGGGCGCCCTTAACATCCCCTTGCCCTGTGACATCAACGGCCACCTTTCTCCTTACCACCAAGATATTCTTCCCGCACACGTGCAGCTGCCCACGGCTGTACCAATCAATCATGGCCTCTGATAATCCCAAGGTCAACGGGACCCGACCGGGCAATGTTCGACATCCCACCGCTCCGGGCATGATGATGAACGCTCATTTTGCGAACGTTGGCGAGGACGCCAGCAAGGAGGCGTACGAACACGGCGTCCAGGTTGTTGACGAGGACAAGGCCTTCAAGTGTGTACACTCTGAAAATCCTCAGACAGGCGGCTAACAACGTTGCGCAACACAGCCCAAATGTCTCTAAATACCTCAACATCGAGCATGTTATCCCAGCAGGCTTCAACTACCACCTTATCGCTGTATTCGGTTCGCAGTCCACGGGCAAGTCGACCCTCCTCAACTACCTCTTCGGCACACAGTTTGGTGTCATGTCAGAGCAAGAGCGCCGCCAGACCACGAAGGGAATATGGATGAGCAAGAACAAGCGTGAAGCGGGTGGCTCGGCCATGGCAGAGAACATTCTGGTCATGGACGTGGAGGGTACTGACGGACGGGAGCGAGGAGAGGACCAGGACTTTGAGCGCAAGAGTGCCCTCTTTGCGCTTGCGACAAGTGAGGTCCTGATAGTCAACATTTGGGAGCACCAGGTCGGACTGTACCAGGGTGCGAACATGGGTCTGCTGAAGACGGTGTTTGAGGTCAACTTGCAGTTGTTCGTCAAGGACAGCAGGTACGTACAACGGTTGCCGGAGGCTGGACGTTGTGCTGACAGGTCTACAGGACCATTCCCAAATCCCTCCTATTCTTCGTCATCCGTGACCACCTCGGCACAACACCCCTCAAGAACCTACAGAATACTCTCATCCAGGACCTCTCGAAACTGTGGTCGGCGATATCAAAACCTGCTGGCCTCGAAAACTCGCGCATCGAGGACTACTTTGATTTCACATTCGTCGCTCTGCCCCATAAGATTTTACAACCGGAGAAGTTCGAGGAAGCAGTCAACAAGCTGAGCCTCCGCTTCAGGGAAGGATACAATGACCCCAAGAAGAGTGGTCTCCTCGAGGAGGCGGAGCTGCCCGTATTCCTTCCCCAATACCACCGCCGAATCCCCGCAGACGGGTTCCCCGCATACGCCGAAGGCATCTGGGATCAGATTGTACACAACAAGGACCTCGACCTGCCCACACAACAAGAGCTTCTTGCACAATTCAGGTGTGATGAGATAGCAAGAGAAGTTCTGGTGGCGTTTGACGAGAAGATCACGCCACTCGAGGACAAGCAGGCGGAGGATGCGAGGATAGGACAGCCTTCAATCATCCCAGATCTTGGTCCTATCATGAATGCAGCACGAGCGCTTGTTTTCAAGGACTTCGACACGAACGCGAGCCGCTACCACAAGGGCGTTTATAAGAGAAAGCTATCAGAGTTAGAGGGCAAGGTCGACACAAGGTTGAAGGCTCTCAGCCAGAAACAGATCAGCGCCGCACACAAGTCAGGTATCGACGACTTCAGCAATGCTGTCAGCACAGCAGTGAAGCTTGGCCAGAAGAAGGGAGGTTCATACGACTTCGCTCAGATCGTCGACTCGGAGAAGAAGAAGGCTCTGGCCAAATTCGAGGAGGATGCCAACTCAATCGCCATTCAAGGCGCATCCTGGAGCGACGCCACACATCAGCTTGCGCTGTACCGGAAAGAGTTGGATGAGGTGTCAGGTCGTCTGCGCAAGGAGGAGATGAGGCGGTTGGCCACACGGATAGAGCGCTGGGTACGAACTCGCCTGGACGAGTCAATTGGCCTCGAATTCAACAAGCTCGGATCTGGGCGAGGTGGTTCCGGCGCGCCTGAACACGGAGAGAAGCCAGCGACCGAGAAGGACTTGTGGGATCGCGTATGGGCGATCTTCACAGATACAGTATCGAGCGCAGAGAAGCGCTTCACCGACCGCGCACAAAGCTTCGACGCTAGTCCTGATGAAGTTGAAGTTGGCTTGTGGAGGTTGCGCCGCAAGTCGTGGGGTGTTCTCCGTGCCAAGCTCGACGAAGAGGTCATGGAGGGGAACATCTTGCTTAAGCTGAGAGAAAACTTCGAGGACAAGTTCCGTTACGACGAGCATGGTGTCCCAAGAATATGGCGGCCCACCGATGACATCGAGGGCGTCTACACAAGGGCCCGCGAATCGACTATCACCCTCATCCCGCTTCTCGCTCGCTTCAAACTCGCGAAGACATCGTCACCGCCGCCACTCGATGCATGGATCGGCGACGCGCCTGCATCTGTCTCACCCGCCGACGAAGACGATTTGGCACCAATTGGCGGTCTTGATGATGATGAGGGTAAGACTCTGGAAGAGGAGATGGTCGTACTATCGGACAGCAAGCAAGCTGATCTGCTTGTGCGCTTCAAGAAGACGGCAGACGGTGTTTACGTAGAAGCAAAACGCAGTGCTATCGGTGGTATGACGCAAGTGCCACTGTACTTCTACGGACTGCTGCTTGCACTGGGTTGGAACGAAATAGTAGCCGGTAAGTCCTCTTCACACCCCATACCCTGTTCAAACCTAACAATCCACAGTTCTGCGCAACCCTGTATACTTCATCTTCCTCATCCTCGCCGCGGTCGGCGCATATGTCACATACACCCTCAATCTCTGGGGCCCTATGGCTCGCATGACCAACGCCGCAACAGCGCAGGCTCTCGACATTGGCAAAGAACGTCTTCGCGAGTTCCTCGAGACTAGCGAGTCGGGTAGGAGGGCTATGGCGCAGAGTGGCCTGGACAACAGCACGCGCTCGCGAGACGAGGGCGTGAGGATGGACAGGCTGAATGCGAACGGGAAGAAGCATGATGATGAGGACTCTGATGATATTTGATGTGCTGATGATAGACGTCTATGGGTTCTGCTTGTTTGGGTATGTGTATGCTATTGATGATGCGGGAAGGGTGGTATTCTTAGATTCCTAGAGGGGGCCTGAGGCCTTGGTAATGAAACAAGTTCAACAAAAGAATGCGGGCTGTGATGTGAGCTGGATAGCTGCTTGTAGGAGGTATACGCTCACATCTGCCGTGTAGTGTGCGAAGGCTCTGTCACGGCCCTTGGCTACGAACCAAGTGCTCACAGCAGGTATAAGTACACCTTGAACGCTTGCAGTCCATACTCTTCATTACATCCGCCTATCTCTGACTTCCAAAAATAAGTAGCTTTGCTTCGCATGTTTTTCGGGCTCAAATTTTCTTGATCTAAGAGTATGAGTCGACGAGCAAAATGTACTAATATCACCCGTGGATCTCCTACATGGAGCCAATCGAAAGTTCGCAGCGAACTACACATGGACTTGCTTTCAAAATCTGAACACCAAGAAGGCGTGCTTCTGCGTTTCAGAAAGCTTCAAGTGCCACATGTACTTCGTATCTTGTAGCCGCTTTTCAAAACCGGGTCATCACCACTTATAGGAGCGACCAGCCATTTTCTAAATTCAATATTGTTGCGCCATAAAACCCGGAGGTATTCAAGGCATACTTCGCATGCCGTTCGGACTTTATGCTGTCGAATAAAAAACTGCTGGTGGCTACAGACCATATGAAACGAAGTCTTCTCGCATTGTTACAAAAGTTTCTACAGGTACCTCTGCTTTGAGTATCACCAATTCGCAGGTTCCTAAAAACTCATCTGGAAAATGTATGTCTTGGCTCTCTGGCTCGGTCCCTCGAAAAGTATTTCCTCGCGCGCGTATGAGACCCAAAATTGATCGGAAACAGATACATGTCTTCTGTCCTAAACTTCTCTATCCACGATATTAAAACGTTGGATCTCCGAAATCATGCTTCCGATCTGTTGTTCGGTGCTTTCCAATTCGCCTGCCTTATCAGTAGAAGATCGCTTGGACCTTCCGCCCATCTTTCGCAATGTGCTCAACACCTGCTAAAATGGTCATTGTTACCCGTCATGGCAGTGCGCTTTCCTTGCTCAATTCTGACGATAGTGCTGTGTGTTGAAGCAGATACCGAAGAAGAAGATTCACTGCTGTAAATATCTCCTTCTGGACTTGGAAACAATGCATAAAGCGAACATACACGATGATCTATGCAAAGGGCTGGACGTATTGAAATATGGCGAATAGTTCCTTTGAGTTTTTTTCTTTTTGTTTTCTTTTTCGAATTCTGTCGACTCATACTTTCGGCTCCGAACTCAGCACTCTCTCAACCTGCTTAGCAGCTTAAAACTCTAACTGCGTTATTTTTGTTTTGGTTGCCTTCGTCTATTTTGAACGGAAGACGGACGCTTCGACATGTGGCATTCGCAATGATTTTGGAGATGACCGATTGATTGGCACGGCCTCTGACTACTTGTTAAAAAAGAATCATGCGGATGCGGAAATGCATACCAAGAACCTCGGGTCGATTAAACCACCTGTTAAGATGGTGTTAGTCTCGATTGTGCTTGAAGCCTCGAACTTCCTTTCGCCTTCACGGTCGCTTCTCAACTAGGTCAGGTGTCGCTTAGCGGCTAGACATATGCGCACTAACGAGGCTCTGCTATCTGCGCTCACCACACCAAAGTTGAAGCGGCGCACTTGTCGCCTACTTGTCTTGCCACCTTTCTGGCTGGCCGCACCCGTGGATGGGTTGGAACACGTGTACAATTCGAAACCGACAATATCGAGAGCCACCACCCAGAAGCGTTTCACATCATGGCGCAGTCAGCCGCAACGATCCTATTGAGCTCTTAGGAGAAGCCCTGTGCGTGTACCATGTCATTAAAGGGCCCTGTAGAGGCACATTACGCGGATTCGTCGCCCAAGCAGCACTGACAGATGCAGAGCAATCACAATTGTTTCTGGCGATCTAACGAGACCCTTCGTTCCACCACTTATTCCACGACAGTATCATCATGGAGTACGGTGCGCAGCAAGATGGCGCTGAAGTCGGCTGGGTCAACTTCAAGGAGAGCACCAGAAGAGGTGGTGAATTCGGTCAAGTCCTGAGTGAGGCGTTTAAGACAGCCATTCGAGCCTTAGCGGATGATAAAAACTCATCGGAGAAGACCTGCGAAGCTGCACACTAGTTCGAAGTGGATACGCTGCTTTGGGTCTGGCTAGACCGTGATGGACATGACGGCGAGGAAACCAGTGGCAGTAAAATTGACAGCAATGAGACTGACAGCGATGAATCCATGGCATGCAAGTATCCTGAAGTGACTTTCGAACTCGGCGAAAAGCTGCGCGACCCACCTCTCGTCATTGGGATCGGATTCCACTGACGAGCTGAGATCTTGGAAGCCGAAGTGGAAGAGTACCTCCTCAGATACTCCGACATCCTCACTGTGCTTACTGTCGACCTACCGCTTGCCAATCTCAGCCGACAGCACCGCAGCGAAATTTAACATGACGTATCTTACTTATTGATCGGGCCCGCAAGAAAAACGGTGAAGCGGTTTGGACGACAAGTAGGAAAGTCTTCCAGGCCGCTGACGGTAGGGTGGAAGACGGTGCATTGAAGTTGATGCTCAGTGACCTCTGTCGTGAGCACACTTTCGATCATGTCAAAATCGAGATTTCGCATAACTCCCTCGCAGAGTCGTTGAAGCGTACTCATGATCGCGAGAGGCGAATGCACCGATACGAGCAGAGCCTCATGTCTCGGCTTCGTCAGGTAAGGAAGAAGTTCAAGAAGATCATAAAGTCTTTGCAGAAGGCACTGGACACTAGCTGATTCCGGGTGGCTTGTAGTCGAGGTTTGGCGCCGAGAAACACGGGGGGTCACGACCGAACGTTAATTTAAGCTTCTTACACAACACACCTCCAGGTACGAAGAGGCCCTTTTCACATCAATCGTAGCTCTCCAATTGAGACGAATCGTTGGAAATACGGTTCTCAGCAAGTACACTCAACAAATGGAAGCCATTCGAAGCCTCGAGACAGAAGATGATTTGACCGTTTATCATTGATTCATATGTAAAGTTTCGTAAAGACTGTAGATCGCCAGTATGTACAGATAAAGGTACGCTCGAAAGAATGTGACGCTCGGCTGATCGTTCCCAGACCAATCCTATAACAGAAGCACAAACCCTACAATCGCGTGGAAGAAAACAAAATCCTGAAACAATGCAAGCAGCTCTCCTGCTGCCTTGCATCGCGACTCCTGTGGGAAGGCATACAACAGCAGACCATACACACTGAAGGTTATGATCATTATAAAACATCAGCTCGAAGCATGCCTAATTGCTCCAGCTGCCAAGGTTGGAAGTGCTACTTGGCCTACCAACATTGATCGCGTACTGACCGGCAACGTTGCCAGCAGGTGCGTAGTTGCAGACAGTGTACTTGTTCAATGAAGAAGTTGCGCCGCCGACAATCATCCTGTTGCCACAATCGATGGAAATGCAGCCGACTCGGGTGGTGCCCTTCCAGAGGACCTGCGTAAGGTGGCCGACATTGTGGAAAACATCATCGGGAATGTTCGCTGCACCGAAGTAAGGCATCATGGGTTGGAACTCGCCCTTGTACCAGCTCTCGGTGATACCGGCCGTGACATTGAAGAAGTTGCCAGAGACAGTGAACAGGTTCTGTCCTTGACCTGCTCCCGCAGGAATGTAGTGTTCGAATCGGCAAAGGTTGGCGGCTTGGGCAGCAGTCCAAGCAACAGCATTGTCCCAGACCAACGGAGCAGCGCCGTGGTTTGCACGAGCAGCGTTATGGTGGTAGAGAATAGCATTCTGGTAGGCCAATCCAGCAGAAAGAGTGGCCTGTCCTACTCCAGAAGTGTGTTCAGGGTCAAGTGGAGCGCCAGAAGGGGCTGATGTTGGTGCTACGCTGGAAGGTACTTCCGGGGCGTTGACAGATGAAGACGAAGGCCGGATAAGAACGCCAACAGACGGACTAGGTGCAACAATGACGGGAGTGGATGAGACCGCGATGGGACCAACTACAGGCGGACTACTGGCAGGAGGAACATCTAGTATGGATGTAGTGCTCGATGAAGTCGCCTTGCCAGACATCGTAGACACAGTTGGCCTAGGCGTAGTAGAAGTTGCAGAAGAAGTCCTGGCAGTGTTGACAGGATTAGCAGTAGGGTTGCTCACACGTGGAGGAGTCCATAGAGGTGAAGCATCTGTAGGACAACGGGTGTTGGGTGTCTGCGAAGACTGTGGCGGGCCCTTCCATGCCGGCGTAGTGTACGGGTTCACGAAGACCGTGACCGTGACCGTGACCGTGTCGTACACTGTGACTTGCTGACGCTTCTCTAGCTGGCCCTGAGGCAAGGCAAGAGCGCCAACTGCAAATGCGGAGGTAAGAAGAGCGGAAGAGTGCATTTCGAATGCTATTGAAGAGCTTGTAAGAAGTGATTGTGTTGTGGTGTTGTCTTCTAATCGAGAGTTGCGGTCGATATAAATACTGCAAAGGTCAGCTCGAGTTCATGGAGATATGCCGGAAGCGTCGAGTCCGGATGAGGATGAAGACCTCATGGAAAGATTGCCACTATCGACGGTGTGGTAGAGAGAAGCTAACTTACTGACTGCTTCGACGAAAGCGGCAATTGTCGAGTTGAGTCAAGCGCGACCTCGGCGACTGACGACAAAGGAGCGTGTAGAGTTGGGACAGCAGATGGCAAGGAGCGTGGGTTTGTTCAGTCGCAGCTGATCAAAGGGACGTCGCCGTTGTCGTCAAGACAGTGATGAAAGGAAGGTGGGTGATCAAAAGATGGAGAGACGCGGGGACGCTGATTGTCCAGGTGTTTAATGAAGAACGGAGCTAAGTCTAAGCGAAACATTGCAGTACAATTGCACCTGCCTCCTACTCGACGCACGGGACAGCTACACAATCTAACGGTGAAGTGCTACTGCCACCACAGACATCCACCCTAGGAAAGAACCACTCTCACCACCTCGATTCGGGTTCTAGGCACATAGATCACCAGAGAGCGACAGAGAGCGCAAGGTATTCGGTACTTAACCGTCAGTGGCGGTCGCACAAAGATCTTCTCGTGGAATGACGACATATTGTTGTAGTGAATGTCCGTTTGCGGTTTTGACAGCAACGCGTGCTGTGCCTGGGTTCCTATACCATGGCACCAGCAATGAAGATTTCTGCGTGAGCGTCATCTTCAAGACGGAGTCGCTGTTGCCACATCATAACAACCAGATCATGTCGTCAGTAAATGTTGCACTTGACCCGCGATGAGATGAAGGGAAATGTTTGTCTGGAAGGTGGGGTGGTTGGCATGTGTCAGATAAAGCTGTGGCCAATCAGAGCCAAAGTGTTGGTGATTCACGTCAGGGGTCTCTTGCTCGATGTGATGTGGGAGACCTTGGCGGGGACATCCAAGCTTTGTGGCAACAGTGAACTGCACCCTCAATTTTGACCGCATCTTAATCCTTCGAGTCCTCGCCAGCGACCTTGCCAAGACCCATGTTCTGGGAGGCACAGGGTGTTGCGACTACCTTCACTGGAGCCACCACTGCATGGACTGTCACGCTTGCTGGAAATTGACTGGACCTCCTGTGTTCCCAGGAGTCTTAGCACTTCCAATCCTGTACAACTTCACGAACGCCTCAGTCGACTGAACTGGACGCCAGGGGAACACACCGCGTATAGCCACTCGTTGTGGACACTGGCAATATACTTGCTGCATAAAAGATCACCACAAGCACCAAATAGAAGCGATTCCACTCCTCTAAAAGATCCATTGCTCAGATCTTACAAGGCTCGTGCTTCATCAATGGGTGCCGGATGAGGCACGCCGACGTGGCATGTCACGCACTTGGAATAGATTCGAGATTTTGTTGATCGAACTCTACATATGTTCATTTCCATCTGTTTGAACACACGAGATGTTGAACTATTTGACCTGCTTCTCAGTGGTGTGGTTGTGGTGTGGAAAGCTACCCAGCCGTGAGCCTCTTCATGTTCGTTTCTCGAGACACGTAACCGGCTCAGTCATATGTGCAGACGTTATGAACTTCGATCTCTAGATGAGGCTGCCTGCGCAATCTTCAGAAGAAGAACGAGCGTGGGGAAGTGTCTAGAGTCTACAGTCTGTATTGACGCGCCAAGGTTGAGATTGAAGGTCACTCGAAAGTCGAGGATAATCCAACGCTTAACATTTAGAAATGTCCTCCAACTGCTCATATGGCCGAAGTTTCGTCGAAGCACAACAGGGTGTGCGACTTCAGGTGTAAGTCGGAAGGAACGACTGGCCCATTGGATGAGCGGCAAGCGCCCCACTTTTTAACGTGTCATTAGGCACCCACCTCAATCCTATTTCACTGATTTTTGAAGAGTTGCATCTCACCATGCTGCCACTTCACGCTGGTTCGGCACTAACTCAGCATTACTATCCTGCTGGTCATGGCCACCTTCTCCCTCCTGCCGACTGAACTGGTCGAATTCATCGCATCCTACTTGGCACAACAGGACCTGTCCGCACTGTCTCGAGTCAACAGAAGCCTAGCAACATTGGTCATACCATACCTGTATCGTCACATCGACCTAGTTATACATCCAGGCGAGAAGATGCCGCGCATTGACAGGTTCTGTCTGAACATTCTGAACGACGGTCGGCGCGCGGCACGGGTTGAGACACTACACCTTGGTCCGTCCTCCGAAGATGGAGTCAAAGAAGGCCAGCGCTGGCTTCCGCAGGACAAGCACTTCAATGATGAGGCGATGTACCAAAAGGCTATGACTGCTCTGAGCGACGAGACGTTGATCACCAGCGGAGACTATCTAAGAGACGCTGTCACCCAGCGAGAATACTCTGCATATGCAACACTAATCATACTGACTCTACCAGCATTGCAGCAGCTTAACATAGCAGACTTCACGTATTCGACCATGGATCGTCTCCATGCTGTATTTCGCAATCTTAATACCGAACAAGCTTGGAACCAACGCCATGCGTCGCCAGCCTTATTAGAACGACTCTCTTTCATCAAGGCAGCGTCGTGCAACGTTGACAGAAGATCTGGACTTCCGTATCTAGATGAGAAAGGACGCGTCTATCTCGACCAGGTCCTCAATTTGCCTGGACTCGAGAAGTTGGAGTTCTCGGTGACCGACACCCAAGCAGAGATGAGCAGAGCCCCCAATCCTGGTGGAATGGCACATTGGCCAAGTCGACTACTTGTCACCTATGTGCGACCGACCAATATCACGAAATTGGTGATCAGACATTCAACGTCGTGTGCCCTCGCTGTGCGCCCGTTACTTACTTGCACTCCGCAGCTTCGATCCTTTACATGGGACATTGCTTACGATTGCCATGATCGCAACGAAGCGCCAGAACGATGGATCGACCTCGACGCCTGGAATACGTCACTGAGTGCCTCCAAAGATACTCTCGAAGTGCTAGTGTTTGCGGTCGAGTACTTTGATTCAGGGAAGTACGCATTTGAGCAGCCGAGAATTGGTGTCCGACAGTTTGGCTTCCTCGACCTGACCAGCTTCGAGCACTTGCATACAGTGGAGGTTCCCATACCATTTTTGACCGGCGATGTCGAGTTCTCAATCACTGCCGACATCTATCCGCTTCTACCTCCCTACCTGCGGCATCTTTCTCTTCGGCTTGATCTTTCACACGCGCAGTTGTCTTACCAACTAGACACGTCGATCCTTCCTCAAGGGTTGACTTTACAACAGTCCCAAGCTGAGGCACGATGCGCGATGAGCGCACAAATGGACTTGTCCTACGCCTACCATGCAACCCTCGCGTTGCTCGATCATGCACTAGCCTTGGAAAGCATTTCCATCTGGCAGCCTGCAGACCCTACCCTGAGTTGGTTTGATGGACAAATTTCTGACTTTGCAACTACGTGCAGGAACAAGTGCCTTACCGGGGTCATGTTGTTTCCCATGTTGCTTCGTTGGCGGAAGTCGGAGCACCGAGACCTGGTAAAGGAGGTCAGATTCGAGTCTTCCAAGGTTGATCGATTCGAGCGCCTTTGCAGACATGAGCGTGGAGGGATACCATTAGGATTGGCGTCGCAGTATCATCTCCGCGGATTACGATCTCATCTGGTTCGGAATCGATAGAGCCGGACATCGATTGCAGAAAGCAAATCATTTGTGCCAAAAACTCCTAGCCAGTCGTGGCGAAGCCCTCTCCTTGTGGGTGGAACGGTTACATCCACACGCGCAGCCTTGGTACCCCACATCGTTTCCCCATCTAATGTGAGACTTGTCAGCTGCACCAATTGAACGGCAAATTCGCCAAAACTGCTTCAGCGCTGATTCGTTGCGGGAGTAGATTTGAACGCGAAGGAAGCCGACAATAAATCTTCTGAGTAGCCCAGCTGCTGGTTCGAGTGTTTTAGCGGCGGCTAATGCATGTGTTGGGCGCTTAGTGATAGCCTCGAACTCTGTTCACCTCAGCTCATGGCAACGGTTGTTTCTCGAAGCCTGATTGATCCTGTCCTTCTTCAATACCACTTGCTCTGGAGTATGGGTTCATCATCCTATCCGCGGACCTGAGGCGAATCAACGCAACAAATCAGTCTATTCCTGCCTCTCCCATCGACTTTCAGTCAAGGACGATGGCACGCCTTTTAGATTTGCCTCCAAACCTTCTTAACTGCATTTTTGACTTTCTTTCAAGGAGGGAACTCCACTCCCTGGCGCATACGTGTCAAGCAACCAGCAAGGAAGCGATTCCTCGACTGTACCGAGATCTCAAGTTTGCAGCCACTGGATCAGGGACATACACGCAAAGGCTTGCACTGCTACTTCGCACCCTTCTGGAACGGCCGAACTTGGCTTCCCATGTTGTCTCAATCAGGTTGTCGGGTGCACAATTGTGCTGGAATAAGTGCAATTCCTCGCCAGGGAAAGGCAGCCGACATGTCAACCTATGGGGACTCGATCATTGCCCGACGCTTTCCAAGGCACAGCTCATATTCGCTTCGAACATCTTCTACCAGTTTGTGGACGACGACATGCAGCAGTCGCAGCCGCAATTCCGAGGACGCTGCGCCGACGCTCTATCTACGCTCATGTTGACGCGCCTCACTGAGTTGCGTTCTTTGGATCTTGGGGCCGGCTTCCTGCGCTACTCATTATTCTTGCCGCAGCTACTAAAGAGGACGGACTATCTATTTCCGAAGCTACGTCATGTCGTTCTAGGAGACAAATGTCTTGATCCTACCACGAGTGTATCGTACATGGACCTTAACCTCATACGACCAACCTTCTACTCGTCCACAGTTACAGAGTTCGAGTGCTCTATTTCACAACCATGGCGCTTCCAGTGGCAGGATTCGAAGACGCCACGGAGCAACACGTTGACCTCGTTGACTCTGTTTCGAACGAACATCAGCAGAGCTACCCTAGGCGAACTGCTTTCTGCTACTCCAAAGCTGAGATATCTCCACTTCGAACATGAGTTCATCTTCAATGCGGCAACTCCTACTGGCCCTTCGCTATCCCCTTACCTTGGGCTTGACGAACTTAACACAGCTCTTTTCCCCATAAGAGACACGTTGGAGGAGTGTCACTTCATACTACGTCTTGGCCGAGGCTCTATATCCACGACCGAGTATCCTCTCGCCAGCGTTCGATTCCCAGCTGTGCAAGGCACCTTGACCATGCTCAAGTTCATGCCTCGATTGGTGAAGGTAGAAGTGCCTATGACAATGTTGCTTGGCTGGTACCCGAATTTCGCGGCTAAGCTTGAGGAAGTCTTGCCTCATGGCATCGTCGATCTTACTCTCCGAGACGATCTAGTACGCTACTGTCCATGGGTTGCACCTCCGAACGCCGAGAAGAAGGTCATGCGGATCGGAGAGTACATCAAGGGCCGGGCATCTCATGCGACGCAGCTTGAATCTCTCAAGGTTCGCCTCACCTCAGCTAAGCGCTCGTTGGTGCACTCGGTTGGTGCGCTGAATGTATCGACCAGCGGCAGGGGAAGTAATACCAGCCTTGTCCGTGGGAAGAAGTCAGAGACGTACGGTTGGCGTTTTGAGAAGGCGCAATCTGTTGTGGCAAGTCCGACAACACCATGCCACACAGCGAGGATGGACAGCGTGTTCCGCCCAATGTCCCCTTTGTTCGAGTCCTGCTGGCCTGAAGCGAACTTCTTTTGAGCGTACGCCAGCAGAACCTGCGTATGGCTTCTCAAGGTGAAGGTGGAAGTAATACATCGCCATGACCAACTCCAAACGGATGCCTGGACGCTTCTCTTCTTACCTTCTCGAAAGCTCTCCAGCAACCAACGGTCGCTGGAACGACACCATTATGCCGTTACGCGAGTCCGCCTCCGTCGCGAAGCTGCCGCCACCACGAAGGACTTCACTGTCTACATACTGCTTCGGCCAGAGTCGCGTTACTACGAGGTCCCACTATCGGAACCGCAGAACGACGCCTGGGACCGGGTAAGTCACATAACACGCAGCCTTCTCGCCTAATCTAACCACTGAAAAAGGTCGTGACCGCAATTCTCCAAAAGTCCAATCCGCGGATCCACCTCACCTCCCAACACACCTCGATCCTTGGCTATTATGCGCTCTGGCTCAACCATCGCACTCTATTTCTTTTCGAAGATCTGTCGAAACCACTGAGCACCCCATCAACCAACAACCAGCAACAGCTTCTTGTCCGGTTCTGCTAACATCCCATCGACACGGTACACACCCAGCACAACCATCGCCGCTCTCTCAGATACCAGCGCCGACCACAATCCCGCTCTCGTGTCCACGCCGCGCAGACTCTTACATGTGTACTTTCTCGGCGCCGTCTTCGGAGGGCCGCACTTCCAGGACGCAGTAGTGAATACAATACGCTTCACGTTCATGCCTGACATCTCTCTCTCGCCGTCTCTTGTCACAGAGGTGTAAAAGCGCGGGACCGCTGGGGTGAACGGATTGAAGAAGTTCTTGGTAGACTACTACATCTGGTCCTGCGTACCCGCGACGCCGGGAGCGTTGCCACGTCTACAGAGCACGGAGATTCCGACGCTCATAGACTACCCAGTAGTTGAGGGATGCTGATGAGGGGCGACAGAGATGTCGATAACCATCAGCACGGGTCGGAGGAATTGTGCTACAGCCGCCCCAATCAAGGTCACTGGACTCTTCGCATATGCCAGAGCGTTCTGTGCTCTTCCGAATTTCCACAGCCCTGTAGCGCAGTAAGAGCAGACGAATCTCCCCTGGACGATAGATCGACAGCCACCTGATCACACGATGGGTGTCACGGTTCAGGGTGCTCCTGCCTGTCGTACCTCATCTGCCAGGAGAGTGACTGCTACGTCACACTAGCGTTGTTTACAGCTACCCACATATATATACTGTTCGTGGCTTCACCCAATACAACCTCAGTACAATCTTCAACTTCTTCCCTTTGCGTACAGTTCACTGGAACTCCAACAATGGGACTGTGCCTTCCAGATCTTGGGCGACATGATGGGTCGGTATGCTCTCGATGTTTGCAAGATGGGAAGTGTGACTAGTGGTGTCCGCTCTAGACCAGAGGAGCCTAGACTCTGAGAAGGGGAACGAACCGTGATGTAGTTAACGACCAACTGTATGTACAGCGAACAACTATGGTGTAACGACACCAACGAAACTTGTGACTTTGCCCTATTGACCTGTATTCTGCGAAACAAGTGCATGTGGCAAGCTCGCCACGACTGAGAAAGGTGGCTTCAAGCGAAGCACTCAAGCACTGGTCTTTTGAGTAGGGAGCATGAGCTTGTGTCTTGAGTAATCTAGGGTTTCGATAAGCGCCTCGCTCCACGCATTGATGTGCTTTCATGACGGATGGGTAGGTGCGTGAATTGCATGCGTATGGTATCTATCTCTCCAGATCCATCATCAGATCTCATCCTCAGCGCTCTTCTTCTTCCGACTCCTACGCTTCTTTTTCTTCTCGCCTTCGACTATACCTCCCTCCGTCTCTTCCACCTTCCTCTTCTTGTGGTGCTTAGCCGGCTCCGGTTCTTCGTTACCCAGCAGTGTCTCAAACCCGCCCTTTGGCCCCTCCGCATCCCCAAACGTCTCCTGTCTCCACTGCCTAAGCCTCGCCTTCTTGCTAAGATGCTTCTTATCCTTCTTCTTCTTGTCCGGGTCGCGGAACGCCGCTAGCTTCTTCAGGCCTGCAAACTCGTTCAACTGCTTGTCGTCTGCGAGCAAGATATCTCTAGCCGTGAGACCGAATGTTGTAGGCGAGGTTTCGCGGTAGCGGAAGCGAGCCGGGGCCTTGGACGGCTTGGCTGCGAGCGCGGCTTCGTATTTGAGGTTCTCGGACACGAGGTTCTCGATCAGGCGGCGGTCGCGGCGGGCGGAGGATTTGGCGTCGGCGCGGTCTTGTTTGAGCTTCTTCGAGGACTTTGCTTTTGTGGAGGCGTCTGCGTCAACGTCCATAGCGTCATCGTCCTCATCGTCGGAGGAGAGTGTGGGCCGTTCATCTTCGTCGTCGTCTTTGAAGTCGGGAATCAGGTCTTTGATGTCGATATCGTCGTCGAATTTGGGTTTTTTGGGCTTCCTGCTCTTCCTGCTGGAGCCTGCGGCGTCGCTGTCGGATGCGGCGTCTGCCTCGTTGTAGTACGATTCGCCGAAGCGCTTCGACATCTCCTTGTCCCATTGGTCGTCGGACCAGTCTGCTTCGAGGACGTCTTTCCACTCATCCATCTTGAAGTCTCGGCCGCTCAGACCGCCGATCTTGCGGATCTGCTTGACCTTGGCTTCCATCTCCTCGACCTTGAGCTTGCGTAGACGGGCCAGGTCTTCCTCGCGCTCTTTCCTCTCAGCTTCGCGCTTGGCCCTGGCCGCGTCACGGGCCTTCTTTCTGCTGTTCCCTTCGTCGCGACGGACGGTTGTGGCTGCGACGGCGTCACGGGCGTAGGTGGTGAGCTTCTCGTTGGTGCCGGTGGTGTCTTCGAAGTAGGTGTTGTACGCGTGTTCGTAGTCGTCGGCGGCGGCGTCTTCCTCGTCGTCGTCGGAGTCGAGCGGCTGGAACTGTGTCTTGTCGGCGGGCACCCATGCGCGAGACTCCATGTAGTTGGACAGGAAGAGCTCTGGGTCGTGGTCGGCTTTGAGAACATCGTCCTGGGTGATCTTGACGCGGCCCTTCTTCGAGACCGCGGGCGTGGGCTTGGCTACGAGGAAGTCGTCGTCCTCGTCGTCAGCCGCAGCGTTGACAAGGCTCTTCCTGATCTCCTCCTGCTCCTGCGCGTATGTCCTGGGCGGCGCATCGTCGTCGTCTTCCCCGGGCACTCGGCCCTCGAGCAGGTTCCTGGTGTGGAACTGCCTCAGCGTCATCGAAGCGTCCCTCTTGGCGCCGTCGCCGTCGTCGCCGCCGCCGTCGCCCTCTGCGACTTCGGTGTAGAACTTGGCGTCCTTGTCGTAGATGCGGGGGTCTTTCGATTTGAGGGCTTTCAGCGTAGCCATGAGCTCGTCGTCGAGCGCTTCGTCGAGCAGCTCGGCAGCATCGTCCTCCTCGACGCCCTCTTCCGAGTCTTCCGAGTCCTCGTCCTCGTGCTGGAAAGCGCTGCCTTTGCCGTACTTCTCCTCCACTACGGCACGGTTAGCACCGACGCGACGCTGACCGTGCACACCGCTACTCACACCTGTGCTGCTCGGCGCGCTTCTTGTTGTGCTCGAAGCGGCGCGCATACTCCTCGTTCACTTGGAAGCCTGCGCCAGCGTCTGCCTCTGAATCCTCATCGTCGGTGTTGTCGAGCAGCCTTGCCTTCTTCTCTGGGCGCTCGGCAGTGGCGGAAGCGCCGTTCAGCTCGCGCTTGCTTGCAGAGGATTTCCGAGGCATCTTTGGTGTTGTGAGGCGTGCATCGCGACTCCCTCAAAAATTCGCAGAGGAAGGCGCGCGCCAAGAGTTCGACTTAGAAGTGGAGACGTTCGGGGCCCAGGGTCTGTTCGCCGGGACGTTACGTCGGTGGGCGAGTCGGGCATTTCGGGCATTACGAGCTAATACGAGCACGGCCGAGCAGTGAACAGCAACCGCGCCGGGGCTCTCCATGCCCACCTGTGTTCGCTGTCATGTACTATAGCCTCACTGTCCGGTCGTGCTGAACTTCTTCACGCAACACCGCGTTTCTGAAGCGTTGACGCCGCGATAAGCCTCCGTCATGGCTGACGAGGAGGCTCAACATCCCACTCTCGAGCCCGTTTCGAGGCCGTTGGCGCTGATGTAGGTCGAGATGATATCCACCAGATGGGACGAGGCTTACAGCAATCTGCAGCCCTGTGGTGATCAAAGAAGCCGCCCTCGACTCGCCTACCTTTCGTGCAACCGCCGTCCACTTTGGTGACCAGATCGAGCTCATCGAACGATGGCTCGACTCGTACGTCCGCGCAACGTCGCGGCTCGCCTCTGAGCTCACTGCCCTCCAAGGAATAGTCGACACGTACGTACAAGCGTCACACCCGCCGCTTCAGCTGTCCGAAGCCATCCTCGACCATGACTACACTGTCCTCGCGCTCAAGCGGTTCGGGGAGGGCGCGCGCGAGTACTGGAACAGCACGTGTCGAAGCATGAAGAAGGCAGAGACTAGTGTTTGTGAACCCATACGAGCCTTCTTGAACAACGACCTTCGCGTCCTGAAGGAGGCAAGGAAGAACCTCGACCTGACACAGCGTACGTTCGACGGCGCCATTGCGCGCTACGCCAGCCAGGTCAAGTCGAAGGAAGCATCGTCGCTGCGAGAAGATGCCTTCCAGCTACACGAAGCGCGGCGTGCATACCTGCAAGCGAGCATGAACTTCTGCGTACTGGCACCGCAAGTGCGACTGACGCTGGATAAGGTCCTCGTCAAGGTCATACACGAACAGTGGCGCGACATGAAGACAGCAAAGGATGCTCCCGCCAAGGCATTTGCACTCGGTAACTTAGACATCGAGCGAGTTCGCGGCTGGAGCAAGGAGATGGAGAATGGCGAGCGCGTCTTCAAAAGGGAGCTGCACCTTGCACGACAGCAGGTCGAGGCTGCTGCTGAGCTCAGCGCACGACCGTCGCGAGATCTCGACTCGTACACAGCCTCTACCGTAGCCTACCTAGGCACCCCGGGACCATCTTCCGCCAACCTGCAGTCGCCCGCGAAATCCGATCCCGCGAACGAGAAGGCAGAGAAGCAGGGCTGGCTCTTCCAGCGTACCATCACTGGCAAGCCTGCAAGGACATACTGGGTCAGGAGATGGTTCTTCGTCAAGAACGGCATCTTCGGCTGGCTCACGCAAGGTACACGCTCGGGTGCTGTAGAGGAGTCTGAGAAGATCGGTGTGCTGCTCTGCGGTATCCGTCCAGCGTTTCAGGAAGAACGGCGCTTCTGCTTTGAAGTGAAGACAAAGGATACCACCATCCTGCTCCAAGCTGAGACTCAGAGCGACATCACTGAGTGGATCTCTGCCTTCGAAGTCGCCAAACGCAAGGCCCTGGAGGACTCGTCCAAGGACACGCCTGGACCTCAAGCCTCTGTCGACGCTGCATTCTCAATCAGTCCGCCAGTCGCACCCGAGTTCGCTGCGAAAACGTCAGAAGGCCATGCGGCCCACCCTGGCGACGAAATCACTGGCCTTGACCGCGCAGAAACATCGCTCGGCATACCTGGTGAGGCTTCTCGAGGCGCTAGCATCGACCTCCCTCGCCGCGGCACTGGACTTGACAGGGACGGCGAGACGGGTCGACGTGACCATGCTGCCCGGATTATGGAGAAGCTTGATCTGTCACGAAAGTCTACGGCAGGGCCGCAGCTAAGCGGAAGCAACCCCTCGTCTGCAACTGGTGGCATTGCTAGTCTCATCTCCGCCAGTCTTGCCTCGGCTAGCCACAATATCGTGCAGGTTGGACAGATCGCCGCTCCTGCGCCTGGTCTTCCAGACACGCGCCTTATCATGGGCCAGACACTCCCGCAAACGAGCCTGTCTCCGAATACTCTCGCCAACCCGCCGGCACCCACGAACCTCAGTAAAGCTGCAGTGGCTGTCAGTGGAGAGCGAGGGCTTGGTATCGGCAAGTCTGGCAACATGCCTGGCGGTCTCATGGCCAATCTGTGGGGTTCTGTCAACTGGGGCTACGTAAACAAGATCGGCAAACCAGATGAGCCAGGTACTCGTGACCGCAGCATATCCAGACCTCCAAGTCCCATCAATGCCCCTCTCGGCGAACCGTTCGATGCGAAAACCGAGGCTAGCGCAAATCAAGATGCTGTTTCAAGCACGACGCCTGCAGCACCTTCTCATCGAAAGACTATCAGTCTCGGTGGCACCCTGAGCCGGCCATCCACCTCGGAAGGGGAGTTCCCCAACAACTACCCGGCTGCACTAAGGATGCAAGACGCACAGTTCCGTATACTCTTTCCTACAGTGCCACGATCAGAAAAGCTCGTGTTGGTATTCCGTGCTGTCTGGAATCCGACTGAGCAGCAAGAGTTCCCAGGTCGTGTCTATGTCACGACCCAGGACATATACTTCTACAGCAACCATCTTGGTCTTGTCCTGGTCACGGGCATCATCATGAGTCAGATCAGTGAAGTCACTGCTGCACCTGGCAAAGACTGTGACTTCCTCTTTCTACACTTCAAGACTGGCGTGAGAGAAGTCGGCGCGACTAGGATCACAGTCAAGACTTTTCTCGAGCCTCTCAAGCTTCTACAGCGACGCCTCAACTTTCTGGTTCGGAACGCCACCACAGGCGAACATGAATTGGAGGAGGTCATCAAAGCACTCATCAAGATGGAGGCTGATGACAACCAACACTCGGCCGGTGAAGAAGGCTGGGAAGAGATCTCGCCGGATACGCCCATGGATCACAGCTACGGCGGGAAGAATATCAAGACAAGTCTTCGCATCGATGGTAACTTGTTTGGACCATCCGGCGTCAGTGCCAGCAAAAGTACAGCCAAGTTCAGGTTGCCATCCCAGCCAGTTGTGTTCGCTCCTGCCGGCATGATGCGTGTCGCAGTCGAGAAGGAATACGAGATCAGCGCAAAGGCTCTCTTCCACATTCTGTTCGGTGACAAGAGTGCGGTCTTCCAGCTGCTGTACAGGGAACGGCTTGCAAAGCGCGTAGTACAAGGGCCTTGGACAGCAACCGATAAGACCCGTCAGCGTCGTGATTTCGAATACGAGATTGCACAGCCCGGTCAGAACGGTGCTAACCCTGTCATCAACGACTATCAGGTCATCGAAGTAATGAACGATCACCTCTGCTACGTAGTGTCAGATAGGAAGACGCCATGGTACTTGCCAGGACATGAGCGATTCGTGCTCCTCAGTAAGGTTGTCATCACACACGTTTCGAAGGCGAGGTGCAAGCTTGCTGTTCACACCAAGATCGATTGGAAGCGAAACCCACACATTGCGAAAAAACTTATTGAGCGCCAGGGTCTTCAGGACTTGGAGCTTGAAGCACAGGATCTTGTCGATGTCGTCAACGATCAAGTCGCTCGTTTAGGGCACAACAGAAGCACTGGCAAGGTCACGAACATCTTCGGCCAGATTGGTGTGCAGACCCAGGCTGTGCAGATAAATGCAGAAGACATCCCACCGCCGAACCGCCCACGCAAATTCAAGCTGCAACCTACAACGACAGGCTCCTTCATTGCGCAGTATGTGGGCAACGTCATTATCAGTGTCCTGTCGACCGTCATGAGCTGGGTGCTTGCTATTTTCGCCGGCATCAGCAATGTAGTCTCCGCACACAAGCTGTTAGTCGTGCTGCTGCTGGTCAGTGGCGGAGCGAACTTCTTCTACACCTCGAAAGATAGCTGGGCGTGGTGGAATGAGCGCAATGCCGCCAGCTACATGTCGCGCTTGGGCGTCGGACCATCAACCAGTATGATGCGCTCGGTCTACCTGCGCGATATCGCTGAAGCGTTCGCCAACCCCAACGACACCAGTCTTGAGCTTGCACTGCCCACCGAGAGCATCTCGGACAACAGGTGGTAAGTTGATATATGTGCGTCGTGTGGTATACTATGCTAACTCTGACTAGTCACCAAACGTTTACGCACCTCCTTGACCACCCATCCTCCGCATCATCACCGAACTCGTTCTATGATCCGACCACGCACAGCACAAGACGTCTTGAGCGCACACGGCGCAATTTGGGCTCACAGCGTCATGACTTGCTCGTTGCTCTACGCGTCGTGAACCGTATCGAGCAGGAAGTGGTGGAAGCAGAGTATGAGCACTGGCTGCTGGATGAGACACAAAAGTGCGCAAGGGTTGGCACGATGTTAGATGGAACGAAGAAAAACGATAAGAACGTGCAGGCGTGGGTGAAGGGGTACTGTGGGGACTGCGAGAAAGGCTTGCATTTGGTGAGGGAAAGTAGAAAGAGTTTGATATAGGGCAGCAGGAACGCTTACTGGCGCACTTGAACATGAGCACCTGATTCATTTGCATAGCGCGGCAGCGAGGGACTTCTTCAGGATCATGGTATTGATTCCATGGCAACTTTCAACCATGAGTCCGTATCTCACCTTCTACACGTTTCTATCTGATTCGCTGTTCTCGCTTGCAAAGTCACACTTGGTTTGTCTCGCTGTCACCTTGTCTCTCATCATCAGAGCCTGATACCTTTGGTACTGAGTGGCAGCCAGGTCGTGCCACTGTCTCCAACGCCCAGATCCTCAGCTCTGCTGTCTACACGGCCTGCCGTTTCTCAAGCTGTACGAGGAGCCTAGCAACATTCACGGCAACTTCGGCGCTGACAAGTCGGTCGCCCAGATCGATCGACCAGGCCGAGGATATGGAAGTCAAGCCGCACACAGTCATCATCGGCAACCACTCGGTTGGTTTAACTACACCTGAGGGTCCGCTGCTCCCGTTCCACACGGTTGCTGATCTGAAGAAGCAGCTGAAATCAGTCCACATGGCTTCTTTCTAGGCATCGCACTATTCAGTCAAGACTGAACACCGATTGGCTTCGATTCGGGCGCACAACAATATGGCAGTGCCCGTTGCTACTTTCTTTTGGGAATTTAGCGGCGTGACAGTGATCGACAGACAGGAACCCACAATGGAATACACGGGATTTGAACGAATGGGAGAGCTTGTGGAGTGAGCGACGTCTCTTTCTTTGGTTCGACAGATGACTCAAGTCCGAATTAACACTGTCATCCCTTGCTTTCTTCCCTCCCTTCCATCTCTTTTCTACCTGATGTCTAGCGGTACTAAACCCCCCATTAGCCTTCTTTCCAGCCCTCCCATTCCATTCCCCCAAAATTACTTACCTTGACAAACCCGATATCAGCAGCCTTCTCCCGGAACGCCTGACGGCTCATGTTGAGTCCGTACTTGCGGATCACACCAGCGTGCTTGCGCTCGCCGGTGACGACACTGCAATAGTCAGCACAACTTCGACGAAGGATAGGAGAACGAAAGGAGGATAGAGGTCAGGAGTTTTGGGGGGAAAAATGGATGGGGGCGGAGGAATGTACCAGCTTCTTGAGCCCTTGCCGTACGTGCGCGGGCGCGAGTACCATACGCTTTCGTGGGACATTGTGGACGGCTAACAGGAGCTTATCAGCGAACCTCCACACCACGAGGAAGGCATAGAGTACCTTTGTATGTTCCGGCGGCTTGGTGAGGCTGGAGATGTGTTTTTGCAAGTTTTCGCCTGCGTGCGAGATGTGAGGTGTGGGATAGTACCGTGATGGCCGGCCGCCACACGGGTACTCTAGCCACGAGTGATCGGTTGCGAGGTTCAAAGTAACGCCTGTGCTTCATCCAAAACACCCTCTTACGATTTGAGCTGTTTGAGAAACAAAAGCCATGATACATAGGGCGGTAGAATAGTTGGCGTGACGTTCGGACGTCGTTGGACTACGCACCCACGAATCGGCCAGCCTTCTCGACAATGCTTGCGATGTGGGCTTCCGGCTCAAGGATTACTGAAGCCTAGTCTGTCGTTTCGAGGAAATGCGAGAGTTGGGGGCACATGATGCCTTGCTGAGACCGTCCCCAAGGCACATATGCCAGCATCACCAACAGTCCTTGGAACAGAAAGTCAGACAAGACATCAGCTCGATTTTCCTGGCTCTCGTAACTACCGATCGGCTTGAAGAGGCTGGAGCATGATGATGGAGAGAGAATGTTCACGATGATCTATACAGAACGCCCAAGCAGCGCAGGCCTCCCATACAAAGGAGAGTGGTGGTTCTGGGAGCAGACATGGCCTGCATTTGTTTTCCGCTTCTCACTCATTTTTGGATGACGAGGAGCGAGGGAGCATGATGATGGAGGAGAGACTGTCTCGGACATGCTGAACAAACAGATCAGAGCTAGACACCGCGCTTGCTGAGACCGTGTTTCTAACCATCGTCGAGAACCCGAACATAATGAAGGAGAGAGATATCGCCCGTGATCCTCAACAACAGACGGATGCTCCAGACATGTATTGAGATGCGCTACCTTTTCGGGGTTGCAGCAAGCAGACTGATGATGATGACGGAGAGAGAAAAGTCACTAGGGTTTTCGAGGGCAGAGAAGCGTACAGGGCATGATGTCTTCTGGCAGGCCGGCAGAGAGCCCAGGCGTGCATCCAATGTTATGTGCCGTTTGGCCTCCAAGAACGGAGGAGCCAGGATGAAGGAGAGAGGAAACTCGCCGGTGTTTTCAGCCGCAGAGAAAGGGACAGAACATGAAATCTTTCGTTGGAGACTTTTGGAAGGAGCAGAGAGGCGGACATAACCTGACTGGAGTTGGTTCTGCTGAGCAGACAGAAAGCTCAGACATGATAAGTGGCCTTGTACTTTTGATACTTTGGAAGCATGCAGAAGATGGCGATGGAGAAGAGCATGAGGGCCACGGAGGGATGCTTATACAGCGCTTTGGGGGGGGGGGGGGGGCACACACACTCGCCGCTGCTTTGGCCGCAGGTATGCGTGTGCAAACGCAGCACCAGCAAATCATAGGCAGCCTTACTTAACCATGCATATCGAACGCGAAGGACGAAGATAACGATGCTCATACTCATTACTATCTACCGCGCGCTCCGCCCCCCTCCACACAACAGCTATCAATAAGGCGCCTTCCCCAGACCTTCGCCTCCCACACTCAAATCATCGTCATCATCATTCAGCCCAATGCTGCCCAAAAGGCTGTCGACATCCACCACCGCCGGCTTCTTACTCGCTTCAGTGCCCCTGCGTTGTCTATCCCCACTCCTCCCCCTACTAACACCGCTCTTCACACTCCTGCTCTTCTGCACGGTACCAGCATTCGGATTCGCATACGAGCTCGTGCCATTGGTGTGCTGAGGCTGGTTCGCCGAGGCAGCAAAGTCGATGTGACTGCCCTCCCGTACCGTCGGATTTGTGGTGGGTGGTGTAGCCTGTCCGTGGAAGTCTGCGGGGATAGCGGGAACGGGGGGTATGACGTCGCCTTCGAGGGTGGTGAAGTACTGGCCCCCAGCCGCACCTCCGGCATCGTTCTGCGCAGTCATCGGGCGCGGCGTGAGAGTTGCCGCAGGTGTGCCTAGGTCCTCGGCGCCAGCAGTTGCAGCCAAGGCCTGTCGCTCGCGAGCAAGCGCTTCGTGCGTTGTAGTGAAGCTCGCGTCGCTGAGCGAGTGCGCGCTGACCAAGCTGTCCGTCTCTTCGTCTTCTTCACGTCTGGTCGGCGGACGCATGCTATAACCCGTCCTCGGCGCGCCACCAGAGCCACTCAACGCCCTTTTCAGATCATCCACTCTCACCGTGCTCCTCAGTGACGACCTACTCCTCGGAGTCTCGTTCCCGTTCCCGTTCCCCCTATTCTCGCTGGGACTCCTTCGCCGTTGCGGCGACGACAATCGACCAACGAGACCGTACGCCAAACTTGGCGGTCTCGAGTGCGCTCTCCTTGGACTCTGACTGGGCGAGTTTGCACTGCTGTCGAGCTCGCCATTGGATATGCGAACACCCAGGTAGTTATTGCGGTTACCTGTGTACTGCGTACCACTCCTGCTCCCGGAGATGGATGCGCTGGAGGACCCTTTGGTGTTGGCTGCGAGGCATTGATCGCGCGTCCAGTCGGCGAGAAGGTCTTCGCGGACCTTGTAAGGGATGGTGGGCGCAGAGAGGATGTTGTTAATTTCGATGGTAGGGGGTTGGTGAATGACGGGAAGGCCGGAGTAGGATGATGCGGACATGGAGCGGCCAGGTGAGGCAGGCGGAGAGGAGGGGGGCGATTGTAGGGAGGTCGAGTAGCCTTCCGAGATCTTCTCGACGAGGGCGTCGCGGTTGTCGAACGGTATCAGAGACTCAGATTGAACCACCGACGCCGGAAGCTGTGCGAGACTGGGGTGCGGAGCGTCGATGCGGTCTACCGGCATGGGCGGTACGCGGATGCTCTTGAGCCATAAGCCGTGGTTGTTGCGCCGCGTGACCTCGTTGTGCACTGCGCGGCCGATGGCGGATGTTTCAAAGTCGAAAGCCATGCTGAGAGCCCACAGATAGCCATGCACGAGGCTGCCTATCCGTACCTTCGCGGCCGGCTCTTCGACGGTGGCAATCTCTTCCTGCAGGCGCATGATCATAGGCAGCCCGCTCCGTGCAGCGTTGGCTCCCAGTCGCTCGATCAATGTCGCGAGAAGGAGATGCAGAAGCAGGTAGTCCGCCTCCGAGTCAACAAACTGCAGCGCATTCTCGTACACGGCCAGATGCAGGAGTGGCAGAAAGCTGTTCCTCCCCGGCCTTGGCGACTTCTCCCGCTGCGACGCATTCGACACGGCGCGCTTGGCTAGCCCGCCCTTGTCGTGGTCGCTATCTTTCCTCCGGTAATTGTCCACAATCTTCAAATCCTGCTTCGTCTTTTCTAGGTTCAGCCAGGTGACAAGAGCATCCACATACGCTTTCCTTACGGTCCCACTAGGATCGCGTAGAAGCCACTGTGTACCCTCCCACACGCTCACGCCAATCTTACTGCGTGCTACCGGTGCGGAGGAGCCATCGGGTCGGCGTGCGTTTGCGGTTTTGATGATAGCTTTGACGGCTTCGAGCGCGGTTAGGCGTGCTGTTTCGAACGAGAAGAACCTGTCGACATGTGTCTTCTCTCGCAGGCTGCCCGAGGTCACAACCACATCGATCGCCTCTTCGGGGTTCTCTATCGCTTCGGCAGTCGTGGTGGACGTCGGCGAGGGCTTGAGTCGGCTCAAGATGGCTTCGACCATGTCCGAGATCTGGTCCGTGTAGTAGACATGTGTGGCCAGATCAGCGATGCACCTGCGCACGGTATCGAGTAGGCGTATCCTGGACTTTGAAGGCACCTTGACGACATCCATAACCACGCCAACATTGCTAGTCGAGATCTGCCCATCCAAGTGCTTCTCTGACAGCGCCGGTGTCGTCTGCTGGTGGTGGGGCAGTGTGCTCAGTCCAGGTCCACCGAGCTGTAGGAGTGATAGAGTGTGAGAGATGAGGCCGACCAGCACATCCATGACGCTGAGCCCGATGAAGTTGATGGTGGAGCTGAGGAGGTAGTCGATGACAGTCGCAAGCACCAGCTGTCGATCGACGTCGTCTTCAACGACCGGGCTGCGTACGAGAGCCTCGACGACGGCGACGAGGATGGCGTATCGGTCTTGCACAGGCGCCCAGGCGCAGATGATAGCCATCAGTTTGGTCGCCCAGCTCTCACCCGGAGGATGCGGCCCCTTGACGTTCGCGCCGATAAAGTTGAGCACGGCAGAAGTCGCAAGACGCAATTGACCACGGTTGACGCCCTGGAAGATGTTGCGCAGAGCCTGCAGCGCCAGCACGCCGACCTTCTCCTCAGCCAGCTTGTCTGCCGCCTCCGTCGTGCCCGACGCAGCGACCGGATCGCCTCCTTCCTCATCCTCGTTCGTGCTCGTCCGCGCCGCCGTGGACACGCTCTTCCTTCGACTGAGCGCCAGCTCCTTATCATGCGCCTCACTATCCTTCTCCCTCGACTCCAGCCTGCTCAAGTACGCGCCACTCTCCGCGTATATGTTCGCCAAAACCACCGGAATGATGGCGTTCAGCTGCCTCCCCGTCTCGCTCCCCAGACTCTCACTCTCCGCCACCGCCTTCAACGCTGTCAACCCCGCCCTCCTGAATCTCAGCTGCACCGGCCAACTCTGCGCCGCGCCCTTTGCTGATGAAGTCTGTTCCTTGGCGGCGAATTGCGCATACAACTGCACGATCTCCTCGTACTGTCTTATGTACTCCAGATCCGCCGCTAGACTCGCAGGCTCCTGGTGCCTACACAGCGCCTCGAACGCCGGCAGCGTGTCCTCGACCATGCCGACATGCTCGCTCTTCAGGATGGTCTTCAGGATGCGCAACACCGCGCGCTGGTACAGCGGCAGGTCTCTCGGACACTTTTCAACCACCGCCGTCACAATCTGCAGCGTGACCTGCACATTTCCCGTGCGGCCCTTCCAGACATCGCTGGTCGCGCGCTTGTCGAGAAAGTCAGTGACCTTTGTGAGCTTCGAGCGTCGCGTGCTGGCGTAGTACAGCAGGTAGGACAGCTCGGAGCTGTTGGCGCGCACGTCGACGTTGGCTTTGTTGTACTTGGGGTAGCATTTTAGCACCAGGACTTGGTGCTTTGGCCGGCACGCTTGGCGCGCTGCATTCATTGAGAGAGCGTGAGCGGGCGTGAGCGGGCGCGAGCGGGCGTGTGAGCTCGCGGACGGGGCGAGTCGCGGGTGCGCGGGGGCTGCGGGTGGGAAGGGGCGCTGCGAACGAGCGGAGGGGTGCGCACGGCGGGCGAGCGATGCGACGGCGAGGCGGTCGACGGGCTAAGAATGGGCGGGCGCGCGGGCGAGCGATTAGTGGGGAGGCGTCGCGCTCGCGGGCAGCATGCAGGCAGCCGTGTGTGTGCGTGTGTGTGTGTGTGTGTGTGTGTGTGTGTGTGTGTGTGTGTGCTCGCACGGAAATCGAGGTGTTTAGGTACCTGTACGGGAACGAGGAGACGAGATGTATGTCAGACGCGGCGGACGAACTTCTGCCGGACTTGGGGAAAAGGTTGGTGCCCAAAACGATGACCAACATGGAAACAAGAGCCCGCGTCGAAACGGGTCCGACACAATGACCGGCCGTCGCAGCATTGCAAACACCATGTGCCACTGTTCGATTGCGTCTTCGTCTGGTCTCAGGGATTCGCACGCCTCGAAAGCATCTCATCTTGAATTGAGGTGGAGAGGTTGTGTGTGGATGCAGCGTCCCCAAGATCTGGTAGACCCGCTTTGACGTGCCTGCCTTTGGGACTACACCGTGTGCTACCACGACTCTCCATGTCCATTGCTACTTGATTTCCAGGCCCGACTCTCCCCTCTGCTGCTGCTTCTGCCGCTGCTTCTGCCACTGCTTCTGCTTGCGCAGCTTCGCTTTGCTCTGGTGCCTACTGGGCTCCCCTTTGGCCCACATCCCACGTCTGTCCATCCCACGTCCGTCCATCCCACTCGCCCTGCCGTACTGCTCCCGCCATCTCCTCGTCTCCTTCTTCACCACTGCAAGCTTCTTTGCGGCTTCCTCTGCGCCGTCTCCCTCTGCGCATTCGGCTTCGCCCAGCGTCAGGAGCCCCCTCGCCCCACTTTTCGCGTCGGCAAGTAATTGTTCCAATCGTGCTTTTTCAACCGCATTCCCATCATCCACACTCGGCCTGCCCCCGTCCTTCACAGCTTCCGCCTCTTCTCTCACGCCCCCCTGACCCAACTTTTTCTGTTTCTTGATCGTCCATCTCTGCGCCATCGGATTCTTGTCCATCGACTCCTGCACCGCCGCCTTGACCCTGAACACCCTCTTCGTGAGATCCAACTTGGGCATCTGTGCCGCCTGCCTGCCCAGCACAAACTGAATGCTTCGTCCGTCGCTGAGGGGCTTGATGATGAACTCTGTACCCTCCGGCATACTCCTGCGTATGAAGTCTGGCCTCAAGTGTGGAAAATGTTCGTGCATCCACGGCCACGCGCCTGGATCCGGAACCACGCCTTTGAACTTCTTCTGCATCTGCGAGCCGAGCAGGCGCACGCGGAATTCAACGGGCGAGCCAAGCTCGATGAATTGGTACGCGCGATCGAGCGCTTCCTTTGTGTATCCTATAGGGTTGGCGAGGAGCAGGTGTACTCCTTTCAGCGCACCCAACTGCTTGCGGTCGGTTTGGGGGTGCTTGACATCGACTTTGATGGCGCGCGCTTTCCAGATGGCGTAGTTGTTGTGCTGGGAGGGGATGTTCTCGTCGCGCATTGTCTCGTAGTCTTCAGACAGCTTCTTGCCGATCGGCTCTGTCATGTAGAGGAACTTGCCAGGCGAGATGTGGTTGTCGTAAAGTTCTTGTAGTGATATGTCCTTCGTGATCGCTCTCTGGTCTTTGTCGCTCCTCACGAGATTCACTTTGTGATTCGATGCGCTGGGCGGCTCTTGCTTGTACAGCCCGAAGTCTAGAATCTTGTGCATGCCCAGTGCTGTTCTTGCCTTAGCCGTCTTGTAGAGGTGCAGTGAGCGGCGCTGTTCGAGACATGTCACCGCTGGGCGTGCGCGGTGTAGCGCAACTGGAGTGCATTGTGGACGAGCAAAGCTGTGTAGCGTGCGTAAATGTATGCGAATGGGCGGCAGGAGGAGCGAGCGGAAGTCAACGGTGGGTAGTCGTGCGGTCGGTAGCATGGCGATACGATGCAGCAAAGCTTAGGGCTGTTTTGGTCTGGGAGCGCCTGACTCGACTAGCGCTGTTCAGCCCTACATCATGACATATGCCGATCGACCTCGACCTCATCATGCACGTCCCCTTATCGGACTGAGAAACATAGAATTAACATCTCTACATCATCCTTCTCCATACGCAAATGAAACAGAGGGTGGATTATACCCTATCAACACAAGCCTGTGGCGTATTGCACGTGTCCTCTCCTTCTCCGCTTAGATATATACATCCATTGTACCTCTCTTCTCTCTTCTTCATCTTCATCTTCATTTTAATTTATCGCGCGATTGTAAGGACCAAGAATTCGATGCAAACCAAAGTCTCCTATGTCGTGCTTTTTCTGGAGTGCATGAGCAGCGTCTCTCTCGCATCCACCGTGCAAATCCCATATTCGCTTTCAAAGCCGCAAGATTGTAGAGTCATGTCGAACCAGGTTGCAAAGTTTTCTGCTACTGAAGATTGGCTTCTCTACCTCCATGCTCTTCTGCCCTTTCCCCAAAAAAGTCAACTTCCCACGGCTGATGTCTGATCCTGTCTGCAAGGTTTCTGAACTCGAAAAGCCTATCTTCTCTTTCATCTCGACTTGTGACCCTCTGCTTCTAAACTGAGTATTTCCTGAATTATGGTCTACGCTTGCTGTCGAGACTGACGACGGAAGGGAAACACCTACAGCACGTTTTACTGTGCAGGTATCCGGAACAAGTCTCAGAAGCTGGCATAAAGTCAGTCCGCCTGGAGCTAAATGCACCAAATTTCATGTCTGCATCGTTTGTTGATCTCAGAAACGCGAGGTGTTTTCTTCACCTCTCATCACGTCTTACCGTCTGCCACTTTGCAAGTGGATATCGGAAAACTCATCTGTGAGCTTTCGCCTGACAAGTATCGAAGTATGGGAGGAACCTCCATTTCGGTATCCTTGTCACACGCCTTGGAAATAACTGTATTCCTCAAACCCGCAGTTGTTCTGTACACGGAACTCAACTGATTCCTTGGAGTCGCCTTGAAAAAGTTCATGTCTCGGCTGTCGCTTGCGGATCAAAGAACTACATCTCTGCCCAGTCTCCGTCATGCTGTACTACTGAAAGCTTTCGAGTAATCGAATGCATACAAGACCAATGTTTGAGGTTGAAGACGAAGTGTGTATGCATAGAAGCATGTTTTTCTTCTCCGTCAAGACCCGGTCGTCGTTTCGCCATTCAATCAAGGACACGAAGTGCTCATGACCAGACTCCGCTGCTTTCTCCTTCAAACAACGAGCTGGCACTCCCCCACATCTTATTTTTTACACATTGTTTTGCCGAAAGCAAATTTGATGCCAACGGTGACTCTCCCCTATCCAAAGCAATGACTCATCACTACTATCACCAGCTCTCCCTTCACATCCCGGCGTCTCCATCTCCCTTTTCTCCAACTCGAACTACATCATCCAATTGGGCCATCCCATCATGTCCCGCACAGCACTTTTCGTAATCGACATCCAGCGCGCCCTCGCAGACAGTCCTGGGACCGAGATTTCTCATGCCAGACGCATTCGAGATGCCGGAGCTTCGATTCTAGACAAAGTGCGTGCGAATATCGACGAGGCGCAAAGTCGAGGCGAAGCGCCTGGGCTGGAAATCATTGTTGTGCAGCATGAAGAGACCCGCGACAAAGGAAATCTACAGCTCGGAACGCGAGCATGGCAACTCGTCTTCCCACCCCACCCCTCACCCCACGAAACCCTTGTTTCCAAGAACATTCGTACGTATCCATCCTCTTACACACTTCCTCTCCATCCCCCACTCTTCTCACTCTGAGACTGATCCAGGAGACACGTTTGAATCTAACCCAGGGCTCGCGGACGAACTGAGGGCACGCAATGTCGGCACGATCGTGGCGTTCGGCATCCAGAGCGAGTGCTGCGTGCTATCTACCTGTAAAGGCGCACTGGCTGCGGATTTCAGAGTCGTGCTGTTGAAGGGAGCGCATTCGACGTATGATGCGGAGGGAAAGACGGCAGAAGAGATCGAGAGGGAGGTGGAGGAGGAATTGCGTAACGAGGGAGCAGAAGTGGTCGACTGGAACAAGTGGAGTAAAGGTTGGGACTGAACATGCAAAACGTCTATTGTAAACACTTCTATGACTCTCCACAGATGCAGTCTATACGAGATGTTGCAACTGGGCTACGGTGAGACTGAAACTGCCACTGATGACCAATTGTACTGAGCTTTCCTACGCAGAGCAACCTTGGTGCGTCAGTTACATTGAGCTGAGGAGGATGCAAGACGTACCTAAAGAGCGCCGCAAACAGGGCTAGATCCCATCGCATTGCTGCCGCCGTTGTCGTTGGTAGCACGCTGGCAGTCTCCAGTCGCGCTCACACCGACACAAGCAGTCACCTGTCGTTGTTATTCTTGTTCAGAGGCAAGTATCTGGCATGAAAACTTACCTTATCAGCGCAGTAGTTCTTGCTGTATGCTGAGAGCTGCTGTCCCGAACCACCGGAGCCCGTGATGCGAAAAGACTGGAAGCCGCCCAAAGGAGCACACGAATTATCCCATACGTTGCGGCTCCCAGCAGGGACCTGGCAGTCGGTATCGGAGAAGAGATCGACCACTACCGCGTTGGTGATCGCTGTGCTGGCGAGGATGGCAAGGAGGCTGGTAGTGAACTGCATGGTGACAATTCGGTGGGATCTGAGTTGGGAGGGTTGATTGAGTGGTTAGTTGTGTTTGTTAATAGTTGGGTTGAGTGATGTCGAAGCAGCTGTTGTTGATGATGCTGAATCGAACGAAGAATGCGCTTATATAGCTCGTGAACGTACTCAGTGGCACCTACACATGCTTCTTTGAGGGTTCTCATTCGGAGTCCGATGCCGCATAGTTGGTAGTTCGGACTCTTTGTCAACTTGTTGCTTGCGGACCCTCACGCAAAGTTGGCGGTCCTGACAATACTCTTGGTCCCTAGCGTCGGTCATGCTGTGTGTGGCAGCTATGGAGGCCTAAAATCTGACCTTCGCCAAGCACACCCTGGTACTTTAGCTTTCGCATCATGTTGCCGAGTAAAGGTTAGTTCAATTGACATCTTGAAATCCGTCTATCCCAGTAAACTTGATATGACATTATGAACATGCTCAGGCGGTGGATCCAAGACGATAAGAAATACTGCAACTTGCACAATCAAAAATAAGTCCAACAGGAGAACGAAGAGATCAGATCCAAGCGAGCTGAGAAACAAAAGAAAACGAGAAAAGAATGCAACCAAACATACGCATCTCAAGCATCAGCATGACACCTCATGCTCCCCACCTTCGGCAGATTTTCCGGCCATGTCTTGATGCCCGGACACGTTACTCTACTACTTCTCGTCAGCAAATTCTCTTCTCCTCCCCTTCGAACGAAAGCACTTACTTCAAACCCAAATTTTCAGGATCAAACCTAATAATACTCCCCTTACACTCTCTATCCTCAAACAACACACAATAACCCTCCTTGTCCGGTCCAATACTTTGCGGCGCCCTCGGCGGCGCGAAACAAGCATCGTTCGCCGCGCGATAGACGCAGTCCCCGTCGAAATTGGCATTGGAGCAGTAGAATACTGCGCCGGGGTTACCGGGCTTGCAGGTTGGGAGGGTGAACCAGGGGATGTTTGTTGCTGTGGCGAGGGCCAAGGGCAGGAGGAAGATGAAAAGGTGCATAATTAGCGGTACTTGTTGTACGTCTCGAATAGATGGCGTGTATGTTTCTAGCTGGTGTGTATCAGTGGCGATTGGCATAACCATGCGTGGGTGACTGAGTCATAGATGCAGTGGGGTAACGTGGAAGAAGGGGCCTTTGTCGAGCTTGAATAAAGATGCTTGGAGGGATGTGGGCTTTCAACAATTGTGTGACAATGACATGTGTTGACAAAGAAAGGCGCATACACTAATATCGATGGCACAAAGACTCGAGGTAAATGGCTGCAGGTACGTACCGTACTCCTTCCTCATCGAAACCAATGCCATTGAGGGGCAGTTCTCATGTCTGGGGTGCGTTGATAGGAGGCATCGGCCACGGCCTCGCCTGCATCGGCGCAGGTGGACAACAAGTATGCGGCGCACCTGTGTTGGCATGGGGGCAGCATCCGGATTGCGCACGTTGACTCTGCTTGTATTCTGGAGGCTGATCTTGATACTGCTGAGGCCGTGGAGGCATCTGCGGCGGATGCACCTGGGGCGGAGCAGGCATAGGTGGCAACGGAGCCATGTGTTGGACAAACGTTGGCAGCTTATCTGCCATTTTGGCGTAGTCTGCCCATGTATGCTCTGGAAGGTTAGAGAACGTCTTCCCGTTAGTTAGGATGAGGACGTAGGCGTTTGCTTGTGTTGGCATGAGATGCACAGCCTGGGGTAATCAGCCTCTCCGTTGCGTCTGGCGCACCACGATTGTGAACTCACTGCGATGACGGTGAAGTCTGAGCATTCTTCCAGGAACTTATTCGTCCCTCTGATCCCTTCCCACCCATCACCGCCCACCATACCAAGCCCACCCCTTCCCTCAACCTTCGGCAGCTTGAAGTCGCAACACCCACCGCCAGACACTGTGCGCATGAAGTACGCTCCATCATTTCCCAAGCTGACAAAAGAGGGTGCTTCGTAGCCGTCTGCTTTCCAGGTGGTTCCCCACGCATCCTGACTTTCCAGCCGGTTCAGCAACGACTTCTCGAGGCCAGGCGGGATGTTACTCCACGATGCAGAAGTCCGGTCCCAGGCATAGTACGAGCCGTAGGGTCCAAGAGTGATGCTGAGGGTTGATAAATCACGGATCACAGCAGGATGAGATGCGTATAGATATTCAACCAGCGGATTGGGGAGGTTGTAGTGCTTGCAAAGAACCTGACCGTCGTGGTCGCGGTAGCTGACAAAGTAGGAATCATTTGCGCCGAGTGTGAGCTCAATCACGTCTCGGATGGGTGGTGTTTTGGTGAAGAGTGTTTCGACGTCTGGTGGGAGGTTGTGCCATGCCCAGTGTGTGGGGCTGTTGAAGAAGTACGCTCCTTTTGCGCCCAGGACGAATGTTGTGGAGATGGTCATCTTGTGCTGCGAAGGAAACGCTGGAAGGATAGCACAAAAACAAGAAGGGCGCACAAAAAGACGTTGACACGAAAAGACGAAGACTGGGAGAGGAAAGAAAAGATGGCAGTGCTTGTCAGCAGCTGGACTTTGGAGGCGGAGGCCTGGCGGCTGAGCTTCGCCCCTCATTCGAGACTCGCTTAAACTTTCCGAAAGCTGGAGTCGCGCTTGCACATCCGGCTGCAGGTACATGACAAGTCCGGCCCACTTGATGGAATACTATAGAAATAGCATCTCTATGCTCACAGTTATCCACAGACAGCCTGTGTACCTCATAATCCGGTACCTGATCCGCAATCGATCGCGAGCGCAGATCCGCACAGATTCCTGTACACATGTCCAAACAGGGTATCGAATGATGTAACGCCTTTGCGCCCGCTTCCCTCCCATCGCTCACCCAGACCTATGCGCCCCTAAGTACTCCATCCCCTCTAGAATTCAGTATGCCGTCGGCGCAGGAGAAGAGGAGGACCTACCTGTTACCGCGGCTGCGACCTGGCAGCGCGGGAGGCACCTTGGCGTTGCCAAATGCATCGGTGCCCAGCTTCTCGCGGCAATCTGGACAATACCATTTGGCACGGCGTGCAGGCATCTGGGTCATGCCGACGCATTCGAAGTGGAACCACTCTTTGTCGCACTGCAAACCGTTAGGAAGCGCATGTTGAAGGGTTGAGGAGTACCTGACATTGTTGTCGCATGAGATCATCTGGCCGTAGCTGACATCGTCGCAGATACAGTACCTCTCCTCGTCCGAGTCGACTTCTTCAACGAGTCCAGGCTGGTCTTCGGGCTTCTTCTTCTTGTTGTTCTTGCTACCCTGTGATCGCTTGACGTTCGTAACTGTCTTTTGTCCGTTCTCGGCAGACGTCACCTCGCCCTTCGGTGGCGGCTTCCTACGCGAGCTCACACGAGTGGGAGCAGGTGCGGTGAGTGCAGATTGACTGAAAATGCTGTGTCGGCGCGTATCGCGGATTGGCCGACCTGATTCGTTGGGCGTTGGCTCCTCGCTCTGTGCCTTCGGTGTTGGGATGTGGCCGCGAGCCGAGCGGGGACGTAACGCGACGGCAGGTTCAGGTGATGCGGCTCGCTCGAGCATAGGCGTATTAGACCGCGTTGGCTTCGAAGGCTCCGCTGGCGGCGGACTTGAGTTCTTGGATGCGACCGACTCGCGCCGTGACCGTGTGAAAATCGCTGTCGTGGTGGGCGGCGCAGGTGCCTGCTCGAGTGCTGTGAGAGCAACAATTGGTGAAGACCTCTTTGGCTCCGTAGATGATGGCTGAACAGGCGTAGCTTCTCGACTAGCCGCCCTGGATTCAGGCTTGTTGACCTTGGGCGTGCTGGGGCCAGCAGGTGCGAGTGGTACCTGAACGGTGTTTGTGATTCTCTCTGGCAAAGGTGTAGGGGTCTGGGCTGCAGGTGAGAGCGCAACAGGCGTGTCCAGGTCTTTGGGCGGGTGTGTGTCTGCCGAGGGTGGTGCTGGCGTCGACGGTGTGTGGTCAGGCGGTGGGGCTGGGGCGATGAGCTGCAGCCGCGGACGCTTTGGTTCAGGCTCCTGTGTGGTTGTATCCTTCTCTGCTGCTTCCGGCTCCTTGCTCGGTTCTGTGGGGCTCTCGACATTCGGTGGTGGAGTGGTGTCCCGCTTCCGCTTGCTCGTAACCGGCCGCGCAGTCGACTTCTTCCTTTGCGCGGAGGTGGGCGGTGTTGGGACAGCATGGGCTGAGAATGTGAGTTCCTTGAGGCCGTCGGCGGCATTCTGGATTGTCTTGGTGGCATCTTCGAGAGCTTGCAGCTGGCGCATAGCCTTCTTTCGCCGTGTATCACGGTCAGATGACTTGCCTTCGGTGGCTTCTACGCTTTCGTCTCTCGCAGGCACAGCCTCACTGGGCGCAGTCAGTCCCTTTGCTGCGTTCGCAGTCGCTGCCAAGGCCGGATCATCGACACCCTGGGCAGTGGCTATTTGCAGCAGCGTCTCGGGCTCCTCGTCCAGCAGGTCCTCGCCAGCGGCCTCGCAGCGCGCCTTCTCGCGCTCGTAGTCGCCCTTGGTGCGGTGCTTCCGCTCCAGCTCGCGGTTCACCATGGTGAGGCTGGGCGTCCACACGGCGTTCTTCTTCATCTGCTTCCTAAGCACGGCCATCTCGTACTCCGTCAGCTTCATCCAGGGCGCCCACTTGCTACCTGGCCGCGCATCGGGCGGCGGCGGCGACAGCTTGGCGAGGGCATTGCTGGTGGAGATGCCGGCAATCGAGCTGTGGACGTTCGTGCCGGCCACGCCAGGAGCGCGCGGGCGAGGCTTCTGCGAGCGGTCCTTGTATGTCTGCGCCTTTCTGGGGCGCTCGGCGTGGTCGGTCCGGCGGCCGCCATCAGACTCGTCTGAGGAGGATGTGCTGTGAGCCCGTGATCGGCCGCGCGGGAGAGGGACAGCCGACGTCTGGTGCTTGTTGCGGCCGCCGTCGAAGGTGAGGTGCAGGCGGGGGCGGTCGTAGCTGCGCTTGAGGGCCTGCGGCGAGACTGGCGGCGGCGTCGGGTCGCGCGACGGGGGCTCTGGCTGGGCCTGCAGCTTGCGCTTGATGATCGACGAGCGCTGGCAGTGGCGCACCGTCACCTCGTACAGCCGCGCTGCCTCTGTAAATGCATACTCGCGCTGGTTGATGGCCTTTTGCAGCTGCTGCGCGATCTGCTTGCGCAGGAGAGCCGGGTCGGTGCGCTCCCTCTCCGGCAGCGAGGGCAGCTTGCAGTACAGCGACGTCAGCTCGTGCACCTGCTGCACCGCATCCGCATACGTCGCATCGAGGTCGCCGATCAGCGTCAGGCTGCGCACCAGGTCCGACGGGTAGAACTCGGTGTAGTCGAGGAAGTCGTTGACAGTCGTCTGCGCATCGGGGTTGGGCGTGGGCGCGGGGATCGTGGGCGCATCTTCAACGTCGGCCATGGTGTTCTCTATGGTGCATCGCGGGGAGTGTCCTGGGTGAGAGGCCCGCGTCAGACACTCCAGCCACGCGTCGATTGAGTCGGAGGGGGGAATCGGGGCGGCACGGGAGGTGAAGGAGGACGACAGCGTGCTGGCGGTGGTGGTCAGCCAGGCTGTGAGAGCGTGTCGCGATGTTGGAGTTTGGGGCCGCTCTCGGGCCGAATGGGAAGCTAGCGCGCTCCGTCAGGAACGCTTCCAGGAACGCCCCCGTGTCCCCCAGGAACGCTTCGTGCCCCGGTTCAGCCTTATCAACGATATAAGCGAACTTCTCGTGTCTGCTTGATCTGATGTGGAGCTTGCTACCTTGTGCATTCTCACTCAGTTGTTGCACCGCGCTACCGTTGGCTGTGATGATGACTACCTTCTCCGTGGCACAGCTCTCCCACTAGGGGTGAGTATAGAGAGCACACGCTCAATGTCCACAAAAGCAATGGTGAACCGCTACATAATTCGCAGGATTGCACAGGGCGAGGCAAGGCGTGCTCGCAGCATCCAAGTGAGTTCCAGTCAGCCGTCTCTTTCTACCTAGCCATGGAGCGATACGCAGCACATATCAGACTTGCCATCCAATCTTCCATGTAATCGATCAGTGTGAACTACGAGGATTCCACCTTCACCCCTTCTTCATCATCGTTGCTTATTTCATGAAGGGGCCTTGGAGGCCTTCACGATGGATTTCCGCTTCATACCACGGCCGAGTTGGAGTTGTCTGCATTCACTTAGCGTATGGGCGTGTTGCGTTTGTTGTTACTTCCAGCAAACCTGCCTTTCTCTTCTCAAGCGCCCTGACTACTTCTACACCGTACCATGGCTTCGACAGCGCGTCTCGAGCGACTCCGCAGGCTCGTTCAAGCTGACCTTGATGCACTGCTTGACCGAGCACCAGAGCCAATAGTCAGCGATAGTGACACCTCAGGCGGTGTAGCACTTGAGCCCGTTGACGCACCAAACAACCAAACAGCAGCTGGTCCTGTACAGCCTCAACGGAAGCCAATCACCAAGGAACCCAATACTGACCGCCGCTCCGTCTGGCTCAAGGACGCTGAAAGTTCGTATAAGCCGGCATCGATGCCCAAGCCTAACATCACCACAACTCCTCTCAGGCCAGCAGCTCCTCTACCTGCCATAGAGCTCAATTGCGGCGACCTTGCGCCAGCTACACAGCACTACACACCAATAGTGGCTCTGTCCAAGTACCCTTACAAGTGGTGCAACACGAGTCACTCACAGGACATTGCGTCTGCCTTCTTCGACCAGGGCAAGTTCTGGGCACGTGAGTGGGATCTGTAAGTGGCTATCACCTTGGCCGAGTGTCTCATTCTTACCTTCACCATAGCTACTACGTCTGGGATATCGTCAACTACGCCAAACCTCTCGTTCTCGTTCGCGAAACCCAATTCCAAGCCCTTCTCGGTGAGATCAACGACCACCTCAGGCTTGGCCTCCACATCACTGACCAGCAGCGCGAGGACGCCCTCGTCAGTCGGTTCCCCGATCATCCACGCTGTACACCTCGATATCTTGGACGCTCACGATCTCGCGAAGACTACGACAACATGGTCGAGAACGCCCCAGATCACGACTTCCGCGCTGAAGGAGAACTAGAGAGTTCGCCAGTTGGCGAGCGCACTCTCGAAGCCTTCAAACAGCTGATTGAAGAGTCTTTCGAGGCGCAGAGGGCCAAGAACAAGGCCACAAGGGCAAGGAAGCAGCAAGAGCGTCTGGTGAAGCAGAAGACCATGGCCGACCAGTTCAAGCGCGCTCAACGCTACCTTGGTCTGCGTCCAAGTCCGGCAGCTAACGCTCAAACCCAAAGTGGTCTACCACCTGCGATCGATCCAGTACGTACAGCGTATAGATCCAGCCTCGCTGCACGTACTGACTCTTCTAGACACTTCCAGCACCCTTTGACTTTGACCAGTCCACGGTCTTCGTATGCGTTGATGTCGAATCATATGAGCGCGCCCATCACAAGATCACAGAGGTAGGAGTCGCCACACTAGACACAAGAGAACTGGCGAGCATTGCACCTGGTCAGGATGGCGAGAACTGGAGAGGCTTGATCCGCGCTCGTCACTTCCGGATCAAGGAGCACGTGCATTTGGTCAACTCGGAGTTTGTTAATGGCCAACCCGAAGGTTTCGACTTTGGCACGTCTACGATCGTCTCGCTGGCTGAAGCACCTGCACATGTTGCGGCTTGCTTTTCGTCCCCTTTCGGCGCACACCACACCAACGGTGTCGAGAGTCTTTGCGATTTGATGGGGGGTGTTGATCTCAATGAGAAACGCAACATCGTCTTTCTTGGTCACGACAGCCTGGGCGACGTCAGATACCTTCAGAACCTCGGCTACGACCCGATGAAGGTCGAGAACCTGCTTGAGGTCTTGGACACCGCCGTCATGTACCGTGTCTGGCGCCGCGAGCAGAATCCTACGTCCTTGGGCAAGATCCTGTACGACTTCGACATCGCCGGGTACAAGCTGCACAACGCCGGCAATGACGCTGTGTTCACTGTGCAAGCCATGCTGGGGATCTGCGTTCGCGAAGCGAGTATACGTGGGTCACCTGAGCTCGACAGTATGAGGAGCAGCGAGAAGTCAGCCAGGCTTGCAGTGGCATTGGAGGAGGCCCAGCAGAAAGCAAATGAAGAGGCTGACGGTTGGAGCGATCATGAACAGGACAATGATGTTGGAGCACCTGTACCTCTCTCAGTCAGCCCGCCTAAGCTTGCGCCCGCCCATACATCTTCTGATACGCCATCCGACACCAACGGCCGTGGCGCCTCCAACAATGCATCGGAAAACAACACATCGAGCCCTCAGGTATGCCTCATCGACCTCAAGTAGGCTACACGGCACCAAAGGCTGCAGCCAGCCGCTTGATGACCTCTAATACGGCCCTACAGGTACGCTACTATTGGTAGATGGTCCGAGTGACCTGATGCATGCCTTACGATCATGCATTGCGGTTGCTTTTGAGTCGTGCAATTCTGCCCGGGCATCTTTGCGAGCATCAAATACGGATCATGAGCCTGGGTGGACCCACTCTCGATCTCGATGGCAGATGGAGCGAAACTGCGGTCTTGCAAAATAAATGTAATACATACTGCAAACCATGCAGATAAGTTTGAATGAAACTCGTGATATGCTGGATGCCTTCAGCGCTCACAGATTTTGATGCGTCGTGGTCGTAGTGACAATAATCAAGAGTGTGGTGTTATTGCTAAGCTGTTCGTCCACAAAATTCCTCCCCCACCAGACCCTTGTAACGTCATGTCTCGCTCTCACCGCCGAGGACCACGACTTTATTGCCGGCTAGTTTCCGCGGCGGCGCGCGATGCGCCCAGGACTTATATCAAGCTCACAGAAACTAACATGGCGAGCTGGTGTATTCTCTTGAACTCTTGATACCTCCTGTAGGCCATTTTCGGTTTCTCGATAGAGAATAGGGGGTGCTGCGACGAGCACTGCACCGCGCATCATGGTGCCTCTCGACGACACCATCACGGTCCCGACCGAGCGCCATGGCCGCTCGAGCGCAACCTCGCCCACCTCACCTCACCGCAGTCGCCCAGCATCATGGAAGTCTCGATCCTCACGACGAATCTCGACATCAAACAACCGTCCAACCACACAAAATGCCACATACACGAGCAAGAACAAAAGCAAGGATGCGTGGTGGAAGACAACGCTGTTCTCTGGCATGGTGAACGATGTCAAGAGAAGAGCGCCGTTCTTTTTGAGTGATTGGAAAGACGCGTGGGATTATCGCGTTGTGCCGGCTACGGTGTATATGTATTTCGCAAAGTACGTCAATACCCACCTTCATTCACGATCTTGCGCACCTCCCAAGCACTTCCCAACCGCACCTAGTATTGTATAAGCACTTCTGAACGTGTATCTCATGCGCAGCATTATCACTCTTCAAGTTACGGATAGTGGGTTTTATTTGAGAACAGAGGCTGATGTGACACAGTATCCTCCCCGCGCTGGCTTTCTCGTTAGATATGTTTGTCAAGACGGATATGAGTTTTGGTGTTAACGAGGTGCTGCTTGCGAGTGTGCTGGGGAGTGTCGTGTTTAGTCTGTTCGCTGCGCAGCCGTTGGTTATTGTGGGTGTTACAGGTAAGCTATCTGACGAAGACTGAGCGAGGAACAACTCGCTTCGCTCAGGCTATGCAACATCTTGCTGACACTGGGCTAGGCCCCATCACGGTCTTCAACTACACGGTATACGACATCATAACACCACGCGGCACGAACTACTTCGCCTTCATGTGCTGGATTGGGATGTATGTTGCCACTCTCCGCTTTCGGGTCCCTGCTGACAGACGTAGATGGGCTCTGATCTTCCACTGGATCCTTGCCATTACAAACTCTTGTAACGGTCTTCGCTACGTCACCCGCTTCTCTTGCGACATCTTCGGATTTTACGTCGCCTTCATCTACCTGCAAAAAGGCATCCAAGTGCTGACCCGCCAGTGGGAAGTCAGCGATGCCTCGGCATATCTATCGATCATGATCGCACTCCTCGTCACAGTCGTGGCCTACCTCTGCGGCATTGTCGGCCAATCCGCACTCTTCCCACGGCACGTCCGCAAGTTCATCGAAGACTACGGCACACCCCTCACCGTAGTCTTCTTCACCGGCTTCGTGCACATCGGCAAGATGTCCGGAATCGAACTCCTCAAACTTCCCACCTCAAAATCCTTCTTCCCCACCACCGACCGCGGCTGGTTCATCCACTTCTGGGACATCAGCGTCTCGGACGTGTTCCTCGCGATTCCCTTCGCCATCCTCCTCACAATCCTCTTCTGGTTCGACCACAACGTCTCCAGCCTCATCGCCCAGGGCACCGAGTTTCCCTTGCGAAAACCCGCAGGCTTCCACTGGGACATCTTCCTCCTCGGCCTGACAACAGGTGTTGCGGGCCTGCTAGGTATTCCCTTCCCTAACGGCCTGATTCCGCAGGCGCCCTTCCACACCACCTCGCTCTGCGTGACACGCACCGAGACCGACGAAAAGGGTTACACGAAGCGCATCACAGACCACGTTGTCGAGCAGCGCGTATCCAATCTCGCACAGGGCCTTCTCACGCTCGGCACTATGTCCGGTCCTTTACTCATCGTCCTGCATTTGATCCCACAAGCCGTACTCGCCGGCCTGTTTTTCGTAATGGGCATCCAAGCCCTCGAAGCAAACGGTATCACCGCGAAACTCATGTTCCTCTTTACTGACTGCCAACTCATCTCGCCTTCCGAGCCTCTGTCCCAAATTACCAGGAAGTGGGTGGTATGGGCATTCGTAGGACTGGAGTTGGTTGGATTTGGCGCGACATTTGCTATCACCCAGACTATTGCTGCAATTGGGTTTCCGGTGTTCATTCTCTTATACATCCCTATGAGAACCTTGTTGATGCCACGCCTCTTCACGCAGGCTGAGCTGAGGATTCTAGATGCCCCGACAGCCAGTCCGTTTACAATGGAGAGTGTGGGCGGGAATCATGGGCAGATGCATAACGACTCGAGTGACGAGACGCTTGAGGAGGCTGAGAGGGGCGAGAGTGAGGGTGCGCTGAGGCAGCGGAGAGCGAGTGTTGGGGGCGCGAGTCGGCGGCGGACGAGTTTCAGGAGCGGTGAGAGTGTGGAGATAGATAGGATTCACAAGTCGTAACATAGGCTTACTTCCAATCCGAAATGGAATTCAAATAATTTCCACAAGATGCTGCACGTACCTGGGCACTATTCCTTGGTCTTCACTGCAAGCTATCCAGTCCTCGATACGCTTTCCGAGTCGTGTCTCCTAGCGAGTAGCAACTGCGCAAATCGCCATGGCGGCCCCGTCCACTTCGGCATCTGTTTTGTTTTCCTTCTTCTAACTGGCTCTGTACAGCGATCTTCTTTCATGCCCGGAGCTACAATTCACCACATCCATTTCCATCGTCCCAGTTCTAGTTGTAGCGACGACGATCATGCCCGCCTTGTTCACACAAGATGTACGCGTCCTGAAATCGACTCACCACGCAAACGAGGGAAGAGTGTTATTGAGCATAGAGAGCAGTTTGACGCTTACATTCCAGGACCGCCGTCGGTCGCGTTGAAGCGTAATCTTCGGCCCAGTTGGAGTCACCCTCCGCTGCTGGGAGAGGTGAGTAAGTCTTCCATGTACCGGTAGCATACGTTGATTACCTCAGAAAGGACAACAACGACTAGGATACGTTGAGGACAGGTAACGCAAGTTGACAGCGTCTTGATAAGGTATTTGGTATCCAAGGGCTTTCTGACGCAGTTCCTTCATGGTGCCAATGAACCTGATTGATCTCCATTCATAACACGGCATGATGATCAAGGATTCGATTATGTGTGCACAAGCGGTTTCGGAAGAGCGGGAAACATGCACGTTTATTACAGCAATGACGATACTTCGCACGCGAAACATACCAGCGTACAACCTCCTCGCCCTAGTCCTAGATCAACTCCTCCATGCGATGAACATCCGAGTGCCTCGTCCACATCCTCAGCTTCTTGCCCAAACCAAAGTACAGCGGAATCGCCAGGACCGCAGGACCTATCACACACGCAAAGATAATCATGGCCGGAGTAAGCCAACCATCCTTACTGGTGTGCGCAATATCAAATACCCAGTAGCTGTACGAGAACCCAATGAAATTCTTACACACCGTTGCAACAACCATGATCTCGCCTGAAATCGGCTTGTAGCAATCAATCGCATACGCGATAGCGATAGTCGGCACCGTCGTCACAGACAGACCCGCGAGTCCGTAGCCCCATACGATGATGTGGCCCCAGGCCCATTGCTTCTGGTACGCGAGCCCCCCGAGAATCGCGGACAGCATGGTGATGATCATATACGGTATCAGAACTGGTAGTCGCATCTCCGCCTCCCTCACGCCCCCATTCTTTCGCGTTGCGCGCGCAGCAACCCAGTCCGAGAACGGGCCTGCAGTCGCCAGACCGAAGAGCGCGCCGACAGCGAACGCGAAGTTCGTGTATCCGACTTGGTCAGGGCGGAAGAGGTAGGGTGGCGCAGCGAGCACGGGGGATTCGGTCAAGTTGAAAAAGAGGAGTAGGTCGGCAGGGCCGGCGACCATGAGTCCTGCCCAGAGGATGATGGGGTTGAAGAAGCATTTGAGGGGTGTTAGGGTGTCGCGCAGGATGAAGGCTTTCCAACGCGGGTCGGGGGCTTGGAAGGGTGAGAATTGCGAGCGCGAGGGGCGGCCCGTGGGGTGGGCTGTCGTTTCGAGGGCGTTCAGTTCGGTTCGGGTTTGCTGTTTCTCGAGTTGCGTGTCTGGTGGGGTGTCGGAGGCGACGCTCTTTCCTTGGAGAGAGGACTGGCTGGATGAGGTGGAGCTATGGCTGCGGTGATACTTCGTTTCTGGAAACGCGACGGCGACCAGGATAATGGAGACGCCGGAGAGTGCTGTCTCAAGCCAGAAGAAGGACTTCCAGCCGTGGTGGGCGGCGATCGAGCCGGCCATAATGGGACCTAGAAAGGCGCCCATGAAGTAGCTTGTGCTGAGACATGTCAGCGGGGAACATTAGTGGCAGATGCTGGTTGACTCACAAGTACACTCCAGTCCACAGTCCGCGCTCATGCAGGAAGAAGACATCGGCAATCATCTGCACTGGGATGGTCTCGCTGGTTGCGCACACCAAACCATTGATAGCTCTTGCAGCCAGAAGGCTCCTATGGGACGTAGCCAGTGCCTGCCAGACACAAGACAGCATGATGAGGACGGAGAATACTAAGCTAATAGCCCGGCGTCCAAAGATGTTGCTGAGTGGCACAATGAAGAAGTTGGCGAAGCCTAGTGTGATGACAGTGATACCGGTGAGCATGGCCAGCTGGTTGTTGTTGAGGTGGAACTCTTTGCCAAGTAGAGGGAACATAGGTGCAATAGATAGGGCTCCAGTAACAGAGATCCAGGTGAACAGAGACTGGCTGACAACGACGGTGACTGCAGCCTGTGTTAGTGAGCAGAGGGAATTCAAAGGCGGTACGTACGTTTCCATGGTTTCGACCAGTTGAGTGGATCACGAGTATCCGAAGAAGGTCGAGGGATCAGTGCTTTGTCTGCTCTGCCATCTGCATTCATGATCTCCGTGCCCGGAATAAGCTCAATGTTGGCGTGAGTTGCCATGTTGATGGTGGTCCTTCGTCAGTGAGGTTGGGTAAGTGTCTTGGTGGTCCTGGGCTTCGAAGAATATGAAGGTATCACCATGGCTTATATGTATCTCGCCGGAGAGAGAGGCATTTGGTCATATGTAGGGCTTACTTGCTGATCGTTCACCGTTGTCGAAGATTGGCACAGCGCCGGAAATCTGTAGGAGTGCTGATTGAACTCCAACCCATACACATGGCGCCAGCAACCCATACACATGGTGCCAGGAACCCCCTTAACTAATTGCACTTACTCTCAAACATTCTATTGGTCCCCAATATCGTCATGACTTACGCAGATATTGGTGGTGTTTCGCTAGCGCAGCTATTGTAAGCTCATGGAAAGCTGAGATGTGAGAGATGCTTGCTTCGGGGAAGCGAGGGGCGGTGGGCCTTCCAGTGCAGTGGTTTGTACCTCGATCTTGTTTTACCTTTTACAAACATGTACTGCTACTACTGTTGGGATGGCTTCAGTCTTGAAAACATGATTCTGCAAGTGTGCGCATCTACACAAGACGAAGGCCACTGGAGCACAATTCTCTGTTGCAATTGCTATTTGTGAGTATCGATGATCATAGAAGCGAACCACTCAAGGCAAAGTTCGTCTCGTAGGTGTCCAGATTGAAGCTTGACCTTTGCGGAGACTGGGTGGAGACCCACTGGTGTAACGTGGCTGACGGCCGTTTCGGACTTGTAGGGTGGGGATGCGGGCTGACGGCGATCAGCGCCAGGTTAGCAGGGTGAGCGGCCCATTTGCACCTATCAACAACGATGCCTCTGAGGCATTTGAGATGAGTGCTGAGCATGTTTCGATGCTCTGCATTAAGGTGTAGAAAGAATGAAGGAACTTTGATGCGGTGTGCTTAGTTAGGAAAGAAAGCAAGACTAAGTCTCACTTAGTCGCTCTTTCCTACTCACAGCTGTGGTTCCAAGATCCATCAAGCCAAGCATAAACGCTATTTTAGGCATTATCGGAAGCATTCAGAATGCCTGAACGGTAGTCAGCCTACTTCTATCACACAGCATCGACTCATGAGACGCATGGGCGATCGTTATCCGTTGTCTTGTCGTGCAAAAGCCGGGCAATCAGGCAGTCAGTTAGCAAGCAGAAGCTTGTCGACGAGTATCCAAATTATGAGCTTTTAAGGACCAATAAGGCTTATAAGTGTAATCTCAAAGCTGTATCAATTGTGCTACAGCTTCTTGAGTCGTTGCCTCCACACTTGAGATGCCCAGGAAAATACTTTTATCGATCCTGACTGCGTCTTTCCACAAGAGCAAGCTGTCAGACTCCCGCGCTCTCTGGTCCTTCGATCGCACCCAACACCTTGCAATCTCCTATATGACAAAGCTTGGATTCGCGGTTGCATCATACAGCAACGGGTGCCTCGGCTAGCGCAGGGGCGCTTGTCAACATCAACTCTCTCAACATCTTAATTATCTCAATTACATCAATTGCCAGCCAAAATAAGCACACAGAAATGCCACTATCGCTTGCGCAATTGTTCATGAGTCCAATGATACTGTCCGAATATTGTGCTTCGAGGTCTGCAAACATGCACTGTACATTGACTCCTACAGAGCTCATGATTTGGCATCGTTTGCAGAGGGTTATAGATCAGGACGGTTGCAGACTAGAAGGTGAGAGGGATGGTTTTGTCTTCGGGAAAAAGAAGTATTTGGATAGCTGCCCACTCGGTAGGAGTGTCGAACCTGGGGGTGATTGACGCTTACCATAAGGAGTTACAAGGAAGGTGATTCAATACTCACAAGTTGAAGGAGTGTTCGAACAAGATTTCCTTTACTGGAATCCTTCTTATTTGCGGTGGAGTTGAGGAGAAGGGCATCCAGAAACCACGCAACTCTCAAGCATGTGGTATGAAATACGGTTGAGAGGTACCGATAGGTACGTCTCCTTGCTCTTGGCGTGTTCTAACATGGCCAAACGCAACATCACAAAGGAAGCAAAGGTCTACGTGCTAAAATTTAAGGGAAACTTTTCTTCGGAACAGTATTCCATTGCCGAAAGTCTAGCCTACCATGCCTCAGGAAATCAACCCGAGAGAGCTACAGGTGATGATGCTAGCGGAGCCCACTGTAGCGGAGCCAGCCATTGTTTAAGCTAGCACTCCAGCGTTAGCTTCGGCAAACTGGCTAGTGTTCACGCGTCGCACTGCCCAACCTTTGATGGCAACAGTGACGACGGTCCAAGCCATGATGAGCGCAACAAGTCCCATGGTGACGGTGAATGTGAACATGGCGTCGAGGTCGTAGGACTCCAGCGCGGTGACTGTATTCTTGTTGCTCGCCATGAGTGTGATGCCTCCAGCCATAAGACAGAAAGATGTAATAATTTCGGTCGGAGGGCGTGACGGAAGATAGGAAGTCGGTGGCGAGATGTACAGGGTGATGTAGGTGAGCGCCCGTGCAAGAGAAAAGCCCATAAACATGCTCCCCCACTGCGAGTGAATGATTTCGGAGAGCATCGACGCTTGGTGGTGGCTCGACATCATCTTTCCAAGAAGCAGGATGACTAGACCGGGCACCGGGTTCATCGAGAAACGGTATTGCCGCGGCGGCTCCCACGGCTTGTCGTGGAACTCCAAAGACGACTGTGCAGAAGCAACTGAACCATTGATGAGGTCTCTCATCTTAGACGATTCGATGATCATGCCCAACTAAGACGGTGTGTCAGCGAATGGTCGCACTAAAGGAAGAAACAGCACGGCACCACTCACCAAACCACCACCAAAAAACATGATCGAAATCGAAACATGCTCTAGATCCTGCGCAGTCCACGCATTTCCCCAAGCTGCCAGATGCTCAAGGAAAACATTGATGCATCCGTAAAGAAAAATGACGAAGGATTCGGTCCACTCAGCAGAAGGTATAGCCGCCCGCCGACGGCCCACCACTTCCATGGGCGGCTTCACGTTCCACGCCCATCCAAAATCAGCAAATGCTCCCATCCATCGGCCCAAGGTGAGCAGACCGTATCCGAAGAAGATCCCACCCTTGATATAATGCGCCAGCACGTTGAAGATGGCTCCGTCATGCTAGACGTACTCGTTAGCGTGCTATCTGCAGCAGAAAATCTTTTCAGCCACTTACCCCGATGGCACCATAGACTACAGTACCACTGGTTATGGCAACAAAACCCTGAACGAGAATCGTACGATCGATTACGACGTAAAGCAACCTCAAGACCTTCAGAGGCTTGCCAACCGCGAAGCGTGCAACGTTGCGCGAAAGGAAGTTATCCAGAGCAGTTCCTTTGAATTCACGATTCTCAGCATTGTCGTCGAAATTATCCGTACCATCTGGCGTGTATCTGCGGTCCTGCCCAATGAACTGCTCTTCAGACGACTCCATGCTTGGCGACCTCGAGTGGCCGTACAAGGACGCTGAATCTTGGTCAGTACCCTGGCCCGAATCGTTTAACCATCTGGAATGTGTTGAGGATCGTAAGCTCTGCACGTGCTGGTAACGAGCCATATTTGCGACATTTAGTTGGTCATCCTCAAGGTCTTCCGAGGAATGCGTCTTCGTACGAGCTGTGTAGACTTGAATCAAGGCCATCACGACCCATGCGACAGCGATACACGTGATTATCCATCCAATCTTGCCGTGGACGTTGTTCTTGTACAGCTCCGGCGTCTGGTGATTGTAGGAAAAGCCTAGAAGAAGTGCTAAAGCATTGACGACGAGGAATATGAATTGAGACACAAGAGCCAGGCGTGAGTGGGCAATGCTCAGCATGACACCTGAAAAAATCAGCGCATGTGTGGATTGGGAAAAGAATGGTTTACGTACCGACTGGCAAGATGACAACCCAGGTAAGAATTTCAAGACCGATGTGCCAATACATCAGAGCTGTGTGCTCGGACAAACTCCAATAGCTTCGCAGAGCTCCACTGTCCTTCATCTGTGGTCGCGGCGCCTCCATGTTCATATCCATTGGCCCATCATTTTTTTCATTGCTGTGAGCAGCCACCAGAGGAAGGAGCGCTGCGGTTGTGAAAACAAGTAGTCGCATTGGCGTCATGTATGTTGAGACGTGCAACAGTAGATATGCGAGAAGAAAAGCTGTATCACAACGTCTCAAACGTATCGTGTTAGTAGACCTGAGGTATTACAATAACTCATCCGTAAAACTGTCAACTTGAACGTGGCGCAACCTCCTGTTGTACTAAGCTGCAGTAGGCTGAGGGTAGAGTGAAACTAGAGGAGGAGGAAGGCGCGGACTGTTAGGATACAAAGCTCGACCGAGTGAGAACGCTGAATTCTGGGTAAAGAGCAAGAACGAGGCGACTACGGACGAGGCAGCTTAAGATATGATGCATGGCCGGAAGTATCGGAGGTCGGTGGAGGTAGCAGGGCCATTACCAAATTGTCCGCGTTTCCTGAGTCGTCATTTCAATCCGCCATTTCCTTCAGATTCTTGTGATAACGGTCGGGTCCGTGCGCTTGGCGTCTTTTTGCGACGTATGCATAGAGATCGGCTTTGGGCAGCCTGAAATACTTCCTTGAAAATGTCAGTGAAGCATCGCTGCGCTAACTTTTTACTGCCATGGCTCTTTGAATTTTGTTTTACGTCTTTTGCGACAACGCGGGGTCGCTCTTCTTCACAGATGGCTACATTTAGCTTCTCAGGCGAGAGCCGACGAGGTTTGTTTACGGATTACCCTCAACTCGTCCGAGCTTACCCCACCACTATTACATAGTTGGTGATTGATTGATTCTGCTCAGGCTCAGCGGCAATTTCGCAGCTATGACCGGATGCAGAGCTTTGGCCAAAGCATTGCCCAATAAATCAGCACGCCCACTTCACCGCACCAAAAGTATGACTAGCTGCCCTTTTGCCTCTACGTGTGGTCTGGCTTCTATCTATACCTATGTACATTTTACCTCAAGTGACGTATCTGTTTCTGTGTTTGTTCTTTAAAATCCCGTTTCTATCTACTATTGTGTTGTGGCTCATAGTGGTGCTTACCTCATCTGTCGCGTCCGCAATACCTACAGCCCCCCCCTAGTGCTCAGGTTCGTCTGCACGTATCTGCCTTCGTATCCTCAGGGCTTGAATGTGTTCTGTAATTCTCATATCTTTGTGCTATTATTGCCTCCCACTAGGTTCCTATATGGCCATGCTTTAGCCTGCACTAGTCTGAACCGATAGTACCGAAAGTACCGAAAGTACCGAAAGTACCGAAAGTACCGAAACCATTCCTCGGACCATTCCAAGAACACGACATAAACAAGAAAGACAAGCCCTTTCAATCTCAATGACAGCTTTACAAAGGGGGTAAAATGAGCGCATGAGTAATAGGGCTTAGGGTATGGGTCATGGAAGCGCATCGAATCTGTCACAAATATATCGGTGAGTTGCAAAAGATACTTAACACCCCAGTTTTCTGAGTACAATCAGTCCCTACACAACATCGTTGTCCTTAGGGCTGATATTAGTATTAATGTGGTTGTAATAGCTTGCTGGATCTGATAGTTGAAGGCATGATGTGAATGGATTCCAATGTTGTGATGAGAGAGAGCAGGCAATTTGTAGTGGTGACAGCAAGAAGGTAGAGATGGTAGCAATGATGCTATGTGTGATGGCAGGTTTGGCGAGATTAGAGTCTGCGAGTGGTGGTGAAAGTATGGGTCAGGGTCTAGCACTCACATATATATCCCCCGGTCATCTCTTGCTTCCAAAGGTCCCACCTAGTGCATGCCTCGTGTATGTAGTAACTGTTGAGAAGCGGCTGCCTATGGGCAGGGAAGTAACGGTTGAACTTATCAGGGAAGAACTACGGTTCATTGGGTAACTACATTTTTTAGTGTGCCCTGACAGGGGAATTCCGGTTCCTCACTCATACAACACACTCTTTCATCATAACAGTAACCAGGAAAACAGAGGGGTCAGTATCTTTTGCAAGTCCTAATAGTGTATCCTTCCCTATACAAATTCGTTTAAATGATCCGTACAGCCGTACTGTAACTTACTACGGTTAATCTGCTACCCATGGTACATTACGGCCACGGCTGTCCATTGCCTCGATTACTTTACGGCCACCTTTACCTTCAACCTAGCCGTAGTATGGCCTGTTGGACGCGCTGCCTTGGGATGATCAGGACCTCAATTGTCATTATCTACATTATGGCAGCAGCACCCAGTCATGCCGTCGCTTCTAGTGACGTGGCGAACTAATATCTTCCTTTTTGTTTGTTGCGGTGTACATAACTTTTTGGACCCGAGGGTTAGAAAGGTGAGCCTTTCTGTATCGCTGCGGTGCCGCGACATTATTTGATGTTTGCAAGTTCCTTGCTGAGGCTCCACTCACTACAAATTAGCGCACTGCTTACTTCCACAGTTTAATCATGCACCGTACAACGCCGCCCGGAATGACCGCCATGGCCCCAAAACACGACAGCTGTTTGCTGAGTACGAGGTCACCCTAAGCTTATTTTGGGCCCCATTCCTAGTACTTACCTCATCTAAAACCCATTCTGTCACGGTTCAGGGCGCTCTTGCCTGTCGAACCTCACCTGCCATGAGAGTGACTGCCACGTCACACTAGCGTTGTTTACAGCTACTCACATATACATACTGTCCGTAGCTTCACCCAATACAACCTCAGTTCAATCCTTCAATATTTCCGCACATGCGTACTGATCACTCACGATCCACACCCCGACACATTCCGACTCTAAGAGACGTCGCATCCCGTGCATTAGCCACTCATCAACCTCTCTGTGCAAGCCTTCCTCCTTGCATCTTCAAAGCAGGCTCTAAGCAGCCCTCGTGGCTTCCGCTGATGTACCTAGGGAGAAGATCAACGCACAGTACTTCAATATCCTTGACTTCCAGCAGCGGAGACCCGTGGTAAAAGATATGACTGCAAATGGAGCACGACAATGCCAGCCCTCGCAAAAGCATACGAAGCGATGAGGTAGACAGAGCGCCTAGGGCGCTCTGCCTGATGAATACTCTGGCATTCGGAACATCCCTATATTGCATATCTACACTACCTCTTTGTATAGCTCCTTACATCATCCATTCATGCCGATCTCCGGGATAAGAAGGCGCGTATGACTAGGGATTGACGATCGAACTAAGCGGGCATCTTGATACACAATCATAGACCAAGCTCATAAGCTTGCAAAGCAAGATTAAGACGTTTATGACCGAGCATGAAGGCATTCTAGGGGTTATTTGGATCACCTCATCTGATTGGAAAGTAGTGTTCCCGTCTATCCGGCCACACTCCTGCTCAGTCCCGCGCGTCGAACCGCATACTTCGAGAGGGACTGGCCAAGAGACTGGCTAGAGCTGGTCGTTAAAACTGTCAGTACAATTTGGGAGGAGGAATTCGATGTACAACTCCCTGTAGTTTTACCTCGTATTCCAGAGTGCATGTCGCCATCTTTAGGGCCTTCGAACCCGCGTGGTGCCATTCTCAAGTCGATTATAGGATATATAGAGGTCATAACACAAGATGCCCGCAACGACGATGACTTTGTGGCCTTTATACACGCGCATACGTTCCGCATCGACTGTACACCTCTAGAATCGTGGTGTCGTAAAGTACAAAGGGAACGGTATCCTCGGCTGAGCAGAATATCAATATCTATTCTGTCCGTTACTGAAGAATAACCAGAGCCTGAACGTAAGTTCTCTGGTGCACATCGTACATGCTTATGGGGTAGATCAAGCCTAACATGCCGCAACATTGAGAGGATTGAATGCAGTAGCAGCTGGCTACGAAAAGGACACATCAGATCACTACAACTTAATGATATGGGACTCCTGATGGGGCTAGTGGCAGACGATGAGCTTCGGCTCATCATCTGCTAGGAAGTGGATCTTATCAACTAACTTCAAGACCTGTACAGCTATTAGACCGTCAGTAGTTGTTGTCTGTTGCGGTGTCAGTCGGTCCTTACGAGACCCGATTACCCTGCTTAGACTGTTATGGACTAGCACGTTACAGGGCCAGTATATATCGTCTTCTTCTAGCTAGATAGCAACTTAGCGCAGTATTCCATCGACCCGATCGTCCTACGTTATTGTTTACCGTAGCTATCAGTATACTACAGCGGCCCACGCTGCCACAGCTTATCTTAGTAAATGTTGGCGTTGCAACGCTGGATCCTTGTTCAAAGAAGCTTTTCGTCGCATTGGAAGCCACACAGGAGCCGCCTGTTGCACCCACCAGTGCGTTCTAAGAAACGTCAGCGCAACCCTACCACACAGTTTGAAGCTGGGAAGAATCCTTCACCATCTACCTCATTGAAAAAGCGTCTACCGAACTGTCCACCAAAGCGTCCGCGCACGCTACCTGAGTTTCCTGGAGAAGTGATCGAACTCAGCCAGCGTGCAAGTGCCGTATAAGCTGGGGATATAGTCGGTGGAGGCGGCGAGTATGAGGATGTTGGAATTGAGGAAACTGGTGATCCTTGCCCTGAAGAAGAGGTTATGGAGGAGGGCATTAGCTGGGAAGATTTTCAAGCTGTTGTAAGTGTACGGTACCGCGGTTGCTTTGGTGATCTAGCCAATCACCCGCTAGTGGCTTCTGACAGCTTCTTTAATTGGAAAGTTGACAATATTGCTCTGTTTGAAGTGTGGGAGTGGATTGACAAGGTGGTGAGCGAACTGAAGCCACGAAAAGTTAGCGTAGTTCTGATCCTGCTGTGCGTACATAAACATAAGCCAACAGGCTGTACCTTTGCGTCCCTACCACATTAAACTGCTTGCAAGAAGCATTGCTTCAACACGCTTTGTAAATATACTTATAAAGTAGACTACTACACTCTCAACGTCTACCTACACCTTGTAGCAAAGTTGCACCCTAATTGCTATAATAATCGTTGAGAGAGAAATAATAGGCTGACATTTCTCTAGTCACGGGTTATCACCAACACACGTGGCACACATGACCTCCATACTCCATAAACCGTCACACGGTCTTTGCAAACACTTATGTGCGCGGCGCATCGGCTGTCAGCTACGCCAGCTGCACCGGGCATAGCTGCGCATAACACGCGGCTGCAGCCGAGTAAGACTAGATAAATGAATAAATCCTTGGCAAGCCATCTTGCTGCGTCGTAGCTCCGCCCTAATCCTTCCGGACGTTCCGCCCTACTTCAAATATCACTCCTTTGACAGTCCACGAAAGAGCCGAATATACTGAATATGCCAAGGAAACGCGCGGTCAACGTTTGCGAGTTCTGCCATAATCATAAGATTCGCTGTGATGTCGACTCGACCGGGATCCCGTGCTCAAGATGCATAGAAACGGACGAGGGATGCAAGATTCGAGCTAGGAAGCAGTACCGGTGAGCATATCTGAGCCCTCCTATCGCCTATATGTCTCACTCCCAGTTCAGCGGTCGAAAGAGAGCGTGGCGTTCTACCAGCACGTGTTCCGACAATCATAGAGATCACGTGATTCCCGCCCTACCACCGTCATTACGCCCAGATTCTGTCGAAATCGTTGCAGCTGCAATACTGGAACCAAGTTCAAGGATTGCGCCTATCTTTATTGGAGAGAGTGGATATAGCGACATCCTCGACGCTACAGGCGGACTAATCGATCGCCACTTTCACGTGCCCGCAACAGCAGAACAGGCGCTTGCTGCCGAAGATCTCGAATATCTCAAAGCTAAAGGTTGTTTCACACTCCCAGCTGAAAGCAAACAGCTTCTTGAAGCGTACTTCCTGTTTGTTCATCCAACTTTTCCAGTCGTAGATGGATCGTTGTTCTTGCAAGGTTACGCTGTTAGCGGCCTCGAAGGGATAAATCTGCTACTTCTATGGAGTATGTTCTCCGTCAGTGCGAGCTACATTCCAACCTTGCCACGGAAAGCATGCAAAGAAGCATATGCGAACCGCGCCAAGTTGCTGTTCGATCTTAGCCAGGAAAACGACAAGATTGTGCTCGTGCAATCAGCTCTCCTCCTTAGCTTCTGGTTCGCGGATACTGAGGACGTGAAGCAGTCCTGGTACTGGACCGGCGTAGCGTTCAGCATCGCGCAGACGCTCGGCCTTCATCACGAGGTCAGGTCAGCTAATGCACAAGTCACTGTTCAGCAGCGATCTTTGTGGCGCAATATATGGCATTGCTGCATGATCCGCGATGTATGGCTGGCTTTTAGCATGGGTAGACCACTTCGTATCGAAGCATCAGACTGCTACTATTCTGTGTCCGAAGAGACGGACTGCCAGTTTACGAAGTTGACGTTGCATGATAAGAAGTTATATTCTCTGAAAGAGGCAGCGGGATTCGTGAGTATGTGGCAGAGCCTGATTACTACCAGTAACGTCTTGCGCGACATCATGACCAACAAAACATTATCGCCTTGGCAAGCTGAATTTTTCGAAGGCCGAATCAACGTTCAGGATACCAGCAGTTCGACATTCCTACTTACCCATGTCAACCGGCACTTGAAACTCCACCAATATGCTGCAATCATCGCACTGGCTCGAGCCAGTGGCTTGGAAGAAGTCTCGGGCAAAGCTGCCGACAGCACCACCGCCATCATGCAAGCTTTCCTCTACGACAATACCACTGTGTACGCTGCGCCAGTTACAGTCCCACTCGTAATCCCAGCTATGGTCACATATCTGACCACTACCAATTCCAAACGACCAGAGGCAAGAAAGTTGGGAAATGACAAGCTCAACCTATATATAAGATTCTTTACTGCTATGGAGGACAATTACCCCGCCGCATCGATCTTGAAGCGAGTTTTAGCCGCGGCGCAAGATGCAATTACTGGTAAGAGGCGAGTGCGGAGAGACGAAGAAAAAGTGTAACCAAGTTTCAAGGACTAGGTTACTTCGTTTTGAGATTTGCACTGGTTTGAAGATGAGAGCTCTCCATTCCTGCCTGGGATTGGAAGTTCAATCCATAGCAAGATACAGTAGCTGAGTTAGCCTTCATGTACAATCTACAGTTCTACAGTTTTGGCAACGAAGTTGATGTGCCTTACTGTATTGAATGCCTCGTCATCCTGCCCGCCGTCTCCAACCCCAGACCCAAAGCGTCATACTTCATTCAGCATATTCAGATAGCGTTAAATCGACTTTGCCTTGAAGGGCAGTTTAAACAGAAAAGTTAATGTTATAAGTATTTCCGTTCTTGTCAAACGGCATGTTGCACATCTTATCTATTTCCTATCTTCTATTCCTTCTCCCACCTCAACATCCTCTAGCCATCTTGAAGCCCCAAAAATCATCTCATACGTTGTGCTATTTCCAGCACAACCATATGACCAAATTCTGCCCAATCCGGGCAAAACACATGAATTCTGTGCTCAATCCTACTCCAGGTTTCGAATGCTACTCATCATACTCCTCAGAAAACTACTACATTGGTACACTACACCACGAGCCGCCCGTTGCTCTAACTAATAACGACAAACTTATAAATGGTAACATTTGGGAAGCACAGTCATTTTGTTTTTTGAGCTACGGCTGTGTGGAATAAATCAACGTTGTGAAGAAGTACGGCTGGTGGACCAATTCAACTGGTCTTATAGGACTGAGGAAACGTTCTCTGGGCAGTGACAAGACTCGAAGCAGCCGAGGCTTTTGATCACGTGCTCTTCCGCCTCTTGCTCCTCCCTTGCAAGCCTTATGTGGGTCTTGACTTCTCTAAAGGACCGAGGAGTCCACAACGTTAAGGGCCCCCAGTAGTCATAGTGTTGTTGCAAGTCCAGAGGCTTGCCTCGAATCCTCGCATGACCTGGACACATGTGCCGTCAGAGTCGACTTGGCAAATGAAAATTGTTCGTAAATTAGCAACGCCTTTATCATCGTCCTGCATCGTGACATAATTCCAGGGGTTCGTCCTTGTAGTCTTGGTCGTGTTGCCTGGCGTCTGACTTGCCATGATGCTGCCTCTGTGCACGTGCGCAGGAATATGCTCAAGTGGCGTATCAAGCGTCGAGGTTTTGGCCTGGCTGATCTTGCACTTCCTTCAATGTATACCAGTCATACCAGCGCGTGTCCGGCACGCCTAGGAAGACTGTCAGAGTTCAGTGAAGAACTGTACGCAAGGGGAAGAAGTTGAAGATTGTACTGAGGTTGTATTGAGTGAAGCTACGAACAGTATATATAGGTGAGTAGCTGTAAACAACGCTAGTGTGACGTGGCAGTCACTCTCATGGAGGTGAGGTACGACAGGCAGGAGCACCCCAAACCGTGACAAAGACGCCTTGGCAGGCGCGTAAGAGCGGAAACAGGACCGGCATGATCAAGATTAATGGACCAAGCATGAACTGATTGTCAGCGCTCTTCAGCGATTCATCGTCAGGGAAGTTCCACGACAAGGCACGCAGCATCGTCTCACCGCGAGCTAGTTGTTCAAGGTACAACTATATCTCGTTCGTTCAAAAGTCCTGTGATGCCTTATGCAGAAAGTCTGGCCATAAGTTGAAGCCCAGCCAATCAATCTGGAGTCCACGTCAGTAATGTCTCTGGCTGCAGAAAGGCTTACTTACGCTGGTGTAGTCGTCATTATGGTCTTCTCCGAGCTTGATGTAAAGACCGAGAGCTTTGCCACGGTCGTACGTGGGGTTGGCGCCAGTCAAGTTACCCGGAGCAGGTACGTATACGTCTGGATGTAATTAATGTCAGTTTGAATCGGAACAAATATGTTGTGGTCTATATAGCTTTTAGGAGCCAAGGGTCAGAAAGGTCGGCCTTTTTGAATCGCTGCGGGAGCGCAACAAAATATGCAAGGATTTTACCCAAAATAGGCATTCAGTATTGCCCGTTTGTGTGTAACTTTACAAGGAATGCCTGTCTTTCATACACAGGGTATGTATTGTTGTCTTAAGAGAATGCGATACTGGAACAAGTAATTCCAATCATTTCAAATAGCTTCGAGCTGGATGTTTGCAGCCGCATAGCCATCGATGATATCTTGCAGAATCATCCAGGTTTGGTAGCCCCATCGCACTTGATGGAAACCAAGCGCCCAGTAAGGCTGCATGACGGGTGTGCCGATGACGCCGAGCCAGGGCTTCCGTAGGAAAAGGGCCACTGAAGAAGTATAAATCGAAGCTGCCACCAATCGTGCGATAGACCAAGCGATCTGGGTGCAAGAGCCATTCCTGGCCGGAGACTTGGAAGAGCAGTTGCCGTAGCATGTTTCGTGGTACACAAGATACGTGCTATGCATGCTCGCATCGATTAGTTGATCGTTCATCTCGTTGCTCCAATTGAAGAGCAGGTTGCTGCTGTTAGTTGTACATCCAGTAGGTATGGATCAGTATGGGCTGAGAGAGTCATCCGACATTTACAAGAACCTATTGGACGGTGCGGTGTATCTGGGGTAAATCTTGACATTCAGCTGAGCAGTATTTTGATACTGTACTTCAAGTGTCAGATCGGCGGCGATGTCATTACCGTATGCATTACAGACAGGGCTAGCAAGAGTGAGGCCTGCAGAAAGTGTGTTCTTGGTAGTCACGACGTTAACCGCCTTGTAGGTGCCGTTGTGTTGACAACGTTAGGTGTGACACTGGGGTGCAAGATTGAATGTAGACGCTAGTGTCGATGTCGGAGGCCATCCATTGGGGCCTGGGGGGCTGGTCGAGCGTAGTTTGACCTGTATTCATTAGAGTGTGATACTGAACTTCAACAAGGGGAAAAGTGTGTTTGAGGCCACAGTGATCAATGCGGGCAATACAGATTTCCACATTGTCGGATATTACTGAGGATAGGAAGACCATAGAGTGGTTTGTAAATTTCCGTTCTCCTGATACATGAGGATTTATACAGTGTTGCAAGCCGTGACGTGCACTGTTTTTGATGACAACTCGGCTCCTGATCGTGGAAACCTAATTTGAACGCCATTTTACTCCGGCTGATAGTGATGAACATCACCTTACCACATGTGCAGGTTGTGGAATAGAATTAGCGATGATGATCAGTTCAGAACCATCGAGATCGGTGGAATTGCAGAAGCTCTCCCCACATCTTGTACTAGCTTTGAGGCGCCATAGTCAGCTTCTAAAGACACTGTGATAGACATCGGCATAGCAAACCGCACAAGTAGACGCGTTCTGGTGACGTTGACAAGTACTCGACTGTGTAAGTCCACTTCGATATTTTTGTGGTAAGGTGACCACCCTTCGGGAAGTTCAAGCAAAGCTTGGATGAAATAAGCTCGGCTATACACATCTTGGCGTACCTCGTATCTGAAGCACTGCCATGACGTCAGCTACAACTCGATATTCTCCTTCTCCACCAAACCCTTTCCAGGCACTCTCGTCAAGTTCGTGCGGAACGCGCTGAGCTCAAGAGTCTCAAATCCCTCCCCTTGGCCTTGATCCCAAAATACGAAGTTGTTGATGGGAACAGCTGCGTACAACGGGCCCTCGATATCTGTCATGCAGAAATCGTCCCAGATTGCACGTTCATCGTGGTCGCGATTCTCGACTGCTTGCAAACGCCACTCTTCGCCCTTTTGGTCTTGCGCATTTCGATACAGTAGTGTTGGAACAAGTTGTGCGAAGCCATGCCTCGGGATCCAATGTTTCACGGAGCCAAGGTTGAGAATGTCAGAAGAGTTCGAGATGAATTCAGTCACAACAAGGCCGCGATGATCCGCAACCAGTGTGACTGAGGAGTTCAGACTGGAGTTAGAGCTGACGTATGTACCCGCGTAGCGTTCCTGAAGTTGCTGGACTGCAAGCTGCTCCGCTGGGCGAATGAACTTGGTGACGATGTTTTGCAACTTCAAAAGCAGCTCGCTGTTTCCAGCAACCAAGATAGTAAAGCCTAGGTCGTACTCGGGCGCGAGAATAATGATTGAAGTGTACCCTGGTAGTCCACCCCCTTTGGTCACGAAGCGCACTGTACGACGGGAGTCTTGCAGTACGCGATCGGTATGGAAGATTTCCCATGGTATACCATAGAACGAGCTCAATCCACGCGAAGGAGATGCCGGATTAAACCAGTTCAAAGCATGTGTGAGGCCGTTGTAGTGGGTAAGCACGTAACGAAGGTACTTGGACAAGTCCTTGGAAGAACTGTAGATGCCACCCGTTGGGCTCTGAATACCCTCATCGACATCCCAATAGTGGTCACCTGACGGGATTACGCCGGCCTCGTCAGGCGGCACAGAGAGTGTGCTCTTGCTCATATCGAGAGACTTGAAGATTGCCTCTTCGATGTACGATCGATAGTCTTGTCCGGCGACTCGCTCAAGTACTATCCCAAGCAACTCAAAAGCGACATTGGAGTACGTGGATTGCTGATTTGGTGCGAAAATGGGGATCTGCGACTTGACAGCACCGAGCAAGTCTGCAACAAAGTACGTCAGCAAAGGTCCCAGGTCGGATGTGTGAACTGTAATCCTCACCATCCTCATAGCAAACTTTTTCATAATTGGGCGAGTACTCATCACAATCGATGAGACCGTCCCTTAACACAGGCGGTAGACCCCATGTGACGGGGTCTTCCACACCGCATTTCTCAAAATTGATCAAATCGCTTTGAGCAACTACCAAAAATTAATGTTCGTACCTTCAAGCGTCTGGCAACCACTCCAGGAGACAAGTGGCCAAGGTTTGGCATGTAGCGCACATTCGCGGGGTATGCCACTTAGCTGACTGGCCAAATTACGCAGCGTGATGTCTTTCCATGGCAAAGTCCCATTCTGGTCCTCCTTCAGCTCTTGGATGTACTTGTTCACTGGGTCATCTAGACTCAGATTACCCGCCTTCTCTTGAAACAGAATACCCAAAACAGTGAACGTTTTCGTGATGCTGGCGATTCGGTAGAGAGCATCACCATTGACTTCGGGTATATCAGGGCGAGAGGCGTTTCGTTCGTTCGCTGTATGGTGCTTAGACCATAGGGTCTCTTTTGAGGTTGTGATCTCTACAGATAAAGATGTCGCAGAGAATTCGGGGGCGGCAACAGCTGATATGATAGCTGTGTTGATTTCGGCGAAGGCATGCTTGAGGAGCGCATCATTAGCGTCATATTCAGGCAGAGGGTGGGCAAAAGTAGGTTCATAGCATTTGGCGCTAGCTACTGCAGCTACTACAGTGGTAAAAAGAAGCTTCATCGTGACAATTGCGCGTTGAGGGTCACGACAGCCGAAACGTGGGATTAAGATGGTGCTTTTAAGGGTACGACTCGCGCCTTATCGATAGCACCGGCAGTAAGCACGTGACCCAGGCAACAACAATCGCGTCGGGCCGGCAAGCATACCATACACAACACTTCAACGTAAGACGCACTCGTTCTAGCACCATTCTTACAGCAGTGTCACATAAGGCTCAACAAATCTCGAATCATGTTGTCGTTACCCGTTTCGCGGGTTGTCATGACCTCGCAGCGCGCGACGCCATACATCTCGCCGGACAACCAGCTATGGCAGCTCTAGTCTTACAATACTTCCGACCGGTGTAAGTAACACACACTGAGTATGACTTGGAACTAGTATGAGTTTGAGCTAGCATAGGCTTGATGAAAACAGTCCATATGCATAGTTCCAATGGCTCATGAATGGGCCAGATTTGGCTGTGAGACTATGTTCGGACTACATGCCTGAGCCTCGATGACTGAGCAACGATTCCTCCAGCAGGTACTGATTTGCTCACAATGCGAAAGCCCTGCTCATGGTCAAAGACACTGTGTTTCAGCAACACACAATCCTATGCGAGTAACAAAACATTGTGCATGCAGTGTGTCACAGACTGGACGGACTTTTCGTATATATTTCCTTCAGGGTTCATATCGATTAATCTTGCCGACACAGAAGCTTCAGACTACCCAACGCAGCCTCACATCAACATACATCTTATCGAACAAGCTGACTCCCTACTACCAAGACGTGACCGAACACGTTTGCGATGTGTGTGGCGATCCAGTCTGGTGGATCGAAGGTCGACCCATCTGCAAAGAACACTTCTATTACATCAGCTGCCTATTTGAAGTCTTTGAGCTACTCCTGCAGAAACTGGACGAGTTCCCCGTATCCTGTTGCAGACGTATGCGAGGCGGCATCCCACTGAAAGCTGTGGACTACCTCTTTGGTGACAGCTTCCTTCAGCCTTACAAGCTAAAACTTGGAAGAGCACAACAACCCCGTTGAGAAACGCGTGTACTGCGCCGACACTAAATGCTCAAGTTTCAGACCCTCAGGAACTTGGATAAGGACAAGGCAAAATGCGAATACGGGACGGCGAGATGCGTGTACTGCAAGACCGAGCACCGCGCTGTGCATACATTCCTTACGATTGACCCAGCTGACTTGCCCTCCATATAGCTCAACATGTCGGATAAAGCAATGCCCTGCTGCTGCTGTGTATGGACGTTAGAAACCTACTGTTACGATCAAGGAGAAACTCGCAAAACAACACTGAACAAACAGGACTACGCAACGATACGAGAGGAGTCGAGGAACTGTATTATCGATCGACCCAAGCAGTGAGGCCGTGTCAGCAATACTCAGTATGATCATCAATCTCGGTCGAACTGAGCAGTAAGGCCGCGTCGGCGATACTCAGTATGATCATCACTCTCAGTTGAGCAACTCAAGCGACTCGAGCGACTCGAGCAGCTACCGTGTCTGTGCACTCAATGCGCCTGTTCGGTCAATGCGCCACACCAACCACCTCAGGCAGTTTACAAACATGAGGATGTAGAGCCATGGAAGAGCGGATTCAGGGCTAGGGTTAGACCAGCCTCAAGAGATAGAATTCCAAGTTTGAGAGCTTAATCTGTAGAGAAATGCATTGCAAGTTCAATGCACTTCTCCAAATTCCAATCCAAATTATGGTTGTTGAGTTATTTGTGTTGGAAGGCGGTATTGTTGTGAAATTGAGTCCCAATTGGGCAAAGGGGGCTAAGCGAGGCGCTAGTCCCAGTTTGATTTTTGATTTTTTTCCTCCTGTGTGTAACGGGGTCATGGTGCTGTAGTGAAGTAGGCTGTCACGTGTCGGGACGATGGCGCTAACCCATCGGGACGCTAGCGTGGTATGGACGAGAGCGCATAGATAATCGGGCACACAATGGCCAGGAAAACGGTAGCAATTAATCTTATGGGACCACCCCCCATTGTTATTAAGCTCGCTGTCACAGATACCCTTACACTGTGCTAGGCCCAATTTGTATTTGATTCCTCATCTTGGCAGGACTGTTACGATCCATGAACAACTCGCAATATCTGTTATACGAACCGAGATTGTACGAAAAGGACTGCAGTGGATACAACGTGGATCTCGTACACAAACGATCATCACGGACCCATATACCAACCCACTTGCAGAGGGCCCACGTCGACAACGATCAATAGGACACCGAGGACCGAGTATCGAGGTCACGTCGACAACGCTCGATTGGACCGAGTATCAAGTCACTGGCGATACTTGATATGAGCAGTACAATCAATCCTCCTGTCAAGTATATAAGCAAGTAGACACGCTGCCCTTATGGCATCGTGTTCAACCTTGTCAATCAACTTTGTTATTGGAATCTCACCTGCTCTCGAGCCAGACAGTATACTCTGTACTACTCATTGCAACCAGTCGCCATGGTCTTTGACTAGACGACTACCCCTGATTATCACGGCGATTTATCACGGCGATTTATCACGGTCAAACCTCTGCCGCTCCGAGCTCGCTCAGTGATAACCAACCCCCAACGGCTTTCTGCACCTCTGCCCATCCCCGAGAACCAATCGAATAGTGTCTACGAGCTTTGCTTAAGACACAACTTCAACAAGGACTCTCTCTGCTTCATGCCTAACACTCTGTTCTATTGCTGCATAAATCGTCCACAATGCCTGTAGGCAACATGCCCCAACCTTGTGGAAGGCCTTAGAAGCACTTGACAGAAGCAGCAGCAGCAAAAGCAAAAAGAGCAAGCAATCATTGATGGCTTCACCAAGCACTGGTGCCCAATGCACCAGCTGAGTTCATCCACTACGCACCACTACCCCCAGGCATTCCATCTACCACCTGTCACGGGTATTTCCCCTTACATGTATCAGCCAGCCCTTGGATGTACTCTGGGGCTGGACCAGAGGCCCACGGGCCACCTGTATATATTCCTCACAAACCTTGAGGCTTGTCACGAAGATGCTACGAGTAGGCCCTTTAGGACTTGCTGGGAGTCTAAATCAATTACTACGTACGGTATCTAAGTAGGTACAAGACATTGTGTACCGAACAGAACTCTACCAGCAATAGTCTATATACTTACGTGTGGGTTTGTTCGGTTACCGGTTAATAATCGGAACTGAGTTGGATAGGTATTGGGGTTGCAAGTCCCAGAGCGGGGCTTGCAGAATTCTAATACTCCCGCTTCGGAGGTTGCAGGCCCGCTCTGGAGGTGACCAGAGGTTGTATGTCCGCTTTGGAGGTGTGTAAGGACGCTGGGGATTTGGTGCGTATGGTCAGGGACAGTGCGGAGCGGATCCGGATATTGTCAGGGGATCTGGAGAGGATACCGTGACAGGTGATCAGGGGTAGACTATCCAGGTGGGTTGTAATAACCTTTGTAATAGTCAGGTAGTCCTCTAGTCAAAGACTGTGGCAACTGGTTGCAATGACTAGTACAGAGTATACTGATTGTGTTGAGTATACTGACCGTGCCAAGTATACCAATTGTACCAATTATACCAATCGTACCAAGTATACTGATCATGTTGAGTATACTGATCATACCAAGTATACCAATCGTACCGGGTATACTGCTTGTGTTGAGTATACTGACCGTGCCAAGTATACTGATTGTACCGAGTATACTGCTTGTGCAAAGTGTTGCCAATGCGGCCCACTGCTTGGGTTGATCAATACTACAGTTCCTTGGCTCTTCTCGTATTGTTGCATAGTCCTGTTTGTTCAGTGTTGTTGCGGGTTGCCCTTTGATTGTAACAGTGCGCTGCACATTGCGTTGTGATGTTTTAAACTGTTCAGCTGCTTCATGTGTCCCTAGCCCACACTCTACAGCAGCAATTATTCCATCCTGAGTGCGCTCTAATAATTCATGACTGGGCAATCTATCATGATCAATTTGGGAAGAAAAGGCTCTCATTTAGGTAGAATTTTGTACAGCTGAATTCATGCTACGTGTTCTGAAGTTTGTGCAGGCACATGGCCCGAGCGTTGCCGCGACCAGACTTTTGACCTAGTACAGTAGTCCACGGTACAGCAATAGGACAATGTACAAAGGACCTGAAGAGATCTTGTACAACATCATGGACTCTCAAGCCTACTAGACATCAGCTGCGCAAACACTCAGCACACGTTCCTACAGTAATCTCATCGGGTATATTGCCTTTCAATCACCAGCAAAGGGTCGTCTTTGAGATCTACAAACCACCCACAATGCACTACCAGTTTAAGGAGTATGTCCAAAGTTCAACGCAACAACCTACAGCTTGACTCAAGCAACCATATGTAAGCATCTTTGTGGCATGAATTCACAGAACTTGCTATAGAGATATGCGCCGTTGCTCATACACCACGCCAGTATCTATACAGCAGAGAGATATAGATTTTGCCAGCTGGCAGTAAGGCGGGCCAATGTCAGTGGCTTCTACAGCGCACCGTATAATTTCTTACACAGCCTGACTCGTTTCAAAACGGCAGCAGCACCACAGCGCAGCTGTTCCAGACTGTCAGCTGTTGACGATCCACTGTGTGCTGACGATTTGCGCGCACTGGATGATAGTAAGACACTTTCAGACTTCTGACCTCATATCTGCACCCACTATCATTGTGATTCCGTCTGACCGAGTTACTTAGTGAGCGACAAGTAGCATTGTATGATCAGAGATATCACCACGGAAATTTGCAGATCTCATTCCCGTTGTCTGATCCACGTTGCGGTCACTTACGGGGAGTGATAAGATGAATCCTGTTAGATGCAGACATGTCGCTAATGGGTTTCTTTCCTTACGGCAACGGCACTACGACATCGAAGGAATCCAAAACACGCATCGTGAATACTATGCCTGGTGGCGGGTGTTATGTTAACGAGATTGACTGGATGGAGGAGAATTGGCAGCAGACGTTCTTTGGGAGTAATTATGAGAGGTTAGCAAAAGTGAAGAGGAGGTATGATCTCAGCGGCTTGTTTCACTGCTGGAAGTGTGTTGGCTAAGACTGGGGTGGCGAATTCGATGTATAATTGCTATGGGCAGAGTGGGAGGGAGCCGATGGCTAGTATTCCCTGGGACCTGTGGGCTGAGGGTTACATTGTGCGGTTTGGTGCACGTTCATAGAGGGTGATTTTGGAGTCGCATGGTCTAGGCGCAAGGGCAATCGCTCGTGGCAGATTGTCTTGTTTGGGTTGAGATTTGACGCACGTCAATTTGGTGCTGGATGCATTGAAGTTTTGCAGGCGTCTATAAGTTGATTGTATACAGGGCAAGGGTCGAACACAATCCATGATATATTCGCAACCTAAACGCTAGTAAATGACTTTTGACACGTCCTTAAAAAGCTAGCTCTGCAAACAATGTCATTTCTGCATCTGCCTTACTGCCATCTGTCAACTCCAAGACTTCCTCCTGGCCTGTTGTCTCTTCGATTGACTTTGTTGGAACACCATCAGACATCTCAATCACAGCGACACTGGAAGGTAACGCTTCTTTCTCAAGTATGCCTGCTGCGCCATTTTCTTCACTTTGACTTGATTGTGCTCGCTCGTACAGAGGTACCTTCGCTTTACGGTCTCCGAACATAGCTCGGTCAGGGTTGAATTGACTGATTTCTCTCATGCGAGGCTCCTTGTGGATAAAACCTTGGTATCTCACTTCCCTGACCTGGAGTGAGAATATCCGCTCGCCCTTGGCCACGAAGCGTGACAAAACGCTATGCATATTCTGGATGTTGACTGTAACGGTAGGATTGGCCATGTCTCCGAGTGTATTTGCGGCGCCAAAGGCAGCTATCGCTTGCTGCACGGGAACCTCCATGGTCAGACCTGTTGTTGTACCGGATCCAGCGGAAGCCTCGATCTCTGCGTCCACACAGCTCTTGATGCCAGTGATCATGTATCCACGTTTATTGGCTTGTCTCTCTAGCAAAGCAACAACGTCACTACGATGCTTGGCTATGAGTGTGTCGTAGTAATCGTAATGTTGCCTTAGGAGTCGAGTGATAACCGTATGCGCCCCGACCTGCCTCCCGGCTTGTTGCTGCTTCGCTGCCTCGATACCAAAAAGTTGAGTTATCCGGGCCTGCACCTGAGTTGAGGTCGATGCAGAAATTTGCTGTTGAACATCGCAGCTGGTGACTTCCATTGGCTCCTCGAACGCGCCCAGAATCTCTTTGGGGTTCTCCGGAACATAGCCGGACAGTGGAAAGTCTAAATCTACCACGATGCGACCGAGAAGTTTAGGCGCTTCAGAGCCGTTGAGTATCGCTCCTGGATCTAAGAGACCCCAAGTGGGACCTCTACGTCGTCGTGGTGGCATAGCTTATGAGAGCTTCTCAGTAAAGAGATTGTTCCAATATGTCGTCTCGGAATTGCCAAGCTGTAAGAAGGGACGAGGTTTCCTTAGCACAGATCCGTGTTCACACACCTTACTTATGTGGATCAATGCAACCAAGCGCAATTGTGCATTAGCGATGGTATTTGTTAATTCGCCCGATTGCGTGAACAGCTGAGCTTACTAAAGGACTTGCAGCGACCTAAGACTCGATCCTCGCCTCAGACTCGGCTATGGTATCGTAGCGAAGGTATGATTGCTCGGATATGTGAACTTGCTAACGGAATTGCATGAACCCAAGATTCGTAATTCGCATTCTGTTCAGCTACGACGACAGAGCTGGGGTATGTTGTCGCGATTGGGCATACAATGTCGCGCTAAGGATGTGGCGTTGCAGCTGAAGACCACAAAGTTTCCGTTGGCACCACTGTCATTGTTCTGTTAACGATGCATTCTCGCTAAAATCCAAATGAGTCTGTATGGCGATACCTCCGCTTGATCCTCTCAGGGCTAAACAAGATACTACTTTGTAGTCGCCTGCACCATTCACGACTCTATAAAGCCACTCCGGATTCTTCTGTCATACCAAAGCATCAACTCCCAAGGTCTCGCAAAAATGTCAACGCACCAAATGATCCAAGTGATTGCAATCGCAAACGTCGATTCCGAAGGCCAGCAGCTCTGGAACACGACCGTGCACTGCGGTGACCGAGTCATGGAGATGACGATCCGAAATCCCATAAGTGGAATGGAAGAGTCTGACGTTGAGTGGTATCTAGAAGAGTATGTCATCGACGACATTTATCTTGCTGATCGAGCCAAGGCTTGTGAAGTTCTGATCAAGCACTGTGAGCAAAAGCTGGTGCAGCAGATGGGGCCAACGATCGAGAACTGCATCCAGGTGCTCAACCTTGGCAGCAGCGACTTCCTTAGAGTCGAAATCGTGACAGAAAGCTCAAACAGCAAATTCCAGAGCATTCACTGGGAGATGCTAGAAAATGCAGACTGGGCGGAGTTCCACATTGCTGGAGTAATTGTCTCTCGTCGCCTGACACAACCGATCAACCTGGGGCTTTCCAATACCGAACACCTTATTGAAGATGTCTGTCGCATCCTGTTCATCTCTGCTCGTCCTGATGCAGACCGAGATATTGACTATTTGCTTCTTTCCAAACCACTTGCCAAGCTTCTTCGGGAGCAACTGCATAAATCAACATGCGCCATTGAATTCACGCGACCTGGGGATTGGCTCGAGACAGTTGTGAAGCTACAATCACATCCTCCGGGATATTATTCCATCGTACATTTTGACCTTCATGGCATCATACACGACGGGAAGTAGGTAAAGCAGCTTTGGTCATGTGTTCATTGCTGACGATGATAGGTCTCATCTCGTGTTTGCTTCAGTATGCCCGTTCCTGTCATCAATGCCAGTCGAGGCCTCACACATCGCTGCAGAGCTTACGAAAGCTAAGGTTCCCATAGTTGTACTGAATGCCTGCAATTCTGCGAAGGCACGAACACCGCATCACGCCAATCTGGCCCAAGAGTTGATCGAATCCGGCATTGAGACAGTTGTTGCCATGTCGTATGCTATTCTCGCGGAAAGCGCGAGCATTTTCGTCAATCACTTCTATGAAAACTTCCTGGCCAATCAACACGACATTGTCGAGTCTGTTGCACTCGGTCGCAAAGGATTACGGGAGCAGACTCATCGGCGCGGCACTTTCGGACTGATGCGTCAACTCAAGGATCATTTCGTTCCTGTCGTGTACAAAGCACATGCTGGGCTGACAAGAAGAGAGATCAAGTCACCATTGATGATGCTTGATAAGTTGTCACTTGCACCTGGAACACCCCGCCCTCCCACCATTGTTGGGCGAGACATCGATGTTCTTAATCTTGAGAAAATTCTTACCTCTACCAACCTTGCGCATATTTATGGTCCTGGTGGATCCGGCAAATCCTACTTGGCCAGATTCCTTGCTCATTGGTGGGTTGAAACTGGATTCTTCGACTACGTGTTCATCCTGTCGGGCAGAGACCTCTTCCAGAACCCGTCGGAAACGCTGCAACAGCGACTGGAATCTCTCGTGCAGACTCAAGCTGCGGCTTCGGCATCTAGGCTTAACAGCGAGCAGGAAGAAACAGAATGGTCGAATCTCAAACGATGTCTTGTATTTCTTGATGGATGTGAGACGATTGACTATATCCGGGGTCTCGACCAATACTCTCTCCCGGTACTTCAAGACGATCACTCTACCAATTTGAAGAACTTCCTCCACGTTCATTGCCAACAGGAAGATACACCGTGGAAGATCGTTGTCCTTTCGCGGACGAACACCTTGGCTGGTGCCCAATCAGCCGCTTGCGCCGAAGGCGACAAGAAACCAGCCTATTACGAGCTCAAAAATTTGAAGTCAAGTCATGCCGTCGAAATTGCTGAGACAGGCTTGCCATCGGAGTTTCTCACGAGCGAAGCTCACGAGCGATTCGCAATCGAGCTATCAAGAATGTTAGCACAGCATGACAACAACGCAATGTTTTGCAACCTGGTCTCAATGTGCTTGAATGGTCACAATTCAACAACAGCATCACTGCAAAGTCTCGCTTTGGAATTTCAAATAAGTCTTCCTTCGGTCGCACGCGCACATCTTGCATCTGGTCTCAACATTTCGAAAGAAGGAACGCTGGGCACGATCGCGGACTTTGCTCGTGTTATTCGTCTCTTGCAAGCAGAGCACCCATCCGTTCATCGCATGGTGCTGACTTGGGCGCCATTTCAGCAATACTCTCTCAACTTCTTCAACAACGGTGCATGGTATCTCAATCTGATGGCATGTGAGATATTCAGCGATCCCCACTTTGGTACCGAGTATCGCTTATCTCTGCCACGAGGGCGTGCATACGGGCGGAGATCGGACAGACTCCAAGAGGTCAGTCGACTCACACCCGATCTTCGAAATGTCTTTCGAGATGGCATCAAGATTCTCAAAGCTATTGGCCTTATCGAAGATGCCATCGACCTCAACTCCGACATCCACTACAAGCTGCATCCATTACTACCGTACCTTTTGCGCGCAGAATGCGATTGTCTAGGTGACAGCTCTCAATTCGTCCGTATGTTAGATGTGTGTTTTCTGGAGAACTACGAATTCTTCGCGAGTATCTTCGTGAATCGTCCAAACGAGGTACCGACGTTTCTCCAGGTTGAGTGGCTTAACGTTTGTCGTGCGATCGAGCTTATCATCAATACCTCCGACCTCGCGAATGATGATCTCGAGCTCATCTTCACCCTCCATTTCATCCCACAGATGAAATTCAGAGATGGGGATAGAAGCGCAGCAAGTTTGACGCTACTAGGAAAGGTCGTTCAACGCTTTGCATTATTGGCTTCAGAAGCGCCCCAAGGAGCGCTAACTTTCACAGTCCTCAGCAAAGTATTGCGAGTCGCTGGCATAATCGTGAGTATCCTGGAAAAGATAGCAAGATTAGGCGGTGACGAACAAAATCAACCTCTTTCCATGATTCTGGACATGTATGAGGATTCGGTTCGCATTTTTGGGATCCCACCAGCTGGATTGTTCTGTACAGTATTCACTGTGAAAACAGCTCTGTTGAAAAGTGACGCTGGCACTTCAACACGTCTGTCTTCATTACGCCAAGAAGTCTGGGATGCGACTCTAGATGTAGAGGCCACAGAAGAAGAAGCTGTGCAGTTTTACAAGAGCAAATTCTTCTTCCTGACAGATATCCTCATCGGTCGAACGCCACAAATGCAACTGGATTACCCTACCGACCGAATTTGGGGAAAATTAGACGAGCTGCAGGCCACTGTCAGAAGTGAGGAACTTCCCGATGAGTTAATCGAGATTGTGGATACAATACTCCGCGTGCTCAGAGGATCCTCTAATGCGGCTGGACCTGCTATAGACGTGATCTCTTTCTCCCGCACAGGTCTGGAACTTGTTCCCGGGCTGCGGCGTCAAGGGCTTGGAGAAAGAGATCAGGAACTCCAACGAAGGGATCCGATCTCAATAGCCATGGTCGCCATGGCTGCCCGCCCGGATGCTGCGAGAGAGCGAGAAATTCTGCTCGATGGCCTGCAGCATGCTATGATAAGAAATGATCGACACGACCAAAGAAGTCTTCATTGGGTACTCTGGGCAGCTGCCGCTGAAGCAAGTCAGGTCGATAACGCGATACTCCACTTCGACGAATGGGTCCGACTGAGCCATTCTCTTGGTGCAGGTGATCAGTACGCACAGGTCACGTCTGAGGTCGGACAACGACACGAAAGAGTGACACGCGAATGCTTGATGAACATACATACCGGCAAACTTATCATGGATGCTCACTCCGCCTCACAGGCTGAAGACTATAACGTGCGGAAGGCACAAGCCCTGAGCTATCTCCAGAAAGGACGTGATCTGGCGCTCAATAACAATCTCACCGATTATATATGTAAAGCACACCTGCTTCTAGGCGATTGGTATGCCCTGATGGAACGCAATCCAGATCTGTCATACGGGCTGTGGGCAAAGGCGGCAAAGCTAGGGGACCAAGTCAATGACGGCATGCAACAAAGGCCTTTTCGGGGGAACCTTGCACGCGGAGGCTTCACACTTCTGCTCGTGCGCGCATGGAAGTTGGCTACCAATGCGAGCAAGATTGCCATCGCACAAGGTGTATCTGAGGGGTTGGGCCGGGAAGCTGGCGAAGTCAGTCAGTGGATTGATTTCTTTGCGAGAGGCCTATTGATACGTACTGGACAAAGTGACGGCCTTGCTTTCGGACCTAGGAGTGAAGATTATGGGGAAGAGTCGCTGAGGAAATACTTTGAAGAGTGCCAACAGATACTACTTGAAACAACGAACAGCGATGGAGGAATGTCGTTCTGGAGACTGGAAAGGAACGGTATATGGTTTCAATGGACCGTCCAGACTGAAGCAATGGAAGATGCTGTGATGGAGGCGATAGCGACAGGTTCGGCAAGGCGTCGGCGACCGTAATGGCGCAAGCAACTTCTCGTCGTAGTGTCCTCAGAACCAGGTACGACAAGGGACTTGA